GTTTTGGATCGGGTCGGCGAGATAAAGGGAATCTTTTTATTCTGTCTACTGTGTTAGCCCTAGAATGAAGAGAAGCTTCCCTCTCTGAAATGCGTTCTTGTTTCCATAGCAGCAGACGGACTCAGACGTTGTGGCGGGGTAGTTCTTACCATAGACAATCTATACTTTAACTACCCCTTGACTTGTACCGTTTTTACCATACCCGGGCAGGGACCGGGGGTCTTAAGCACTCAGGGGGCAATTGGGAATCTTACTTTTTATAAATTTCATAAATTTAAATAGTAATTAATTGTGTAAATATAAATTCTTTTTATAAATTGGCTGTGTTACGAATAAACAACATAGCATTATATAATTTTTAAAATAAATATATTCTCGCATAAAAAGTGCGCATTTTTTTTTCTCGCTACAAATAGTAATTGATTATCATGCATACACCAATAGTTTGAACTGTTTATCACCAGGAAAACTTTAAAGGTCAATTTTTATACGTTAATAGGAAGTTTTTAGGTACTCAACTCTCTAAGTCATAATGCCTCTAAATATACTTGACCACCTGCAACTCTGTTCAGTTAAATAAAGTAGTAATTGAAAGAGTTTAGCACTATGGGACAGCAACTTATAAACTGTTTAAGTCTGATGGTGCATTGAAAGCTGTTTAAATAACTGACTTTTTAATTAGTACCTTTGGAATATTTTTACTTTTTATACCCTTATGATTTTTAATTTAATTAACTTCCTGGTTTTTATAATTATTATATTATTTAAGGATTGCAACTGGTAAGCATTTTAATTTTTTTTTAAAAATTATGCATACATGGGTTCTAAATTAGAAGTTCTCATTTTAATTTAGGACCACGCGTTTAAAAATGCTTTATTTTATGTGCTTTGAGTTTTTGGGGGTAATAAAAACGTGTAAAAAGTTTGTTAAAATTATTGCATATCAAAAGTGCTTTATGTAGTCCCTGGCCAACTTATTAGACGCACTATAAGATTCTATGTAAAATCTTAATTATCAGCTGATACTATACAGCATTATTGTTTTTACGCAGCTGTTTGCACTTGATTATGATCGTGTATTAATTTATTAAATTAGGCGATATATAATATAAATTCAACGATTGGATATAGTATTAGACGATATATTATATAAATAGTGAATATTTATTATCTCAGGTATTATATTAATTATATCGTTATATTAGACGCACTGTAGTTGTTTTAATAATGACATGTTTTGCACGAGTTTATAGGCAATACTTTTATATTTAAACATACGTGTAATGGGGTTTTATACTGGAGATTTTTTATATGCTTCCTATTTGTATTCATTTTTAACGCATTAAATTCCAAGGTTAACCAATTGATACTCGAAAATAAGCAAGTGCAAACCGGTTTCAGCCGCGTAAAAACATAAAAGCTGTATATAGTATCACCTGATAATTAAGATTTTACATAGAATCTTATAGAGCTTCTCATAATTCAGCCAGGGACTATATGTGAAGTTTTTTAGTTCGTTTTTAAATAGTATGACGGCTCTGCCCTTGACACCCGTTTGGATCAGGAACTGATCCAAAAATCCCTATTGAAAGGAACACATATTGTGTTCTCTTTCGGAAAACGGAAATTTCATTCTAACCAGTGAAACATTTCATAAATAAAGAAAAAAAATCGTTTTTCCTCTACTATACGTATAAAAGGAGGACATTTGGTTTCATATAAAATTATCGAATTTTTGAACCGAAATTTCGGTCCCTTGAAGGTTTACTATAGTGTGGTTTGACTGTAATAAAATTTAAAAAAAAAAAAAAAAAAAACATAAAGGCATAACATATCAAGAAAAAAATATAATGGTATGAAATATTTTGTCAAACTTAGCAGTTATCAAAACCTTTTTCAATGCACATCAGCCATAAACAGTCTAAAACAGAGGTCGCCAAAGTGGTCTATATAGACCCCCAGGGGTCTATTTAACAAAAGCGGGGGTCGATCTGAGCCAGGGGGTCGATCCGAGTCTGAANTAATATAAATTCAACGATTGGATACATTTTATAAATAGTGAATATTTATTATATCAGGTATTATATTAATTATATCGTTATATTAGACGCACTGTAGTTTTTTAATAATGACATGTTTTGCACGAGTTTATATGCAATACTTTTATATTTAAACATACGTGTAATGGGTTTTTATTCAGGGGATTTTTTAGATATTCCCTATTTGTATTTATTTTTAACACATTCAATTCCTATGTTAACCAATTGATACACGAACCTAAACCGGTTTCATCGCATCAAAACAGTAAAGCTGTATAGTATCACCTGATAATTAAGATTTTACATAGAATCTTATAGTACCTCTAATAATTCAACCAGGGACTATATGTGAAGTTTTTTAGTTCGACTTTAAATAGTATGACGGCTCTGCCCTTGACACCCGTTTGGATCAGGAACTGATCCAAAAATCCCTATTGAAAGGAACACATATTGTGATCTCTTTCGGAAAACGGAAATTTCATTCTAACCAGTGAAACATATCATAAATAAAGAAAAAAAAATCGTTTTTTCCTCTACTATATGCAATTAAGACTGGCAATCATAAGTAAACGTATAAAAGGAGGACATTTGGTTTTATATAAAATTATCGAATTTTTGAACCGAAATTTCGGTCCCTTGAAGGTTTACTATAGTGTGGTTTGACTGTAATAAAATTTAAAAAAAAAAAAAAAAAAAATTTTNAAAAAAAAAAAAAAAAAAAAAAACATTAAGGCATAACATATCAAGAAAAAAAATATAATGGTATAAAATATTTTGTCAAGCTTAGCAGTTATCAAAACCTTTTTCAATGCACTTCAGCCATAAACAGTCTAAAAGTTGATCCACAGTGCTGTGTAATTCTAAATTCTTTCAGTTTTGACTTTATTTAACTAACTTTAAATACTGATCAGAGAATCAGTCACTATTTGTAGAAAGAAAAACAAAATACACACTTACAATAGAATATAGTTACATTAATGTAGACAATGTTGTTTATTCTTAGTTTTTTTTCTTTTTTTTTCTTAATAAAACTTGTAAAAAGTTAGATTCTCAAGGGCCTTCCGAGTGCGCATGCGTAAAGACGGTACTGATTATTCAATATTCAAATATGTGACTGCATTGACAAACAAAAGTATTGCATGAAAAATAAAACAATCCCGCATCCCAAAACACGAGAAGAAAAGCATATTCTTTTATTTTAAGTGTTTAGGTTTTCTTTGGTTCAGAAAAAATAATTACTCAACACTAGATTGCCCAAGGAAGTCATTTTGACTGTTTTCTAATTTCAATTAGAAAAACAATGATGTACATAATGACACAATTTTTTAGAATTTTGTGACTTTTTTGTACAACATATACTTTTTTTATAGTTAATATTTACTAATAACTTGTTGCATAACTGTAAATAATATACAAAATATTAAAAATTAGTTAAACAAATTTCTTTACACATTGGTTATTTTCTCACAATCCAGTCATTTTTACTGCATTTGGGCAATATAGGTATATACTAAGTTTCAGTCTTTCTTGTGTTATGTAAAATGCACATTGCTCACTGAAAATAATGCATGCGTTAATTGATAGAAGAACTTAGCAACGAACCTTTTTGTAAATAAAATTAATAATAATAATTCTGTCAAATTTATTTTATTTTTAATGAAATTAAAATGGGTCGGAGGTTATTCAGGCTGTTACATTGTATTTCACATTGCATGATCATTATGTGTGGGTGAAAACTCATTGGCAGGTCTTTAAAAGTCAACAGAACAAAAAACCAGGGTTCGTGATTTTTTTGATTTTTAAAAAAAATAAATAAATAAAACTATTTTTTTGGTTTAAATCGAATTTTTTTTTATTTAATTCAAATACACTGTAAGAACTTTGACTTATGATTAAAAAAAAACTTTATAAATGCTTGATCAAAAAAATTTAAATTAATATTAAAACTATAATATAACAATATTTTAGAAGCTATAACTACATAAAACAATTTTTCATTTAAATACATAGCTTTGAATGCATAGCAACCATTTTGAAATAAATGCATGATTGATGCATGACATGAAATTTAAAGACTAGATGAAATAAAGAATTTAAACAATACTTTAACTATTAAAACAAAGTTTCAATTAGCAAACCATAATTTTAATTTAAAATTGTGATTTCTTTTTTTTTCTCGTGATTTTTGAAATGACAAAATAAATGTTACAGATTGTGTTTATAAATGTAGTCATTCAACCAATAATAAATAAATATTTAATCTATATATTTTTATATTAAAATATTTATTTTTAATTGTATATCAAAATAGATAAGTTAAGCTATAAAAAATTTTTTTTTAAATCTATGTACTTATTGGAATTTTTTTTCACAAAATTTCTTTATAGAAAATCTGAAAATGTCAAAGACACTGTAAACATATTATGAGATTTATTCAAATAAAATTTGTTTAAAATAATTTATTTAAAATAAATTTTAAAACTAAGAAAAGAAAATTATTTTAGTTTCAATAATGTAAAAAATTGTTTTTAACTTTTTAAATCAATATATATACATATAAAGAAAAAATCAGTTTATTTAAATCAATGATTTTTTTAAAATAATCATTTGATTTAAATCAAACTGATTTAAGTCAACAAACCCTGTGAAAAACAAGTTTAATTTTCTTCACGAGTATGAAAATTAAATAGATATAGAACACAAAACATTATTTGAAAAATAAATAACTGATTTATTAAAATACCTGTAAAAAACATTAGAAATTTAAAAGAAAAATTTGGGGGCCCTTACAAGTTAAAAGGCAAAAAATTTAAGACATTGTTTTCTTTTTTTTCATACGTAATTTGGGGTGGGGGGGTGATCACAAATCTCGGGGACCAGTCCCTGTACACCACTACGGAAGTCATATTAAAACAAAGGAATTGATCAAGATTATTCATGCATAAATAAACAGTGACTCACCTGAGCAGAAGCACAATGACTTGTTCTTAACGAACTATATTCGAGGGAAAATATTCAGTGAAGGCTAACTTTTCAGTCCTTTTTGATCAATAAACATAAAAAGATGGCGTGTAATCGTGAAAAATCGGAGGGAATTAAATGATTTCAGCAGGATGTGTGTGGCAGGTGTGTTTGAATCCGTGTAGAGGAAGGACTGTCGCCGCCGAAGGAAAAGGATTCAGAAAAGTATAACAAGAGAGGGAAAACAGGTTTTTCGAACCTGTGGATCATCTTTATAGGCAAATGAGACGGTTGCATTGTGATTCATTTTGCCCCCGAGTTCATTTTTCCCAGAGTCAAAACTCCAGGCGCCATTTTGAAATGATCGTTTGATAATAATTCTTTTGTTTTTAGTGGGTCATTACTAATTATTAAAACACTTTAACAATTTTCTTCTCGTAGAATTTATTTTCTTTTTTACAAATGCATAGCTGCCAACTCTACTGGATTTTTCCAGTTTCTCCTGGTTTAATATAAATTCTCCCAGTTTCTTTACATTTTAGAATATTCCATAAAACTGAGTGCGATTCCAAAAAAAAATCCTTATTGAAATATAATTTTTGCACAGGTTATTACTTGCTTGGATACCAAAACAAGTATTATAAAGCTAGCCTCATTTTTAAAAATCAGTTTATAACTGTTTTTGTTCTAAAATGTTCAGTTTATATTTTTATTCAGAACTCCCTTTTTAAATTAATTAAAAAGTCTTTCAATAATTTTGATGAATTAAATGCCTATTACTATTAAAATTATGAGTAAACATAATACATAACATTTCATGTTATGTATTATGTTATTTAATGTCCATCATAACTGGAAAATATTGCAATTTTTCTATTTTGATAACTATCCCTAAAATTCCCCTTGAGTAAATAATTTACTATGCAACAATTATCATGAAATTTATATTATTACGTAAAATTCACTGGATTTTTTCCTATCCATGTTGGCAGCTATGCATATGAGTTATTTTCTAAAAAATTTTCAAATCCACGTATTGTTTAGTAAGTCAAAAAAAAAAAAAAAATCTGGCAAAATTATAGAATGATTAAGAATTTGGGAAAAGTTACAGTGCAAAAAGAAGGGGAAAAAAAGAGATTATTTTTATCACTGAATAATTTATTGAAATCTCATTATACAGTCGAACCCCTGAAATTTCGGTTCACTATAACCGGGAGTTCACTGTAAACCATGTTCATCATAACTAGTTTTGATTGTATTATGTTTTGAAGAAATAATTTAATTTTAACACTAAACATACCAACACTTAGATTTCTATCGTAGCCGGTCAAATGAACGGACTTTATGTTTCTTGATTGAATGTATAAAATATGGATGTTAAGAATCGTGTATATCAAGGCACGGGAGCAGGGCCGGATTAAGCGCGCGTGGGTCCCTGGGCCATTCAAATTTTGGGGGTCCTTAGATTAAATTTTTTTTCTCGTTCTCGTATATTTTTTTATTTATTGAAATGTAAAAGTATTTATATATCTTTTCATTTAAGAAAGCATATTTAAAATTAAAATAAATAATAATAAATTAAATTTTACTTTAATTTGTTAAATCAGAACTAAAAAAATTATCGTATTTTATTAATATATATTTCAAATTGATTTTTTTTAAAAAAATCATTGTTTTTCTTAATTTNATATCCGTACTGCAAACAATTCTAACTAAATATTCTGAACTGCTCCCTTTTATGACACATTATTTAAATAAATGACCCATAAAACGAAATACAAAAATAATAAAAAACAATATGTAGTAACGAAAGTGTTAACTTTTAATTTTTATAACTCTTGCGTACAAAAAATTTAGGGATGGCCTTTAGTTATTTAGGGATGGGAAACTGAGATCGAAGAAGTAAACAGGAAAAATGTTTATGGCTGCATTCCACTCAATCGATGGTTTTAAAAATCGGTAGTATGTATTTTACGTAGAAATTTCAAAATTACCAAAAAATGAAGAAGAAAAAAATCAGAAAAAAGTTCATAATATCCAATTTCCTCTCATCTTTTGGTTCACTATATCCACAGAAGATAATATTATAATTGTATAGCAAGGAACGGGGACGAACATTTCGTTCACTATAACCGGGAGTTCACTATAAACCATGTTCATCATAACTAGTTTTGATTGTATTATGTTTTGAAGAAATAATTTAATTTTAACACTAAACATTCCAACACTTAGATTTCTACCGTAGCTTGTCAAATAACCGGACTTTATGTTTCTTTATTGAATGTATGAAATATGGATGTTAGGAATTGTGTATATCAAGGCACGGGAGCAGGGCCGGATTAAGCGCACGTGGGGCCCCAGGCCATTCAAATTTTGGGGGTCCTTAGATTAAATTTTTTTTTTCTCGATCTCGTATATTTTTTTATTTATTGAAATGTAAAAGTATTTATATATCTTTTCATTTAAGAAAGCATATTTAAAATTAAAATAAATAATAATAAATTAAATTTTACTTTAATTTGTTAAATCGGAACTAAAAAAATTATCGTATTTTATTAATATATATTTGAAATTGATTTTTTTTTAAAAATCATTGTTTTTCTTAATTTTTTAAAATTTATTTTCAAAAAAATTTTTTAAGGGGGCCCTTAATCATTGGGGGCCCTAGACCATGGTCTAATGGGTAATCCGGCCCTGCACGGGAGAGAACATTTTGTTCACTATATCCGGGAATTCAATGTATATTAAATCATACATGCAAGTGTTTATTTTTTTAGCTGTTTTAATCTATTAGGTCCATTTGTCTACATACGTATCGTTTCTAAGCTAAACTCTTAGAATGCGATGGAAAATCTTACAGCTAACAGAAGAACTGAAAGAAAATCCATAACCTGAAAATTAGCTGCTAAATTACAAAGGTTAAGCTACAAAAAAGAAAGAAAAAAAACTTTTTTTTTAAACGTAAAATGTCTTGGGTGGCGAGAAGTTGAAATCAAAGTTTTCATTGTAAGATCTTAAATTTGTTTTAAAGTGATTTTGCATTCGAAAGTACTTGAAATAAGGTTTAAGCATACATTTTGCGTTTAAAAGTGCATTCTCTATAAGACGTTTTTTTTATAACCGTTGTTCAATAGCAGACCCAATTTTTGGGTTTACAACTACTAATGTTCAACCTAGTAGTCTCCGTACTACTAATGTTCAACTTGTCATTTTGAACCCAATCCAAAAGACAAGAGACCTCCTTAATCAAGTATTGGGAGAAATTTGATTTCGTGGAGAACCTTTTTTTTTTGATGGAACCAACCCGCATTTGTGTTACATGGAGAGGAAGACCACGAGAACCTCCCATGGTTAACCGGACGGCGAGGGGACTCTTACCAATGATCCGTCTACCTTTGAGGATAATTTACGTCAGCACTGTGGTCGGGGCAACCCGGAGGCGGAATTCGTGTCGACCAGCCCTCGCTGGGATTCGAACCCGGTTCAACTCATTGGAAGACGAACGCTCTATCCCCTGAGCCATCGCGACTCTTTATAAGACGTTAAGCGATCGAATTAGCAATAATTTTCTAATATTTTGGTTGTTATTGAAAATTCACTTTTATTTACACATTTTTAACTTTAATCGTGCCTTTACGCCAATTACTTTCATTCATTTTAGGGATTATTATTTCATTATAGTATTATTAATAGTATTATAAGGAGTATTTCACATTCAATCTAATTTTTTTTTTAAATTGGTAAAATCTAGTAGATTTTCCTTTTAATACTGGCAGTCAATGTGATGATAGTATTTATCGATAACGTCAATCTTCATCTATGAAAAGGTGGCCCGTCTCTTGATCAAGTTAACATGTCTTATATACTAGCGAATTGGATATTATTTTTGTAGTGGTAGACACACTACAGTCAAAATTACTCTTTTTATGAACAAACAATTTTCTTTTTATGTTTTCAAATAAATTTTATGAAATAATGATGGAATAATAAGGGATACAATTTTGAAATAAATAGTAACAGACTTTTCAATTTACATCTAGCTCAAGTTTTAGTGGAAGTATTTGAAAAAAAAAGTCATCAACCATAGAACTGTTCGCAATTTTTTTTTTTAATTAAGAAAATTTAATGTTGTTTATTTAAAATTGATTTTTTTTTCCAATTAAAATCAGAATCATTTTATTTAAATCAATTTTTTTAATACTTAAATTGGATTTTTTTTTTGTAATTTCACAACTTATTTTAAAACTTAAGTTTTTAATTAATTAAATTAGAATTTATAAATGCAGTTATGATTAAAATACAATGAAAATTAAATAATAGCATTGTATTTCATACGCTGCAACAAATTACCGCTTTAAAAACTGCTTTATTATAATGCATGTAAATGTTTGATATATACAGGGTGATTCTAAAAAGATGGGCAAAATTTTAGGAAGTGATAGTACACACCCAAACAAACAATTTTTATCAAAGAATGCATGGTCGAAAACAGAACGCAAAGGTGCTGGTGCATTTGGAAAGTTGTTTNAACTATGTAAAGAATGGATTCCGAAATGACACATGAGGATTGTGCTGGCCAACGAAGCAAGTTAAATTCTCCGTCATGCTCTTCGAACCATCTGAGGACAATGCCAGCTTTATGACAAGGAGCGTTGTCTTGTTGGAAGTATCCATCCCCGCCAGAGTACACCATTGACATAAACGGACGTACTTGATAAGCGATGATACTTAAATACCCTTGGGTATTAAGGCGTTGTGGTACAGGAATTAAAAGACCCATACAATACCAAGAGAACATTCCCCATGCCATAACGTTGCCACCACTAGCGTGAAGTGTCGTGGCAATGCAGTTGGGATCCATGCTTTCGTGCTGTTTTCTCCATATTCTCATCCTGCCATCTGCGCGATGCATTTGAAATCGTGATTCATCGGACCACATGACCCTATTCCAGTCATCTACTGTCCAATGTTTGTGCTCCTTTGCAATTTGGAGACGTCTGCGCTTATTTAAAGGAGACAGTAGAGGCTTACGAACAGGTCGTCTGCTTCCATACCCTATACGGCGCAGTGTGCGTCGAACAGTCCGTTCCGAGTTGCTTCTTGATTAAGATCACTTGCAATTTGTCGCACTGTTCCTCTCCTGTTACGCTGAACAACCCTGACCAGCAGCCTTCTCTCTGATCGAGCATTCAGTACCCTGTGACGACCACAAGTCTGACGTTGAAACCCGGTTTTTTGCTTGATTGTCCATTCTTTGTACACATTAACAACTGCTGCTCTAGAACACTTCACAAGTGCAACCGTTTTGCTGATACTCGTTCTGACACATCTCGCACCCACAATTATTCCACGTTGAAATTCAGTTAAATCAATTTTTTTCTCCCATATCTGAGCAATCAACACAGTATAACTGATGACTCACTTGTCCAGCATTCCCGTGTTATAGTTATCTTGCCCTCTAGCGGCAGCGCTGTGACGTAATAACTCATTTGCATAAAACTATGAGGTGGTCATAATTTGGCCACTCAGTGTATATATATAGCACAATCTTACCAAATATTTCGTATTCGGCTTTCACCGATCACAGTGCTGACGTGAAATATCCTCAGTGGTAGACGGATCAGGGGTTAGAGTCCCTTCGCCATCAGGCTAACCATGGGAGGTTCTCGTGGTTTTCCTCTTCATGTAACGCAAATGCGGGTTGGTTCCATCAAAGAAAGGTCGTCCGCGAAATCAAATTTCTCCCAATACTTGATCCAGGAGTTTCCTTGTCTTCTGGATTGGGTCCAAAATGACAAGGATACAGAGTTGAACATTAGCAGTTGTTGACTGAGTGTAAAGCTAAAAAATTCAACATTTTTAGGCAATAAGTCAAAATAAATTGCAAAACCTGGCTATTCTTGGGATTTAAATTTCTACATACTTAAAAATATTCTTACAATATTTTGAAGGTATTGTTCGATATAAAAATGTTGATTGACCTCAACAGTATGCAGATGTATATAAAAGTTGGCATGTTTGAAACGCTCAAAAATTGGCCGCTATTCTCATGACTTGCCAGACGTGACTGAGAAAAAACAAACAGAGTTACCATTCTAATCTGGAGAAAAAAAAAAATCCTTGTTTTCCCTGTGCATATCATACACAAGAAGAAACAAAACAATGACTGTGCTCTTGTGTGAGCTATATTGTGCTAACTATACTAATTTTAATTTGCTGGAAAAACTTAAGAGAAAAAAAAGGAAACAGCTGAACATACTTAAAACAAATAATGCTATAGTAAATAAAATAGTTTAGTATAGCTGAAATATCCCATAAATTGCACTTTGAGTGGTCACCATCTTTTAAAAGACGAAAATAAGAAACAAAATTTCCTGTATTTTTCTAATTTACAAAATCAAAATTCCCTGTTATTTTAGGTGATTTTTAAATTCCTTGTATTTTCCAGGTGGAGTGGCAACCCACTGATTTAATACTTTGACGGTTTTTATTTTTTTATGAGCTTGTGGAGTATATACTAGCTTAGTATAGACAATATCAACCTTCATCTGTGAAAAGGCACCCCACTATATAATTGAGTTAACGAGTCTTATATACTAGGGAATTAATATTTTTGAAGTGGTGGACATGCAATAGTACTCCCCCACCAGAGTTATATCAGCGATAGAATTTTATGAATGGATACCACTAGTTGATTCATTGCTGTTTCGTGAGAAGTCAGAAGAGCTGTATTAAGACCACCATACTTTTGAGTGCTGATCATCAGAGTTGTATTGAGTTCGCAGTTGTGGTTGCTCGTGGTGCCCTCAGCTGCCGAGTGAATGCACGCCGACGTTGTGCATGATCCAGATTGAGTAATAACGGTGCGAAGAGGTGGATAATGTTGCAGTCACTAGTAGCAAGTCAACTGTTCAATGTGGACAATCCATCGAAGTAAGAGAGATCAAATCACACCCGGGTCACCAATGTGGGAAGAGTCACATCGACAATGTCGACAAAAAGGTATTCCAACACAGAATCAAGTTAACAAATCTTATATCCTAGTGAATTGTATTTTTGTAGTGGTTGACACATGAAAAAGTGGCAGGCCGAATTTGAGATGTTAAGATGGCCAAGAAAAAGACCTTTCGGTCTTAAAAACTGGAAAACACTAGCAGGAAAAAGGTTAGCCCGGAAAAAACTTCTTGAGAAGGCCAAGGCTCACACTGGACTGTCGAGTCATTGATGATGATGACACACTACAAGCTGAATGCCTGTACAAGGGGGGAAAAGTCAGTAAATCGTTATTAATCAACACTATGAAATCATGCTACAAAAGAGAAGAGCCCATTTGAATAAAATTTTAATAGAATCTTTAAATAACTACAGTGAGAGGCAAATTATTCTTTCCTGTATCTAATAATAGGCATATAGCGAAATCCTTTATGATCTGTTTTGAACCACACATTATCTCCAGCATTTGGATTGAATCCCTCTTCATACATTTCTCCAGGAATCTGTAACAACACAAAAAAAACCTTTAAGTTTTTCAGTACAATAATGACACAAGTTTAATTAAGTAGTGAAAAAAGGATAATTCGTTTGAACATTTAAAAAAAAATTGTTAAGTGCATTTATGCTTTAAATGAATCAGAATATAAAATATCTAGTTTAAAACATGCTAAAGTTGTTTGCGGCTATGAAACTAAACTTATAACATTTCTCCAGGAACTTGAAACACACACACAAAAACCACCTTTCAGTTTTTCAGAACATTAATAACACAATTTTTTTTAAAGGATATATATTATTTTTATTAAGTATAATAACCGTTAGGCATATTTTGCAATTTGATCTTCTAAATTTTTAAAAGCTGTTCGCAGACGTGCCAACCTAGCAAAATTAACATTCAGGAGTTTCCCTAACAAGAATTCAGGAGATTTCAGGAGGGGTAAAAAAAGGTGCATGGTATGCAACATTTGGCACTTCTAAGGAATTTTAAGTAAAAAATTTATTAAATATAAGAATGCAAGAAATTTTACACACTAATAGAGCAATAATTGTTTAAAAATATTAAATGGAAATAAAATAATTAAACACAGATTTAGCAACACAAAACTATATTAGGTAGATACTCTTTAAATAAATACCATTTCCTTAATAAANTTTGAATATTTAAAAAAAAAAATCGTTCAGAGCTTTTATGCTTAAAATGAATCAGAATATAAAAATAGAGTTTAAAAAATGCTAAAGTTGTATGCTACTATAAAATAAAACTTTGTCTAAATTAAAAAATTGCAGAAGCCTCTTTAGTGCCTTTGTTTGGGATATGAAACTTGAAATTATAAAGATGTTTGTTGAAATTCATTCAGAATTTATAATTAGTCTGAAATTCATAAACTGCTAAACTTGAAGCAAAAAATACCATGTATGTTGCTCTGCAGGTAGCAGGAATGCAACTACAGAGCTACAGAGTTGAAATTTGTTGTTCTAAAAAGATCATTTTTGGTTATGCATTTAATAAAAGTTTTTTCTTTTTTTCAATTTCAGCTTCTTTTAAGTGCTTTTACGGAGATGTTCTTATTTAAAACATTTTTTTTTAGGTTTGCTGCAAGTGTCATAGAAAATTAAAATTATGAAGGCGTATAAAAATGGTTCAAGGAGACAATAAAAAAAAAGAATTTAGTTATTAGTTCAAGAATATTAAATTTGTAGAATTGGACAAAAGTACAGAGGTGCAAATTTACGTGCTGAAAGGTTTAATTTCATTTACGCAAATGTAGGTTCAAACGCAAATGTGGGTTACTTCCCTCAAAAAGTCCTCCACAAAGGCAAAAATTTTCCAAATACTTGATCCAAGAGTTCTCTTGCCTTCTGGATTGGGTTCAAAGTTACAAGGCTACAGAGTTGAACATTGGTAATCATAAACCCAAAATTGGGTCGGCTGTTCAAAGACGGGTTTTAGGCATTGTGTGTATGTTCTTGTATTGTGCTACATTGTTTAATAATAACAATGTTTAACGTTTCTTAATAATACAATGTTTCTTTCATATTTCTACATTTCATAACCAGACAATACACAGTCAAGACTTTTACCTTTTCAAGAAGTTCCCGATATTCAATAACTTCATCAGGTGGATGGTGAACTTCTGAAACTTTTGGTCGAAAGATATGTGAGTAGATCAAGAGTTTGTTTTTGTGAGTTGTGTACCTGTAGAAAAAAATCTCTGCTTATTAAATCAAATATAATAAAATCCCAACATTTAGGAACACTAAATAAATAAAACATTAACCCTCTGAGTATGGCTCAGACTTTGTGCAAAAGATAACAAGAATTTATTTTTTAAATTAAAAAGCAGTTATTATAAGGAACTTGCAAATATGTATATTTTGCATATTTTTTCTCTAACCCTTTTGAAATAAATTTCGACTTTGTCAAACTTAATGAACAAAAATAAATAAAGTCATCACTTTTACACATAAATACATTTTTCAGTTTCAAATATTGTAATAAATCTTGTTAAAGTACAGATGTTAAAGATTAACATAAAAACCTAACAATCTTATATTTTTAAACTTGAATACACAAAAAAATCTAAGGCATTTTGGACAAAAAATAAAAATCATTAAGTTTGCTTGTAACATGTAAAATTAAAATTATTTGCTGTTATTTTTTCCTTCTTACTCTCGCAATTCAATTTTTTTTTTCTTTTAAAGTTTTTCTTAAACTATTGGATTTTGGCATCTAAGTCATCATTTAGTTTCCCTGCTTGAACAGCAAATTTATCAGCGAACTTAGTTCATCTATCTATGCATTGCAATAATCAATCTAAGGAGATTCTAAGGACTAATTTGGAAATTTAAGTAGTTCCAAGTAATTCTTGGGGACTTTTTTATTGCCAAAGAGTTTCAAAGGAGTATAAGGAGTCTGAACGCACCCTGGATATTATGAACTTTTTTCCATCTTTGACTGATACCCCCCCTTCAATTTTTGGTAATTTAGAAATTTTTACATGAAATACATATACCGATTTTTAAAACTATCAACTGAGTGGAATGCAGCCATAAGCATTTTTCTTGTTTGCTTCTTCTATCTCAGTTTCCCACCCCTAAATAAAGGGCAGTCCGAAATTTTCTGTAAGTAAGACGAAGAGTTATAAAAAATAAAATTTAACATATTTTTTTATTAGTACAGATTGCTTTTTAATCCTTTTTGTATTTCTTTTTATGGGTCATTTATTTAAATAATGTGAAATAAAAAAGAGCAGTTCGGAAAAATTAGTTAAAATTGTTTGCAGTATGGATATAGTGAACTCCCGGTTATAGTGAACCGAAATTTCGGTCCCTTGAAGGTTCACTATAGCGGGGTTTGACTGTATTTACTTTCTTATGTTACAATCCACATCTTCAACATTTATTTTAAAATAATACGCGAATTTTAATAGCTTTTATGTTATTAAAAAATATATAATATGGCGCCTGCTGTTTCTGCAGACAGGGTTTATAAAGTGAAAAAAATTCATGGGATATTTTTTTTTCTTCCGAGGAATATAATTTGTAAACATTTTGTCTCAAACCGAACATTTTACTCCGAATCCGAAACACTATCTTCAGAATCAAGATATTTTCGCTTGTTATTTCCACATATAATGCCACCGACACTCGGCAAATCCATATTTTTCATAAATGCCAGTCGCGCAAAAGAAAGAAAAAAANATGTGAACTCCCGGTTATAGTGAACCGAAATTTCGGTCCCTTGAAGGTTCACTATAGCGGGGTTTGACTGTATTTGTTTTCCACATTTGTTTTAAAATAATACATGAATTTTAATAGCTTTTATGTTCTTAAAAAATATATAATATGGCGCCTGTTGTTTCTGCGGACAGGGTTTATAAAGTGAAAAAAATTCATGGGATATTTTTATTTTCAGAGGAATATAATTTGTAAACATTTTGTCTCAAACCGAACATTTTACTCCGAATCCGAAACACTATCTTCATAATCAAGATATTTTCGCTTGTTATTTCCACATATAATGCCACCGACACTCGGCAAATACATATTTTTCATAAATGCTAGTCGCGCAAAAGAAAAAAAAAAACAAAGCATGCAAACTCATAAATATGGGGGGGGGGGGATCAAGCAAGAGAAAAACATTTCCTGAACTGTCTAGTGTCATATAGCAGCAGAAATAAGCAACAAATGTTTTTTTAAATCTACATGGGGAAATAGCGGAATCAGCATTGAAACAAGGGGGAGAAGAATTCTTCGCCCGCGATTTTCACGTGACTCGCACTCGGGGACGAAACTGATACCCCGCTCAAATTGCGAGAGTTCTAAGCGGAGGGTTAAATTTAAATTAGTTTAATTTAAAAAAAAGTTAATGAATACTTAAATAAAATATTTTTTAATACGATTTTTATGAGCACTGTATTGACCATAACTTGGACTTATTTAAAAACTTCGATTAAAACTTTATTGAAGCTGTTAGAAATGAAAGTATCAGTCTGTTATATATCATTGAGCTCAGAAGGATTTAATATTTTTTGTACAAATAACTCAATTGTACAAACATTTCAACTATTTCTAATCTAATGATCAGAACGGCCAGGGTTTGACTACCATCTAATTAATGCAGACTATAGTACAGGTTACAAAACATATACAGATTATCTTACAAACTAACCAGTTTTAGGCTTTTTTATGTACTAAATTTGTAATTATTAATATTTCTTTACTTATAACATCAGACAATCTATGAACTTCACCTTTTTTTTAAACTTTTTTTTTACTTTCAGTTTCTCACTAGCTGCCTCGAGCTTCAGTTATAATGCCATTTTGTAAATCAGTTTTTAACCTGTTATTGCTTTCAATGACTAATTCAATAATTTTATTTATTACAGGCCTAGCATGAAAGAAATTTTTTTGGGGGGGGTAGGGTATTTGTAAATACAGTGATCTCTCACTCATGCACACTCTCTTTTATACAAGTAAGTTTCTCACTTATGTGCGTTTTTTTTAGCAGTCCTGGCTGGTGATATAAAAAAATTAATAATAACTTTTATTCATTTATTCACTGTTCTGCAAAACCACCTCTCACTTATGACAGGCACAGAAACTTTCTCACTTTGAAAAGAAAGGGTCTCAAGTTTGTAGCCTATTGCTTATCATAAGAATTTTCATCCTTTTGTCATGTTTCTTTTGGAATGCTCTCATTTTCCTAATTTTGTCATTATAAGGGGGGTGCATCTGATTTGAATAATGGATTCATTTGATAATTTAAAGAACATATATATATATGTGAGTGTGTGTGTGTGCATATATGTATATACATATATTTAATTATAAGACCCTTAATAAGAACTGCTTGTGATTTAAAATAAGATCAGTGATTTAATTCAAATAAACAAACTAAAATTTAAATTAATTGTAAAAGAATTAATTGAATAACTAAATCATATCAGGGCTAGTTAAAGTTCAACAACTTCAAATATTCCATAAAAAAATATCTAGAAAGTTCACATAAACATAAAAACATCATTAAATAAATAAATAAAAAATTCAGGTAACTAACTGTCTTCTGAAATAGTTCCATTCCCAATCATCTGCTTTTCTCCAATCTTGTAGTTTAAAATCATATCTTGAATAGCGCTCAAAATCAATTCTTTCAATATCCTCAACAACCTGAAATAATTAGTATAATAATATAAGTATTTAAATGTAAGATAACATCTTAATTCAGTTATTCAACAATATTCCATTTAACAAATACCTTGTTATTTTAGGAAAAGGGTAGAGAGAATTTCTAATACATCAAAACCTCGCTAGAAAAATATTTTGGAGACCAAATAAATATATTGTTGTAGAGGAATATATTATTATATCAAAGGCCTGCATACTTTGGGGACACAATAAGATTTTTTTTAAAAATCTTAATGTTATATAAGTATTAACTAAAAATCTATTTATATATTATATAAAAGTTTAATTTGCAGACTGGTAATTATGGTTAAATATGATATCAGATAGGAATGTTACATCTGTAACTTCTTTAGAGATAAGGTAGGCAATTCCAAGAACCGAAGGTCTTGGGAGTGGGGTCTATGTGCATCAAATACGGGGTATTGAAATCTGAATACGAAAGTAATTCACTGTGATGAAAGGAAATAAGATAAGTACAAAATCGGCAGTGAGATTTCTCTTGTCAGAAAAGATTTAAAAAAATGGCAAAATATGATAAAATAAGATTTTTTCATTATTTGAAAACCAATGATAAATGGAGAAAATAAGGTTGAAATTTGAAGGAAAAAAAATCGTTTTAGAGGGGTTTATTGCTTCATAGAATATTGCGATACTGAGAGGTGATAACATTAATTCATATGCAAGTTCTTTGGGACCACGAAACATTATTGTAATAGAGGGAGTTATTGTTGTATCGGATATCGTAATAGCAATAGTTCACTGCAATATACTATTTAATAATAAAATAAAAACATTGTACAGTAAAACCTCCGGACAATGGTCCTTTGAGGGATTGTGTCTAGGTAACTGTTGTTAAGAGGTGACTGCTATAAACAAATTACTTGCTTAAAAAATAAATAAATAAAATTGCATACAACAAATTAAAAACAAAAGTGTAATTGCAAACAAGATGACTCATTTAATAGTTAACTTAACTGGCATTAAATTTTTTACACAAGTTCAAGCTTTAATCACTTCCGGGGGTGGGCACCCTTTTAAATGCAAAAATCTCCCCCCATTTTAGAAAACAGCAAAAATATATGTAAATTTTTTATTTAAGCGCCACTTTTTCTTTTTAGCTACATCCGTAATGTTTTGTAAAGCAGTATTTTTTTTAAGACAAAATTAACATAGTAAAAATAAAGAAGAGAAAAAACAGGATTACCACTCTAATCTGGAAATAAATTTCCCGTGTTTTCCCTGTACATATTAAACACAATATATTAAGAAGAAACACAACAATTACTGTACTTTTGTGTGAGCTATATTGTTCTAACTATACTAAGTTTAATTACTGGAGGAACATAGAGGAAAAAGGTGTAGCTCAACATATTTAAAACGAGTAATTCTATAGTAAATTAAATAGTTTAGTATAGCTGAAATATCATCCTTAAATATCCCATAGATTGCAATTTGGGTGTTCACCATTTCTTTCAGTTTAATATAATACATAATATTAAAATAAACAATTGTTATCATATACAGTGAACTCTCGATACTACGATATATCCAATACAACCAAAACTCCCTCTGCTGCGATGTTTCGTGGTCCCGACGAACTGGCATGTGAATTAATGTTATCCTCCTCTCAATATTACGATATTCTCTGAAGCAATAAATCCCTGTAAAACGATTTTGTTACCAAATCTTAACCTTATTTTCTCCATTTATTATTGGTTTCCAAATAATGTAAAAAATCTTATTTTATAATCTTTTGCCATTTTTTTTTCTGACAAGAGAAGACTCACTGCTGACCACCCCAAGAGCATTCTTTCTTAGAATTGCCTCCCTTATCACTTAAGAAGTCACGTAATACATACTTTGTTGGTTGACTTAACAGCCAGAAAAATGAACAAATAAACAAAAATATCGGATTATTTTTAATAGAAATGATTTTCAGGTATGTTTGCGAACTTATTTTATTTCAATTGTTTTCAATACTTAACCATAAAAAACGCTCCGCAAATTGATTTTTTTTATATGATATATACATTTCTAGTTAATATATACATAACATTAAAATTTTTAAAAAATCTTATTACGTCCCCAGAGTATGTAAGCCCCTTACAAAACAATATATCCCTCTACAATTGTATATTTATCTGGTCCCAAAAATATTGTTGTTGCGAGGTTATACTGTATAATTATAATATTAATTGTAATTATCATATTAAGGTCATCTATTTATCCCTCCATAGGGAAAAAAATTACTCAAAAAAAGAAATAAATGCAAAGGACTTACCACTTCCACATCACCAAAATTATTCCAGTCATATATCAGAATCTCTGTATGTCTTCTAAAATAAATTTTTTTAAAAATTAGTATTTACTTCAGGGTGTGTAGCCAAATCTTTCAACAAATAATAAGCACCTTTCAAGCACTTAAAAATATTTTTAAGCACTATATACATTAACAAACTATAAATAATTTTCAAAGACCTTACATGATCATGATAAAATAACTAGTTTCTGACAAAGAACTCTTTTCCTTGATTATATTAGCCATTATAAAATGATGAAGAGATTTTTAGGTTCGATACCAGAGAGTGCAAAATTTATGTGCTTTTTAACTACGCATAAGAGAAATAATGTCGAAAAAATTTTTAGCCCCCAATCCAAAACAATTCATTCAAGGGGCCAGTCCAAAGAAGGAAAAAAATTCTTCAAAGGTTTAGTATTACTTATTAAACTGCAGGCAGTTTTTTTTAATAGTTGCCACATGATGGCTCAGGGGATAGAGCATTCGCCTTCCAATGAGGTGAACCGGGTTCGAATTCCAGTGATGACTGCTCAATATGAATTCAACATCAGGCTTGCACCGACCATAGTGCTGATGTAAAATATCCTCAATGGTAGACGGATCATGGGTTTGAGTCCCCTTGCCCTGAGGCTAACCATTTGAAGTTTACATGGTTTTCTTCGTAATGCAAATGTGGGTTAGTTCTGCAAAAAGTCCTCCATGAAGACAAATTTCTCCCAATACTTGAATCAAGAGTTTCCTTGTCATCTGAATTGGATTCAAAATTACAAAGATACGGAGTTGAACATTAGTAGTCGTAAGCCCAAAATATTGGGTCAGCTGTTCAAAGACAGTTAAATATAGTTGCCACATAAAAAATACCTGTATAAAATTTTGAAAAAAAAAAAAGAAAAGCAGTATGCAATCCTAAAATGAATTTGTGATGAGGAAAAATATGAAAACCAGCACTAAATATGAATATTGAACCATATTTTAAAAAGTATGGCTCAATAGAACTTAAATATACTATTCAAACTGTCAAACTTTTGCAGAATTGTACAATTTGCAAAAAAAATGTTGTTTTTTTTTAAGTATCAAGTTTTTTTTAGCACAAAGGTAAAAAGCTTAACTATTGGTTCAGAGAGATGAATTTTTTTATTGTTTTAATTTTTAATTATATATATATATATATATATTAGGATTGGGCAATACATTGGAAAATATCAATGTTATGTGATTATAGCCAATCCAATGTTTGGAATGGCAATTTTACAAAACATGGAACATTGCGATTCACCAATATACATGCTATGTTTCCAGATGCATCAGTGACATCTATATATTATATGCAACGATTCACAAGCCTTATTTTTAACACTATAACGATGGTTTCAAGTGCGTACAATCAGCACTGCTCCTGACCATAAAATCGATGACTGCAAGCTCGGGTGAGATCTTTTCTTTATTATTGATGGTAATGAACTTAATTTAAGATGATGGGAGTGAATGAAAAGTTACGTGCATTTATAACAAGTTAAAGTAGTCGCTGTAGGAAATTTACAAAGTTGTGTAAGATTTTAAGAAATAATATAAATTTCATGATAATTGTTTCATAATGTACTAAATATTTTACACATACGGAGTTTTAGGGATTTTTATAGTCATCAAAATAGACAAATTATCATATTTTCCATTTATGATTGACATTAAACATATTTGAAATGTTATGTATTATGTTTACTCATAATTTTGAACATTAATAGGCATTTTATCCATCAAAGATAGTTAGAAGATTTTTTTAATTAATTTGAAAAGAGAAATAAAAATAAACTAAACATTTTAGAACAAAAAAAGTTTTGAACTGATTTTTAGAAATCAGTTTCGCTTTATTATGTTATTAGTAATTCTTATGTAAATATTCTAGAAAGCAAGCAATAATCTGTACAAAAATTCTATTTTAATAGGGATTTTTTAAGGAAACTTACACAATTTTAGGGAATTTCCTAAAATGTACAAAAACCAGAAGAATTTTAATTAAATCAATAGACCAGGAGAAACTGGCAAAATCCAGTAGAGTTGGCAGCTATGCAAAACATATAAAATTTTATTTACTTATTTTTTTTAACTTACTCTAATTTCTTTAAATAATGATGCTTGTAGTAGTGTTCAAGCGTCTCCAAATATTCTTTTGTAAGAACTTTTGAGTTTACTTCAGTTGGCTAAAAAATAAACAAAATTATTATAAGAATTTAGTAATTAAAAATTTGTACAATCTTTGGAGGAAAATAATAAATTTAGGAAGTTTACTGTAAAATTGTATAAAAAAAAATGATTTAGTATTTCGAGGTATTTCAAAGATTTTGCTACCAAGGCCGATCACGGGTCTAGTGGTTACTGTACAGGACTATGAGGCCAAGTGGATGTGGGTTCAAATCCCACCATAGGCATGGATGAAACTTTCTCTCCCTCTGTTTTATGCCCTTTCTATTGTGTGAATGTAACCCACCCTATAAATGGGTTTGTAGCTGTATGATGACGCGGGCTACGCTACTCCACCATCGTGGCTTATTCACAGGTGCCCACTGGGTAACAATAAGAGAGTAGCAATTCTGAGGCCATATATATATATATATGTAGTATGTTTGCATTTATTATTTAAATATTTTCAAATTACAATTTTCATAATATATATTCACCACTTCCTTTATCAATTTTTTTGGAAAAAAATACAACAATTTATATTTTTTTTCTTCTTTTACTAATGAATACCAGGAACTAAAACAAAACATAATACAAAAATTTCAAGTTGAAATTTTAATTTTACCATCAGTTTACTATCCCGAGTTATCTCGGGCAAATGAGAAAAAAGTTAAATATTAGTCTCTGTATGATAATTTTTAAAAGAAGGAACAACACAAAAGGATACTTTCCAAACACCTGTAGAGTGATACACCATTTTTTTTTTTACTCTCTTTTCTACGTAAATTTAGCAACCATTGTATATACAATAGCACAAAACACATGTGCAGTCCCGCAATTCAAAAGCAAAACTCCCAAACAAAACTTGGCTTCAAAATTTGCTTTCAACTCCCAAGCAAAATTTCCAATCAAAGCAGGATTTTTTTTTTTCCTGTTTCCGGTCGATTAAAAACGTGATAAAACAAAACGCACTAATAAAATTTTGCTACTTCCGAATTTTTCTAAGGATAATAAATATTTGCAATGTAAATATACCTGAGTTAACTCGGGTTAATCAGGGAAGCAGTTAAAAAAGTTTCATGCAAGATGAAAAAAATATACAAAAAAGAAAGACAAATTTGAATAAATAATTTTAAATAAATAATTTTAAATAAATAATTTTAAATAAATATTTTAAATAACAAAGTTAAGTTGCAGTTTAGAAATAGGTTTTCGGTGAGTATGTTTCAGTAATTTCGATGCAAGGTGCTTTGAGTGACAAATTCAACAGCGGGTCATAACTTTTTGAATTTTTTTTTTAGGGAAAAAGACCTCCCTCAGTGAAAAAACTTCAACAGTTAATCGCTAATTAAAAGAAAATGAATGACTCACATCATTTCTTTCCTTGATTCTCTGAAGGCAAACCTCAGGGCTAACATCAAGATAAACAATAAGGTGAGGTCTCAAAAGTTCATCTAAAGTATTTTCGTTAATGTCTTTGTATAACTGGCGAACTGTTGAAGAGACAAAACATTTCATTATGTACAGGATGATGTGGTGAAGATGGTATAATTGAAGAAGATACAGGATAAAAATCATAATAAGAGGTGCAGAATAAAAAGAATGTTGTTCAAGCGACATATCAATTAAAATAGATAATTTTGCGGATTAAGGACAGGCCTGTCTACAAAAGACAAATCAAAAGTAGTATTCAATTAATGTTTTGTACAGAGTTGGCAAGGTTTAGGACAGGATGGATTAATCCCCAGTTTAAACCGTCCTGTCCAAAACCCTTTTATTCAAATTATGTCACAATTTAAAAAAAAAATATTGCGAAAAACAAAAGGTTAATTTTTGATTATTACTGCATTTAATTAATATTGCATTATTTATCTTTATGCAAGAACATAATTTATCAGTATTAAAAGCCTATTTAAAGGATAAGGTATCCACTTTTGTTATTCAATGAATTACTAATATTTTCTTATTATATTATATATATATGATTTTCCTTTAATAAGTTAAAGTAAATTGTATAAAACACATCAAATATTTATTACTATATGTAATTATTACACGTAGAATGGTTACACATAGAATTTTTACCTTTTACAAATGTTCAATGTTTTGGACACTTTAACACAGTAAAACCCACATGTCCTGTCTAAAACCAGTTTTGGAGGCTGAAAACCCCAACTCTGGTTTTGTAATACAGAAGAGATCAAAAAAGAACACTGCCAACCACATGTAAGGTTAAACAGCTTGTTGGAAATTAAAGTAAATTGTAGAAGGGAGAAAAATTAAAAATAGAGTATAGTTGTCACAACATTGAATAATTAATTAATTATACACTTGCAGTGAAATAAAAAGACATTTATTAAAAATATTTCCATTCGCTTTTTTATAATTGAATTAATGAAATGATTTATTTATTTTAAGAGGAAATAAAAGAAAGCCTTATAGTGACATCACATGCAAAGGAAAATAATACAGTAGATTAAGTCTTTTGTAGTGTACTCTGAATACGAAAAACTTCTGTGTCACTAACAAAATATTTGTTTTTTTTAAAACAACATTTTTATCAAGTAAAGTACGAAAAAAGCAGTTTTCTTTTTAAAATGTAGTGTGACTAGTAGCCTTCAGCCAACTTGACAACTGGTCATTTTATGACACAGCAAATTTCTACCACAGAGGGAAAAACCATTTAAAAAAATATTTAACAATTTGAGCATTATTTTTGTAATTAGGGTTCATGATTTTTTTTTTTTCTTAAATCAGACTTTTTTTAAATTTAAATCGGACTTTTTTGATTTTGATTCAAATACACTATAAGAACTTTAATTTATGATTAAAAAAGCTTGATAAATATTTAATCAAAATTAAATTAATACTAAAACTATATTATAACAATAATTTAGAAGTCTTAACTACCTGTTACAAGTTAAAAACCCTACTGCTTCAAACAGACTTTGAAAGAGTTTGAAGAGGGAGAATGACACTATATCGGGGAAAAAATATGATCAGCATCTTTTTTTTTCTATGTAATTATTATTATTATTAAACAATGTAGCACAATACAAGAACACACACACAATGCCTAAAAACTGTCTTTGAACAGCCGACCTAATTTTGGAATTTTGGGTATACGACAACTAATGTTCATCTCTGCAGTCTTGTAATTTTGAACCTAATCCAGAAGAGAAGGGAACTCTTAAATCAAGTTTTGGGAGAAATTCGTCTAATGGAACTAACCCATATTTGCATTATAAATGGAGAGGGAAACCATGAGAACCTCTCACTGTCAACCTAACGGCAAGGGGACTCTAATCCACATGGGTCTAGCTCTGAGAATAATTTACACCAGCACTCTGGTTGGAGCAAGTCGGGAGCTAAATTCGTATCAATCAGCTATCACTGGGATTCGAACCCGATTAACCTCATCGGAAGGTGAAAGTTCATTCCCCTGAGCCCTCACAGCTACGTTGTACGCATTGTGTGCCATCTAATGGCACATATGCCTTTAGATTTGAAACTATATTAAAAGGAAACACAAAATCATTGTGCTCTTGAATGAGCAGTATTGGGATAACTATACTAGTTATCATTTTTGGAAAAACTTAAGAGGATAAAGGAACAGCTGAACTTACTTAAATAATACTATAGTAAATGAAATAGTTCAGTATAGCTGAAATAACATCTTTAAATATCCCATAGATTGCTCTTCAAGTGGTTACCATTTCTTAAAAGACAAAAATAAGAAACAAAATTCCCTATATTTTCCCAGTTTGTAAAAAAAAAAAAACTCAAAATTTCCTGTTATTTTTAGGTGATTTATAAATTACCTGTACTTTTCAGGTTTTTCCTGTGGAGTGGTAACTCTGCAAAGAGTGTGAGGGGAGTGAGTAGTTACCGACCATGTCAACTTTCATCTGTGAAAGCGTACCCCAACATAGAATCAAGTTAACATGTCTTATATACAGTAGAGAACCGATAATCCGGAACGATCGGGACCATCACGATTCTGGATAACTGATTTTTCCGGTTTCCTGAATCGCTACAAAATGCCGTTTTTTTAATGTTTATAAAACGGAACTAAAAAATTATTTTGAAATAGTTTTAGAAATAATAAAAAATGATAAATAATAATACACTTAAGTTTAAATAAGGAAAGAAATTATGAAATAAAAATTATATACAGGCTTATATATGTTATTAATGTTATTATTAACATTAATAACATATGTAAGCTATTTGTGCTTATGTGAGATTTGTNTTCTTAAAAGACAAAAATAAGAAACAAAATTCCCTATATTTTCCCAGTTTGTAAAAAAAAAAAACTCAAAATTTCCTGTTATTTTTAGGTGATTTATAAATTACCTGTACTTTTCAGGTTTTTCCTGTGGAGTGGTAACTCTGCAAAGAGTGTGAGGGGAGTGAGTAGTTACCGACCATGTCAACTTTCATCTATGAAAGCGTACCCCAACATAGAATGAAGTTAACATGTCTTATATACAGTAGAGAACCGATTATCCGGAATGATCGGGACCATCGCGATTCCGGATAACTGATTTTTCCGGTTTTCTGAATCGCTACAAAATGCCGTTTTTTTAATGTTTATAAAACGGAACTAAAAAAATTTTTTGAAATAGTTTTAGAAATAATAAAAAATTATAAATAATAATACACTTAAGTTTAAATAAAGATAAAAATTATGAAATAAAAACTATATACAGGCTTATATATGTTAATGTTATTATTAACATTAATAACATATATAAGCTATTTGTGCTTATGTGAGATTCGTCTACAAACGGCTTTTGATCCGTCCTCTAAATCAGTTCTTTCGTCAACTCGATACGCCGTACGCTCTAAATATCAAAATAGGCCCAAAATCTTGCAAGAAAAAAAAAAATTTTTAATGGAAGAAAATTAATTTCCGGTTCCGAATTTCATTCGGGTTATCTGGTTTTCTGATTTCCGGATAAGAGGTTCTGCACTGTACTAGTGAAGTGGGATAGTATTTTTGTAGAGGTAGATACACTACAGTATTCCCCCACCAGAATTACAGTGTTCAAATTCAATGAATGGATACCACTAGTTGATTCATTGCTGTTTTGTGAGAAGCCAGGAGAGCTGTTTTAAGATCACTATACTTTCGCTGTTCGTGTGAGCTGAAATAAGTTCAGGGTCATGATTGCTCCTGTGTTGCCATTAGCAGCCAAGTGTACACGTTGTACATTGTCTGTGATCGAGACTGAGAAGCAACAGCGTGAGGGGGACCATGTTAACTGTTCAATGTGGACCATCCATTGAAGTAGGTGTGTTCAAATCGAAGTGGGCGTCACTGTCAAGATAGGCATGTTGACATCATGTCCAGGTCATGAATGGAGTGAGTAGTTATCGACCATGTCCATCTTCATCTATGAAAAGGACATGGTTGATAATAAAGTAACATAGAATGAAGTTAATATGTCTTATATACTAACAGGGGTCTGTCTAGGTTTTATTGAGAGGTACCGATTTTGTGAAAATTTAGACATAATTTGTGAAATTTAAAAATTATATCAAAAAAATCAACACAAAAATTTGGTAAAATATTTTTCGGAAATATGTTAAAAGTATTTTGTGAAACTAACGTCTTTCCTAAAATTGAATTTGTGAAATAACTGCTTACCGGCAGTAAATTTGCCCTGGATATACCCCTGACTAGTGAATTGGAATTGTATTTTTTGTAGAGGTAGACACACTACAAATGTAAAGAGCCTGAGTAAGTAAATATCCCAGATTTTTTTTCAAAGTGATACACCCATTTGTTGTTTAAATTTTTTTTCTCCTCTTTAGAACTCTAAAAAAAATATGGTTATAATTAAAATTGAAATACAATTCTAAAAATACACTACCTGGATCACTGATGTATCCAAATTTGTGCATGGTTTCCATAAAAACAAAATCTCCGTAAACTGATCTTTCCATAACTACACCTTGCCCTAAAAAGAAATATTAATTATTAGTATATATTAAAATACTAACATCAAAATAAACATCAAGTAACTCAGCAAATTAAAATAACATACAAAACAAAAAATAAATAATAAATTTGAAAAATCTGCCCCTCCATTTTCACAATTAACAAAAATACATATGAAATTTTAAGTTAAACAATTTTTCAGCTATATAAATTAAATTGCTTTAACTCTTATTTTTATTAAAGACAAGATTATTATGTTTTGAAAAAATGGAAAATTTTTCTGTTCAAGCGAATTTACTGATTTAATATTTTTAACATGTTTTATATTTTAACTGACAAACACATTTCAATTTAATTTAGTATTTTAAAACTTAGCAATATTAAAACTTTTTCAATTTTGTTATTTGCATCTAAAATTTGTATTAAAATTTAAGTTTAAATTTAATTAGGTACTTTTCCGTTTGCCGAACGCAAGGGCAAAATAATGTAGGATTCCGCCAAATTTTTCACAACCATGAGGGGATGTTAGTTTGGGGACATGTGCTCTATTCTCTGAATTCATTCAAAACAAAGCACATTTTCTTGTCTTTCTTATATCTTAATTCTTGCATTAAAAAATTTATGAAAATTTGGGATTTAGCCAGAATTGAAGAAGCATTTCTTTGGGTAAAACGGTTTTGTTTACAATTTAATAACATTTGTTTATAGTTAAACTTGTTTTGCTACTATTAATAAATATTTGTTTATAGTTGAACGTTATTGACTTTTATTCCATTGACTGTTTTGTTATTCGTTTTGCTTGGCGACTTGGTTCACAATTGGCGACATTTGTACCTGGCTAAGGGAAAAGTACAATTACTTAGTCATACATAGAGTTTCAACAATTTTTATATTATAAAAGACTAAATAAAAATTAATATGGGTTAGAAGAAAAAGTTTTGAATAATGAGAAATAAAACTTTTTTCGTTTAATCACTGATAATGTCCTTAATGATTAGAATCACAAATCATACCATCTCATAAAAAAAAAATGATTGCAAAAAATTTAAAAGCGTTAAGAAAAAAAATTATAGCAGATTACGAAAGATGAAAGTAGCACTAATATCTATCTGCAACATACTTTTAATAATAAACATATATGTCACTAATTAAAAATCCTGAAATCCATAGTAGTAATTACCAAAAAAAAGATTGAAGATGAAATCACGCGAATCAAACTCCTCGGATGCATGTTTCGTTTGGAGATTAGGTTATTGTAATAAGTAATACAGTATAAAAATATCAGATTTAAAAAAATTGGAGAAATCAGATGCAATAACTGCCAAAAATTCAATGGAATCATTGNTCAAGTGCAAACCCATTATTTTTTTATTACACTGTATTGTATAAAAATATCAGATTTAAAAAAATTGGAGAAATCAGATGCAATAACTGCCAAAAATTCAATGGAATCATTGTCTTAAAAAGTAAATACTCAAATGCACGATTTGAATTTTCCTGTTTGAAATATATCGGGGTATTTAAAAACCATGTGAAAATCAATATCAATAACTCACTAAAATACAATCGAAACATTACACTGATCTACGATACTATAGGCATAAATTTAGTACTTCGAAAATTAATTATATAAATGCATGATTCAAATATTACATGTAAATTTCTATAGAAAAGTAAAATTTTATACTTTTCTAAAGAAAAATCTTTATTAAAGAGCTTCTTTCTATATAACTCAAGGGAGATTACCATATCATGAACTGTGGCAGAATAATCGCAAAGCCTGGGTAATGTCTCCTGAGAAACTGAACAAGAAACATCACAGAAAAGAACCAACTGGAATGGTTATGTGGCCACCCCGAGCAAACGTCTACATGCTTGTTTGTTTCTAATTGGCAAGTTTAAAATCCATTTCATACAGTTGAAATTGGAGTAACAGATCATGATAATCTCTGATACGGAAATAGGGGATATTTCCGTATCGTGATCTGTCGGGCCAACTACAATTGCCAAGGTGTCTAAGAGATTTTAAATTTGCAATTTAAAAACAACAAACAAATAGATGGCTGTAAAGGAGTGGCTACTAGTTATGCCTTTCGAGTTGGTCTCTTCCTGTGATGTTTCTTTTAGTTTCTCGCGATCCACTGCCTATAAGTTTTCAAGACTTGGCGATTATTCAGACCACAGATCAGGATATGGAGATAATCTCTGATGCGTAAATAACCACAATATGTCCCATTTTAATGAATGAAAAAATATAAACTTACCAGTATTAAGAACATGAGCTAAAGCATCAATGTACTGCTCATATCTGAACATAAACATCCTAAATTGAAATTGAGCCACGTTGCGATGATGAGGATTGGAATAAAATGTCTTTAAATCACAGGCTTTGTAGGAAGGAGGCACGATGTCATCTAACAACCTGATATCATATCCATAAGGTGTGACGTAAAACGGTTCCATTGTGGGCTCTGGAAAGTAAACTAAATCAAAAGCTTCAGCAAGTTGCTTAGCAAACGCACTTTTCCCCGCACCGATATTTCCATCCACGACAACAATTTTTGTATTCTCATCGAAACGTTTGACTGTACCTTCAACATAACCCCACAAAAATGAATAATACTTTGTTTCATAAGGCCATGGTTTAGGCCTTTTATAATCTGGATCTCGATTTTCTTTGCTAGTTAAGTTAGCAGTCTGAACAACACATATTCTGGTAGAGGCTAAAAGGCTACTCGACTTTTTTAAGTTTAAATAAAAAACCCGAGCAGCACTACTAAGTGCCATTTTTGACAGACAAGAAATAAATTGTAAGCTATTAACCTTTATTTGTTATTTACATCGGTCATTTGGTGTTACATTGATTGATTGATAATAATGACGACAGGGGTGATGGGGCTAATTGGGCATGGGCATTATGGCTCATGCATGGGTGGCAAAGGATTTGAAATGGATGATCGCTAAGACGGAAAGTTTAAGTGACTAAAGCGCATTTTCAAGCTCAGACGAAGAAAATCAATCGGAAGCAGCAACACGGGAAAAATGACGTATTTTTTCCCCTAGCGCCATCTGTGCGTGTGCAATTGTATTTATTTATTCTTATTTATTTATACTTGTGAGGTAAATTATTTATTCGTTTCTCTTGAAGTTTCATCTTGTAAATCATAACATTTTAAAATATTTGTCTAACTCCTATATTTTCCACAAAACTTTACCAGCGCTTTACTTTACTATAATTTTATGTGTTGATTTTCTTAAAGTTAGAGCGTAAAAAAGCGAGCAGTTTTGATTAAACACTCTTTCCTTGGAGTTTTACAAAATCTTTCCTATTATTTCTATCTCGATTACTTATTATTAGAATATACTAATAATATTAATAATATACTAATAATGTTATTTTCCATGTTATCTTTTGTAAGATTATACAAATCACCGAAATACGAGGAGTTTTCATTTAAATAAACTTTTACTTTAAGAATGAAAAATTGCAAAAGAATGTGCATAAATATTAGAATTTTCTGTGGGGTTCATAATTAAAATTTTGACGCCATCCTCCATCTATCACATTTTCTGAAGTAGTTTAAAAGAAGAGTTGAAACCTCTTTCGGTGAGTGAGAAAAAGAAGAGTTGAAACCTCTTTCGGAAACTAGAAACGGAGATTTTTGTATAGTGTTCTGTGGCAGATCGCCATGTCCTGGCAACTTCTAGGCATCAACCCACCAGATTAAAAAAACATCATGGAAACCAACCAACTTTAAAGGTTTTCAGATTCTTTCTCTTACCTCCAGGCAAACCTGTAAATTTTTTTTTTTAAATTTTCTTATTCAAAATAAATTTGGTATAGTTGGCTTGGCAAATCAAGGTACAGAAATTTTTCCATTCTGTTTTTAATAAAAGTAAAATGTTGGACTCACAAATGTTTACTCTTATATAATTTTTAAAAAATGCAACTGCTCGTCTGTGACTTAAATAGTTGTTATGATGAAAATTACTAATGTTGTATAAAAGAATTATAAAATGTGGCCTTCTTTAATTTCATTGACACATACAGTAGATTGATTGTTAATACAGGATTCCAAGTAGATCACCGAAGTCAAGCATCACTGACTGTGGGGATATTTCCTTATCGTGATCTGTCACGCCAATTACAGTCGCCAAAGGGCCAAATAGATTTTAAATTTGCATCTCTCTTTTTTTTAAAAAAAATAAAAAATAACATGTAGATGTTTGGCTGGAGGTCTGCAAGTTTTACCTTTCGAGTTGATCTCTTTCAGTGATGTCTTTTTTTTTTTTTAAGTTTCTTGCGGACTGCTGTCCGGAAGTTGATGGAAATCTCTCCTTGACTGCTTTTAGTGTGCGGGTGGGTAACTACTTTGATCAGCCCGCGATGGGACCAAGGATATATGGTATTGGTCCTTGTTAACTGTTATACCCTAAAGTCTGCCCAGCTACCGAATTAGACAGGGCCGGATTTAAGCAAAGCTATTGAATGCAGTTGGCCCCTTATATATTTAACTCCATTTTCAATTCATCAAGTGCAAACCCATTATTTTTTTATTGTCAATTATTAAACATCAAATTGTTTTACATGATACTGCATTCGATAATTACTAGATTGTCAAAATTATCATCATAGTTTACCTAATGTGGGCCAATGCCTTCCTCTGAAGATTTCTCCATAATGACTTCCAATTTACTTTTAATATCCAATTCTTTTTATTAATTGCATAAAAATCAGACTCCACCGAATCAGTCCACTCCATGCTTTCTTGTTCCAGTGGGTCTAAAAAGCAATATCTTTTATATTATATTGTCATCACTCATTCGAATTATGTGGGCCATCCAATTTATTTTTATGTATTTAATAATTTCAGGTTGTTTTTAAATCTTGTACAGTTCAAAGTTAAATCTCCTTCTCCAATTATTGTTTTCATTTACGCATTTGAGTATACTCATCAAAAATCTTTATCTAAATATTGCAATGCAATTTTCCTTCAGTTTCATTGTCCAAGCTTCAGAAGCATGTGTCAAGACCAGCCTGACAAGAGTTTTGTAAATTAAAAACTTGGTTTTTCTTGAAAGAAACCTAGAATTAATAAATTTTCTCAGCCCTATTTACCATTTAGAGTTGGGTTTTTATTTCAGGAGACATTCTGTTATTAATAGTAATAGGTAGAAATCGGTATTAGAAAAAAAAAATCCAAGAAATATTGCCAAAACGAAAGAAAATTATAACACTACATCAATTTACAATGGAATCAGCTCGAGTTGTGATCGATGAAGTGAAATGTTTGATTTAAAATGTTCATCTACAATTGATTTTAAATTTTCATTACAAATTAAAATGTTCATTACAAATTTGGGTAGATTTTATTTTAACCAAATTTAAAAAAAGTGTGACATTTTTTTGCTATAAATCTCAATTTTGAAACAAAATCCCATTCACAGTCAAATTTTATTAAAATGTAAAATATTTTAATGTAAAATATCTAATGTAAAATAGATATTAAAAAAGTGAAAAGAACATATTTCCTAGAGCGAGTTGTCTTTTAAACTTTCGTAATTTCTAATTTTTTTTATTATTATCCAGTTAAAATTCTAGATAAAGTCAGTCATTATCAATTTTTTTTTTTTTTTTAATAAAAATAGAAAAATCCAAGCATTTCTTTCCTCTCCAATGGACTTCCAAATTCATCTTTTGAATATAATTCGGAAGGAAAAAAAATTTGAAAATTCTGCAGAGTAGCAAAAAGAACTATTTTTCAAAGAATTAATCTTTTTGCAAGAACTCTGCAGCATTCTATGACAATGTCACTGTGTTGCCCCGATTCTGCTACAGGGCTTACTTAAACATGTATTTCTAATTCATATTTTTGATTCCCATTGTAGAATCACAGCGACATTGTTGCAGAATGTTTCTCATTTTGCAGAAAGAGTTTTCCTTTGGGATGTAACACAAAAACTTGGGTTTTCTTTTCTCTAAAAATTTTAGAAAGATTTTTCTTTTCTGCATAATTACATTCAAAAGATGCCTCTCTCATGCATAAGAGGTAAAGAAATGCTCATGATATTTCTATTCTCATTTGAGAATAAAAAATGATAATTGATACTGACTAGCTTCAGCTTGAGATTCAAATGGACAATATATAAAAAAATGTAATTGTATTTAAAAATCGTGAAAGTTTAAAAGATAGCTCACTTTAGAAACCATGTTCTTTCATCTTTTTTTAAGGACACCATATTTTACATTTAAATAACATATGACTATGAGTAAATATTTTGTCAAAAATTCAGTGTTAAAAATTATAGCAAAAGAATTAATCAATGCAGCAAATTTGTCCTTTTTTTATGAATTTGGAATAAAATTGATCCAATATTTTAAACATATTACACATAGGAAAATTTTAACTCACACATTTGGGTTTTTATTTTATCGCTCACGACTCACACCATGCTCTGATAATTTTTCGAACAACTTTTGCTACAAATTTGTATATTTTTTTTTTTAAAATATCCTGGTGTCTTCCACTGCTCAGTTATTGTGGGGAATGTAGAAATCTACTATGTCAACCTTCAGAGCAGCGATGGTTCGGGGAATAGAGCGTTCACATTCCAATAAGATGAACCGGGTCCGAATCCCAGCAACGGTTGGTCGATACGAATTCAGCATCCACCTTGCTGACGTGAAAATATCCTCAGTGGTAGACGGATCATGGGTTAGAGTCCTTTTGATGTCAGGCTAACCGTGGGAGGTTCTCGTGGTCTTCCTCTTAATGTAACGCAAATGTGGGTTAGTTCCATCAAAAGATCCTCCATGAAAGCAAATTTCTCTCAATTCAGGAGTTCCCTTGTCTTCTGGATTGGGTTCAAAATGACAAGGCTACGGAGTTGAACATTAGTTGTTGTACACCCAAAAATTGGATTGGCTGTTCAACAACAGTTATGAAATAAAAATAAAATCTCAACCTTCATCAATCGAGATGTACCCCAAGATGGAGTCGTTAGCATTGATGTTTAACAATTGTAGTGGTAGTTACACGCTGGATATTTTATATAGACAGCCTTCTATATTTAATGTTCTTAATTTTTTATTTCTGATAATTTTTTTATTTTCCAGATTGTAAAATGAAAATGACAAGCGTAGGTACAGATGGCTTGTTTGAAAACCATACAGTGAAAGAAATACAAGAGATAGAAAAAAAATTAAGGTTTGTCTGTTTAATATTTGAATAAATTGATTCAATTTTAGTTTATTTGTACCGTGAGTTTTAATGAAAATTTTGAAATATATTTTAATTTTCAAATTTAAAAAAAAAATTTAATATTTGCTTAGAACTTGCTATGTAGGAAACACTATGTTGAAAATAAATAAGAGTTGTTTCACTATTTTATCTAAATTCTCTGAATATTTAATTATGTTAATTGCATCCTTTAGTTTTGGTTTTGTTCCCCGTGGCAGAATCACGGTGACATTGTCGCAGAATGATACAGTGTTCTTGCATAACAATTTTTCTTTTGAAAAGTAATAAAATTAATTACTTCTCATCTATCACGCATTTAGATAATCTTTTTTTGACACGCTTAATTTACCCTGATAGCATCAGAAATCGATGTAATGTTTCAATTGTATTTTTGGCAGTTATTGATTTTCACATGGGTTTTGAATATCCCGATATATTTCAAACAATATGTTAAATTCGAATGGTGTGTTTGAGTTTTTAATTTTTAAAGCAATTATTTTATCAAATTTTTGGCAGTTATAGATTTTGATTTTTCCATAGTTTTTAATCCGATATTTTTCATACGATATTATTTATAACAACAACCTAATCTATTAATCTAAATCAAGTTTAGGACAGGTTAAGGGAATAAAACCCACCTGTCCTGTCCAAAACCAGTTTAGGACATTTCAGGGTTGAGGTTCCCTGGTCCAAAACCAGTTGAGGACCAGGGAACCTAAACCCTGAAATGAATATAAATAACAGCATAAATCAACTAGTGGTATTTGTTCATCGAATTCTATCACACATAAAATTCTTCAAGGTGAGTAATATGGCGTAACTACCACTATAAATATTAAATACCTATTCACTAGTATATAAGACATGTTAACTTGATTTTATCTTGAGGTACCTCTTGATAGATGAAGGTTGACATGGTCGATAATTATATCCCCTTAAATCTGACATCCAAGCAGGGGAGGTTTAATTTTTTTTTTCTTATGCAATTGATAGGAACACTAACAGTTAAGAATCACAAAAGAATTGTGTATAAAAATACATTTATTTATAAATATATTGTGTATAAAATACATATAAATATATTTTTTTCAACTTTTTTTTTTTTTGAGTGAGTTATTTTATTCTTATTATTAATTTTTTTGGTAAACTGATGTGGCCTTTTTTGAATTTGTGTATCTAAGATGTATCTGTTATATTTTCTTAGAAATGATATTGAGAGAAAAAAAGAGGAACTTCGCCAAATGGTTGGGTGAGAAAACATTTGAATTTTTCTTATTGATTTATTCTTTTGTATATGTGTTTACAATCTTTGTTATTTTCAGAGAGCGCTATAGAGATTTGATGGAAGCAGCTGACACTATAACAGAAATGAAACTGATAGCTGAAAATGTAAGTATGAAACCATATTTTCTGGTGTACAATTTTTTACTTCAATGTGTCTATTTGGTGTATAAATTGACATCCAAATTCAGGTTCGTCAAAAAGCAAATTTTTAACAAAATAAAAATGCAATTTGTTTCACTGAATTTACGATTTTATCGCACTTGGCAAGGTGGCAAATACTTAATATGGGCCCTAAATTTTCTGAAATCTTCAAAATGCATGTCAATTTGTGTGTTTTCAAAAAACAGAGCTCAGTTTATTGATGTTGTAGTTCACCTAAATTCTTGATATTTAATTAATTCAAACTGAATTTCTTAAAAAAAAAAAAATTGTTTTTAATTTCTAAAGCAAAACTTAGGAGTTGAAAACTCATTTTTCTATTTTATCATATTTTTGAAAAAGTCAATGTGAAAAAATAGTGAAAATGTCCTAAAAATGCAACATCTAAATAAAAATTTTGATAAAAATAAATAAGTGAAAATTACGAAAAATTTAAATAAAAAAAAAAAAAAAATTCATCTTAATTTGTAAAATAAATTTTGAAACTGTCATTTTCATTTTTACACAGCACATCTTGCATTTTCAGGAAAAGTAATGATGAAAGTAAAGTAAAGAATTCAAAGTCATTCTAAATTCATAAGAAGAATTAAATTAAAAATAATAAAAATGAAACATTTTCATTGAATGCATGGAAAAATTAAAATTAAAAAAATTGATTTTTCGTAAATCAAAGCTTTAAAACTGCTAATCTCAATATTTTTATGCAACCACATTTTATGGAAAAAGTAACAATAAAATTCAAATTCTGCCTGTATAATAATTATAACTCTTTTAAGAAATGTGATATTTCCAATTCCTTGGGTAGTATTTTGTGGGAGTCTGGAGATCCGTCTTTGAACTGCCGACCCAATTTTTTTTATTTACGACTAATAATTTTTCAACTCTGTAGCCTTGTAATTTTGTACCCTATCCAGAAGACAAGGGAACTCCTGAATCAAGTATTGGGAGAAATTTTGCCTTCGTGGAGGACTTTTTGATGGAACTAACCTACATTTGCGTTACATGGAGAGGAGGACCATGAGAACCTTTGACGGTCAGACTGATGGTAAGAGGGCTCTAACCCGTGATCAGTATACCATCAAGGATATTTTACATCAGCACTGTGGTCGATGCACGCTGGATGCAGTCATCACTGGGATTCGAACAGGTTCACCTCATTAGAAGGTGAACGGTCTATTCCTTGAGCTATCATGGCTCGATAACCATTTTAGAATTGATGATTTTAAAAATTCTTTATTGAGTTTTAATACTTATTTACATCTTAGGCTCTTACTTATTTACATCATACTGTTTGGTGCATATAGCCTACTTTTCCATTCTCCTAGGTTTCTGGCTTATTTTAAATTTTATAAAATCTGTTTGCATTTGTATTTGCCAAATTTTTCTTAAAGTTAAGATTCAAATATGAATATTTATTACATTATGGTAATCAGAACTATTTTGTTCATGTAAAGTAAGTCCTAACACTTTTGTTACAATTTATTTATTTATTTTATATTTTTTTGGAACAATGAACTAGGCATAAATGGGTTATATATGTAAAAAAAGATTTGTTGGAATGTCAAAAAATTTTATATTTTAAAAAATGTTTTTGTTATGAAAATTCGCAGTTCAAATTTCTTCATAAATTTTTTCTAATGGTAAAAACTGGAATCTTTCCCAATCATAGGAGATATTTGAATAGAATATTTTTAAATATGTAATGATGTTATATAATCTGAAATAATGGTTCTGTTTTTCAGGTCACAACAAATGTTAAATCAATTGAAAATCGATGCACACAACTGCAGAACAGCAGTCTCCAAAATGGTATCCTCTTTGGTATCCAAGACAAAGTTTTTGAAAGGTAACAATGCTAAACTATAATTTAATACATTCGAATTTGCTTATAATAATGAGTCCTTGTTTAATGAGATCCCAGATTCATTAAAGAAATTTAAAATATTTGGTTGGTACAATGTTGAGTTCATCGGAGTATAGCTCGCTTTTAGCGAGCAAATACCAGACAGAAATATTTTTATGATTCTGTTAACTGGTTTAAAGTTTAATTTTTTCTGCTGGATTAAGTTCTAATATCAACCAGGGATTTTTTTTTGTTGTTTCAGTTGGTTTTTGAATCCTAAAATAGTGCCTCATGTAAATAATTCAAGTTTAATCTATATTAACATATTATGGAAATTATTTCTACAACTAAACTGAACAAAAAGTACAGGTAACAAAATTTGTTATTACTCAATGTGTTTTGTTTCACAAATCTTAGAAAATACATTTATAACTAATTAAATAAATAATAGCAGGAAACCCTTCTATGCTAAACTCAGTTGACTTCTAATCCTTACAGTGAACTTGTTGCTTTACTTTATTCCCTTTCCTACTAAATTATTAATAGCATATCGTGTTTCCATTGTAACAAAATTAAATTTAAGTCTCTTAAAGATCCTATACCTTGCCAGTGCATCCTTTTCTACTTTGGACGAACCAAACTATCTATAAAATTTGGAACACGATAGATATCAAGAACACAACAAATCATCAATTGCAACTTATAAATGGAATTTTGAGCGAAAATTGACAAATTGAATTTCAGCACTGCCCAAGTTATTGTCACTCATCTTGATGCACTGGTCATGTATTTTGTCTATATCTGGTCTCAATAGTTTGTTTTTTCATCTTTATTTTTCTGTTTTTGTTGGCAACTTATATGTTTCAAATCACTTTTGGTTTTTCTCTTTCACAACTGGGAAGTCTTGAGAATGGGCACATATTAACATTGTCAACTTTTTATTTAATTTTTCATATTTTTTTTAAGTTAATGAAGTCTTTTAATCAAATGCAATTATAACTTGTTTTGTTTTATCTGAAGTGCACCTAAAGCATGCTCAGCTGCATTCAAAACTACTCTTGAAACAAAAAATTTGTTTCCAAAATGCAAAATTTATTCCTAAAAAAGTGAAATAAACTAATTTTTTTAACAAAAGTAAAATCTCTGCATTGTTAATTAATTGCACTGGGAAATTTTTTTTTTATTTATTTATTTATTTATTTATTTTGCATATATGCAAATATTTGATGTTTCCTACTTGGGTTGCGGAGCGGTAGTAGCTCAGGGGATAGAGTATTTGCCTTCAATTGAGGTGAACGGGGTTCGAATCCCAGCGATGGCTGGTTGAAGCGAATTCTGCTTCCGGCTTGCACGGACCGCAGTGCAGACAGAGAAATATCCTCAGGGGTTGATGAATCATGGATTAGAGTCCCCTTGCTATCAGGCTAACCGTGGGAGGTTTTCCTTTCCATGTGACGCAAATGCAAGTTAGTTCCATCAAAAAATCCTCCACAAAGACAAATTTATCCCAATACTTGATCCAGGAGTTCCCTTGTCTTCTGGATTGGCTTCAAAATCACAAGTCTACGGAGTGGAGCATTAGTAGTCGTTAACCCAAAATTGAGTCAGCTGTTCAATGGCGGTTATAAAATAAAATAATTGGAGTGTAGAGATTTAAAATCTGAAATGAGTTTTGTTCCTAGAGCTAAAAAAAAGTTTTTTTAAATGACGTTTTTAGTCTGTATTTTTTTTTTCAAAATGTACGAATTTTAAAACTTTATATATACTGGGTTTGCGTAAATGTTGTGACAAATTTCTGGGGAAGTTTTGGGCACATCATCAGGATTGCATAATAACCCGTGCCCTGAAATGTCGTCATACGCAGCTAGGGGTGCTTCCCTATTTTGACCTCTTCAGAAGCACCAAAAAAAAAAAAAAAACGTTCATAATAGTAAAACTCCCCCAACAAATGAGGATATTTCTGGGCATAGATTATTTGCAATTTTAATTCGGACGATGATGTGCTCTCATTGTTTGTCCCCTAGTTTGTCATTTTTAAACTTGTACTCTTTGACAAAAAATGTCATTTACAAAAATAAAAAGTGTAGCTTTGAGCGAGGAACATATTGCAGATTTGAAATCAGGTATTTTAAGATCTGTTAAAAAATCTTATGTAACAGAATGTTTTTTTCCTCCAATGTTATTAAACTTGCATTAGAAAATGAATATGTTTTTGCAAATTAGTTCCAAGTTAAATAAAATAATGTTTTTGTTAAGTCAGAATATTTAATCACTGCGTTACATACCTGCCTACTCTTCTGTTTTTATAACGAAGACGACTATCTATTTTTCGACTATCTCCTGTTTACCTTTATATTCTCAAATTTCTCGGTATTTGTTGAAGAAGTTTTCTTTAAAAAAAATTTGCCAATAAAATATCCGCTGATACTAAGAATACTTCCTATTATTCCTCAACAGATGGTGCTATTGCCAGTACTGCAATGTGTTGATCATTTATAGTTTAAGTAATTATAAATAATGGTTAAAAAAATCTTCTTTAGATTAAGATTTATATACATATTTTTTGCTTTGCTAAATATAAGTGCTTATTATTTTCAATTTTTAATTTCTCTTTTTGGCTTGCATAATTATGATTTATAACGAACTTGTTTTAAGAATTCATTATTATTAACCCTTCATTATTATAATGTCGTAATTATTAACCCTTATTTTGACCTGTAACAAATTTATCAAAATTTAACTCGTAGCCTGAAAAATGGTGCTAGTAAAATCTCCGTTATTTTATTTCTCCAACATTGGCAGATATGGCATTAGATCAGAGAAATTTTTCTTTGCTTTATGTATTTTTGTCATTTTAATTTTATTCTTGGAGAGAGTTTGACAAAACTTGAGCGTAGAACATGAGGTTAATATGAAGAAGGAAACAAAAACAATCTGTAGAAAAAGCAACCCATCAGAAATTTTTGGCCAAGATGGAATATTCCAAGAGTTTAAAAGAAAAAAAAAGTTAATAAGATTCCAGAAAAGCGATGGAATCTTATATTTGAGCATTCCAAGGTTTTTCTTACTTAGATAACAGCTGTACTTGCTCGATACTCTTGTCTAATTCCACTTGACTATAAATTCCAATAACTGAGTTAGTCCATCTGTATGAGTGATTTTAATATGTTGATTTTCATCGTCACTGTCTTCGTCATCTTTGCTAGATTCATTTTCATTATTGACGATATTAACAATCTAATCGATAATCTCAAAATCCAGCAGCTTGTTTTCCTGGGTATTTAGAAGATAAAATTCAGAATTATTTTTTTTGGGTGAGGGGGGGGGGTAGTTTTAAAAATAAACTAGAGCAAAAAATTCAGTTAAATAATAATATTCAGTCATAAAAATATTCAGTTAAATCGCAAACTCAGATAATTGGGACTCTACCGTATTACCTAGAATCTTCCTTTTTAAAACTTAGCTTTGTTTTTACTCCCCTCTAAAAAGCAAATAAAATTTTCTTTTTATTCTAGAAAGAAAAGCAAAGAATTTCTTTATACACTTGCATCACAAATCAAAATACTAATGGATTCACCAACAAAAGTATTTATAATTTTTTAATCGTTTTAGCTTAAGTGTTGTTATTATGATGTAAAAATTCTTTTCTCTTTTGTTAGATTTGGAATTCCATTGAAAGCAAAAATTTCATTGATTCAGTGTGCCTGTATTTGCTGGCGAGGCACATTCATTCTCTTCTTATTCTCAGTCCAGATTACTGTTCTCAGTTTCCTCTCATCAACAGGCAATGGTCTTCCATAGCTCAGTTCAGAACTGTTTTACTGCAGGTAATTTTTACTTATTTCAGTAATAAATCATAAAAAAAGTCTTCTGCTATTTTATCAATACAAATTTTGGTTAATACTAAACGATTTTGATTGCATTACTGAAATGAATAAATTATCAAAAGTGAAGTAAATTTATTTTATATTTTCGGACTTACATATTTCAATTCCTTTAAGATGAACCAATATTTATTATCATGACTTATTGCTCATAGAGGGCACTATTTTACAAATATATTTCATCAAAAAGGAATGGAAACACTATATAAAACGGAGCGATGCTGATGTTGCAATGCAATTTCGTTTTTGCTTCTAAAATTGTTTGATTAGTGTCTATTGGTTTTTAACCCTTAAAAGCAGCTCACCTAGATTATTCTTGCACACTTGAATGTTTAAAGAAGAAAGAATGCGATGAACGGACTAATACTATCGGTGACCACGGAAGTGTCTCAAAATTGGAAAAGGGGTTCTCCTCTCCTTCCTATATATATAATATAAAACATATAAAGCTTCAGCTAATCTTTTTATGTAATTCCTTTCCTGTAAATCCTTTTCTTAATATATATTCAAAACGAACTGCTCTTTCCAGCACTTTAAAATTCACATCCTGTCTTGTAATCTATTTATAGTTCACGTATGTATTAATTAGCAGTTTGACATTTTTCCCTTTGCTAATTTGTGAGTACCCCACGATCTATTTAATCAATTACAATTACTAACATTTCCCTAAAATGAGACATTTTGCGAATTTACTCTGCAAAATTTTCCCTAACTTTTATTGAGGAGCACAACGATTTTGTGTCTCTCTGATGATTGTTCTCTCTCTATTAATTGTTAAATAAATATTGTGCCCTCTTTCACTGCCTAAGACCTGTTTTAATCCTTCCACTCGGCAACGATGTTTTATATATATATATTATCTGAGAGATAAAGAGTCTGAATGATCTGAACCCTACAAAATGACAATCAAATATTCGATTAACTGTAAATTTAAAAACGCAAAGATAGAGTCAAAAATTGAAGGGGCTGTGTCCCTTTATTTATAAAATGTAATGGGACTAAGACCACCTCTGACCCCCCCCCCCTTGGTCCCATGGTCCTTCAACACTATGCAAAAACATGTACTGCCACCATTTCATTTTGTGGTTCCATATCATAAGTTTCTTTTAAAACTTTATGTATCTCAAGTTCTTTGTCTATACTTTTAATCTTGTGTTAATAAACACTTTTTTTTCCATTCTTTTTTTGTTTTAATTTTAGAATTCCCAGAAAGTTTTGGAATCGCAAGAGGCTGAACCTGAAGTAGATATTTTTTTATATACATTTTTCATTATTTTTTAAATTATTGTAGGTAAGCATTAATTTGGTTGTGTTAATTTGGATAGGATGTCTTAGGACCCATATGCTGTTTGTGTTTGCTCACTAATTCCTCACTGCAGCACATATTCTTAGAGTTTTTAAATACTCGTCAGGTAATGTTTGCTGTATTACAGTTTTATAATTTTTTTTTTCAGGCAGGAAATCTTTATTTAATTTTGTTTCTTTGTCATCCTTACAGAATGTACTGAAGAATCTATTTCAAGTTGAAAAAACTGGTATGGTGTTCTTCATGCTATTTTTCTTTTTCTGTTAAAACTTCATATTGCTTAACACAGTGATTCTCAACCTTTTATTATTTNTTTTTTTTTTTTTTTTTTTTTTTTTTTTGTCGTGGTACACTTTTAACGATTTCAAAATTTGACGGCACACAAAGAAAGTAATTTGTAAACAGCGAAATTGTTTACTTACCTATAATACACTGTGTAAAATAGTTTATGATAAATAATTCTGAATGTAAAATAAAATCTGTACTACAAAAGCACGTTTATTAAGGGGTTAATTAGCTCTTTTGACTTGGGCAGTTCTTATTTCGTCTTCTTTCCCTTGCATTGCATAATAGTTCTTTTGTTTTGTTTTTTATTTGTTATTCACTATTATTTTTTTTCTAGTTATTAATTATTAGTTTTTTTTACATTAATTGTTATTTTTCGTGATTCCTTGTTAAATTGTTTTTTGCTAACTATTGTTAGCTTGTTTTTGTTTGTTAATTATCCTTTGTTAATTTGTTTTTGTAACTATTAATTGCGTAGCTTCTTTTTATTGTTAGCTTTTATTTCCTTTTGTAAGCTAACATTTAGCTTGCTTTTTTTGTTAATTAATAATTTTAATAGTCCTTAAATTTCCTAAGACTGTCTGACGCAGGACTACCGCTAACAAAGATGTTTACACCGTTAAAGCGTTGAAAAATTATAAGAAGTATATGTATTATACTTTTCTTTAACTTAAACTTTACTAAAAAGCATTAAAATTTTTAACATCATTTCAAAAATTTGGCTGTGCACTTTAAGAATTTGGCTGAACACAAAAGTACTTAGGCACAGTGGTTGTGAATCACAGTAGTTATATAATAATTGAATTTGACCCTCAATTTTTAAGCGGTCCTATTATCCTATTTTATGTGTACATTTCACAAAATAATTCTCACTCATTATTAAAATAGCAGAAAATTTGAAGCTTTTGAAAAATAAAAGCAAACTAAAAGATAATCTGCGTATAAATTTTCTTCAAAAAAAAAAAAATTCTTAATGTATAAACAACTTGATATTTTAAACTGAAAATTATGAGAAAATTGACATTCAAAGATGCATTTTTAAATAAAAATTGCATATATAAACAAAAGATTTAAAATTACTAAAAAATTCATAATATAGAAGAATATAATATACTGAAAAATTCATTCAAATAATTATTTGTACTTCACAAATGCATAATATTATAGTTCCTAGAAATTGAGAACTTTTTGTAGATTAAGATTTTATAAAGAGATTATTTGTAGATTAAGATTTAGCCTGTAATTTATGAGATTATGATACATTGTCTGCATAATGAACCGTTTCTTTCTTTTTATTTTTAGCGAGAGACCAAGTTTGCCAGTTTGTCAATGTTGTACAGATGACACTAAAAATAATTTATGTTCTCTTTTATCCTTCCAATGAAAATGTTTCAAATAATGGTATTTATACATTTATTTATATGTTTCATTAAAAAAGTGCTTTTAGTTAGCAATTTTAATAGTATTTATACTTTTCTAGGTTTGGAGAGAAATTTACTGTATAATTCTCTAACGAAATTAATAAGTTCCAAAGAACCAGGTAAGTAAACTTATTGCACATCTAATTTATTGTACTGCTAAGTCTTTATAGTGAGGTTCCTATTCACAATTTTGGCTGAGAAACTGATTGTTAAATGTGGCACTGCGCAATGTATCATCACTCTAACATCACGATGTTTCTTTACACTAATATTTTGCATTTGGTGTGGTGTTATTTTAAATTCTTACACTTTTTGATTGATAAGTTTTCTTGAAATAAACTCAATCCTCAGTTACCTTACAAAAAAATGCTATAATTCGTCTAATTATCAATAAATTATCTGTTTTATTTTTAAAAAATCATTAAATCACAACAAGGACCTGATAAATTTTAAAAAAAAAAATTCACTAACTTGTCCAGGAGGGGGGTTTGCAACAAACATTAATCTGCCGCTGCTTAGGGCAGTAAATAAGTAATTATGAGTATAAAAATCAAAATTAAAATGCGTATTGAGATCATTCATAAAAATCTTCATAAACAAAAATATAAAAACTTTGCTGATGAATTGAGAAAGATTAAAAACTTAGGAACAGCTGGCACTATAATGCACGTAACATCCCATTCATCCCTTATCATAAGTTTAATTCATTACTATCAATAAAAAAAAAGGGGGAAAGCTGTTTGTGCGAGTGTACGGTCATCCATTTTTTAGTCGGGGAAAATGCTCATCGCTCGCACTTGTAACTGTCATTGCGCTTTTAGAAATAGTATTCATTGTCATGCGTTGTAGATAACGTAAAACACCGCACATATCTTGGTAAATCGCAATTGATGCTTTGAAAAATTGCTAATCCAAACATCGGATTGACGATGATTACATAACATCGAAATTTTCCAATGTGTCACCCAGTCCTAGTTAAATGAAAGGGCTTCTTGCTGACTGAGTGCTGTTCCTTATTCAGACAAATATTCAGTTATTAATCAAGTTCTTTTTCAGTTTTTGTACAAAAAACTCCTGTTGTATTTTAGACAAAAATCTAACAGGATTAAAAATCTCGAAATCTAATATGCTCAATAAGTTTAAAGGGTACTTTTTTCATTTTGCTAGCAAGAGTAATTTCAACTATTTTATCTTTTTTTTAAAAATAAATAAAAACGTCACTTAAAAAAATTAATGAAAAAAACAAAAAACAAATATGTAACAAGAACAAAATATTGAAATTTTTCCTTATTGATAAAAATGCTATTGATGTTTTCAGTAACATTGTATTTAATTTAATGTTTTATTAATGAAACAGAGCTTTAATGCATTTTTTAAAAATTTTTTTAAGGTCCTGTATCAATGCTGGATTTGAAATCAAGTGCAATATATAAATTTTTACCTAGCAGCATTACAGGTAATAATTTGCTTTGAAATGTAGTTTTTTTTTTTTTTTAACTCAGATTGTTAAACAGAAATAATCATGAAAACAATCATTGATCATTTTCACTCTGTATTATATAGGCGAGAAACTTTACAAAATTACAATGGGGATTGACTAAAGATAGTCAGCATTTGGAAGAAACAAATTTCTTGAAATTATGATCTTGTATGCATTTTATAACCAGCGTTGAATAGTCAACCTAATTTTTTAGGTTAATGACTACTAATGTTCAATTCCGTAGCCTTGTAATTTTGAACCCAATCCAAAAGACAAGTGAATTCCTGGATCAAGTATTGGGAGAAATGTGCCTTCTTGAGGACTGTTTGATGCAACTAACCCACATTTGCATTGCATGGACGAGAAAGCTACGAAAACCTTCCAGGGTTAGCTTGATGGCAAGGAGACTCTAACCCATGATCCATCTACCATTAAGGATATTTTACGTCTGCACAGTGCTCCGTGCTAGCCGGATGTGGTATTCGTATCGAGCAGGCATTGTTAGGATTCAAACGTGGTTCACTTCATTTGAAGGTGAATGCTCTATCCTCCGACCCATCTTGGCTCAGTCTTGCATGTAGTGGCTAATCGCCTATTTTTTTCTCGCATAAAAGGAATATTATCACAAAGAATCATACACCGAATTTTAGAGTGTGTGAAAATTCCACATTTTTAAAAATTACGGCTTTGAGAAATTCGTCATGACTAAGGCAAACTGATTAATTTCTTGGGATTATTGATTCACAGTCACAAATATACTCTTCCTTTGATCATGTTTTTCTCGCATTATTTACTTATTGATATCATTTTTCAAAAAATATCTTTAAGCCGGTGTAGTTATTTACAATTACAAGATAAAAAAATTTTTAATAGAATTTAGAACATTTCATTGATACTGAAAGTATTTTTCAGATTTCCGACCCATTTTAACGACTTCTCTTGAACAATGTGGAATTGAATTTCTTCAATCAAAGTGCACTAGTTGGCTTCAAGAGTAAGTTTTTTTTTTTTACTTAAGTTAGTTTTAATTTAAGTCACCAATATATCTTGGTGAACAGATAAATTTATGATCTTGGTATGACAGTAAAATTTGACATGATGAGTAGTGTTTTAAAAAATTTCTTAAAAGTGCTTGTTTTTTGTTTTCATTTTTTGAAAGCCCATAAAGGTGCATTTTTCATTGGGTGTTTTTAGAAAGTGCCTAATTTTCCTTTTTAGGGAATAAGATTTTTTTCTTTACTGTGTCGATTTTCTGCATATTACGCAGAAACCTGGTTTTCACATTGCTCTATTCAACATTTTCACAATTAATTCAGCCACAATCTATTTTGGCTTGTCGTCGGTGCGAAACATGTAATAGCACCAATCCTGTTACATGTTTCATTAAATAATTGTTGAGTCCGCAGGTGTGTCTACTGAGCTGTTATTGGTGAGATTCTTGCATTCTCATGTGCAATTCGGCTGCACTTTGCAAGATATTCTCAATTTCAGGCCTCTGAAATCAAATGGGAAAATCTCTCAATCTTTTTATGGTGGCTAATCAAAAAAATTATTCTTTGTCTAAAACTAGTTTTTTTTTTTTTTTTTTTTTTTTTTTTTTTTTTTTTTTTTTTTTTTTTTTTTTTTTTNTTCAAATAATGGTATTTATACATTTATTTATATGTTTCATTAAAAAAGTGCTTTTAGTTAGCAATTTTAATAGTATTTATACTTTTCTAGGTTTGGAGAGAAATTTATTGTATAATTCTCTAACGAAATTAATAAGTTCCAAAGAACCAGGTAAGTAAACTTATTGCACATCTAATTTATTGTACTGCTAAGTCTTTATAGTGAGGTTCCTATTCACAATTTTGGCTGAGAAACTGATTGTTAAATGTGGCACTGCGCAATGTATCATCACTCTAACATCACGATGTTTCTTTACACTAATATTTTGCATTTGGTGTGGTGTTATTTTAAATTCTTACACTTTTTGATTGATAAGTTTTCTTGAAATAAACTCAATCCTCAGTTACCTTACAAAAAAATGCTATAATTCGTCTAATTATCAATAAATTATCTGTTTTATTTTTAAAAAATCATTAAATCACAACAAGGACCTGATAAATTTTAAAAAAAAAAATTCACTAACTTGTCCAGGAGGGGGGTTTGCAACAAACATTAATCTGCCGCTGCTTAGGGCAGTAAATAAGTAATTATGAGTATAAAAATCAAAATTAAAATGCGTATTGAGATCATTCATAAAAATCTTCATAAACAAAAATATAAAAACTTTGCTGATGAATTGAGAAAGATTAAAAACTTAGGAACAGCTGGCACTATAATGCACGTAACATCCCATTCATCCCTTATCATAAGTTTAATTCATTACTATCAATAAAAAAAAAGGGGGAAAGCTGTTTGTGCGAGTGTACGGTCATCCATTTTTTAGTCGGGGAAAATGCTCATCGCTCGCACTTGTAACTGTCATTGCGCTTTTAGAAATAGTATTCATTGTCATGCGTTGTAGATAACGTAAAACACCGCACATATCTTGGTAAATCGCAATTGATGCTTTGAAAAATTGCTAATCCAAACATCGGATTGACGATGATTACATAACATCGAAATTTTCCAATGTGTCACCCAGTCCTAGTTAAATGAAAGGGCTTCTTGCTGACTGAGTGCTGTTCCTTATTCAGACAAATATTCAGTTATTAATCAAGTTCTTTTTCAGTTTTTGTACAAAAAACTCCTGTTGTATTTTAGACAAAAATCTAACAGGATTAAAAATCTCGAAATCTAATATGCTCAATAAGTTTAAAGGGTACTTTTTTCATTTTGCTAGCAAGAGTAATTTCAACTATTTTTTTTTTTAAATAAATAAAAACGTCACTTAAAAAAATTAATGAAAAAAAAAAACAGTTCAATTTACTTGCAGTCAGTAACTTTGCAGTGTCGACTTTATTGCCTGAAAGGGAAAAGTACCGTTTAAAGTTATATGGAATTTTGGGGAGAAACACTTTATTATATGCAGGACAATATGAAAATTAATTTTTTATTAAATTTAAAAAAATGTTTTAAAAAATATTTGAAGAATAAAGAGCAAATATTTTTAATTCCTGATTAGTTTTCTAACTTAAAGCTAAAGATGGAGGATTTAAAATTATCTAAGATATAACATGATATTATGTAGCTTCTAGTTCAAAACGTTTGCATCAATCCATTTAATTTTTTATAAATGAAACATTTAAACCAAAATAGGAAATATTTAATTGTGTTATCAAATACCTAATTATTCAGCCAATATAACAGGGTTGCCACTCCACAGGGAAAACCTGGAAAATACAGGGAATTTAAAAATCACCTGAAATAACAGGAAAAATGCAGGGAATTTTGTTTCTTATTTTTGTCTTCTAAAAATTGGTGACCACTCATAGCAATAGGATATTTAACCACAATATTTCAGCTATACTAAACTATTTCATTTACTATGGCATTATTTAAGTATGTATAGCTGTTTTTCCAGCAATTAAAACTAATAATAGCTCACACAGATTTGATTGGCAGCCCTGTACAAGTACCCAACAGATTTAATTTTGTAATATTTGTCTTCTACATATATTTAACAAGAACAAAATATTGAAATTTTTCCTTATTGATAAAAATGCTATTGGTGTTTTCAGTAGGATTGTATTTAAATTAATGTTTTATTAATAAAACAGAGCTTTAATGCATTTTTTTAAAATTTGTTTAAGGTCCTGTATCAATGCTGGATTTGAAATCAAGTGCAATATATAAATTTTTACCTAGCAGCATTACAGGTAATAATTTGCTATGAAATGTAGTTTTTTTTAAACTCAGATTGTTAAACAGAAATAATTATGAAAACAATCATTGATCATTTTCACTCTGTATTATATAGGCGGGAAACTTTACAAAATTACTAGGGGGATTGACTAAAGATAGTCAACATTTGGAAGAAACAAATTTCTTGAAATTATGATCTTGTATATATTTTAGAACCAGCGTTGAATAGTCAGCCCAATTTTTGGGTTAACAACTACTAATGTTCAATTCTGTATCCTTGTAATTTTGAACCCAATCCAGAAGACAAGTGAATTCCTGGATCAAGTATTGGGAAAAATGTGCCTTCTTGAGGACTGTTTGATGGAACTAACCCACATTTGCATTGCATGGAGAAGGAAGCCATGAAAACCTTCCAGGGTTAGCTTGATGGCAAGAGGACTCTAACCCATGATCCATCTACCATTAGGGATATTTTACGTCTGCACAGTGGTCCGTGCTAACCGGTTGTGGTATTCGTATCGAGCAGACATTGTTAGGATTCGAACGTGGTTCACCTCATTGGAAGGCGAATGCTCTATCCTCCGACCCATCACGGCTCAGTCTTGCGTGTAGTGGCTAATCGTCTATTTTTTTCTCGCATAAAAGGATTATTATCACCAAGAATCATGCACCAAATTTTAGAATGTGTGAAAATTCCACATTTTGAAAAATTGCGGCTTTGAAAACTTTTTCATGACTAAGGCGAACTGATTAATTTCTTGGGATTATTGATTCACAGTCACAAATATACTCTTCCTTTGATCATGTTTTTCTCGCATTATTTACTTATTGATATAATGTTTCAAGAAATATCTTTAAGCCATTGTAGTTATTTACAATTACAAGATAAAAAAAAATTTTAGTACATAATAATGCAATTTAGAACATTTCATTGATACTGAAAGTATTTTTCAGATTTCCGGCCCATTTTAACAACTTCTCTTGAACAATGTGGAATTGAATTTCTTCAATCAAAGTGCAGTAGTTGGCTTCAAGAGTAAGTTTTTTTTAAATTTTTTCTTTTACTTAAGTTAGTTTTAGTTTAAGTCACCAATGTATCTTGGTGAACAAAAAAAATTTTTTTTTTGGTACGACAGTAAAATTTGACATGGTGAGTAGTGTTTTCAAAAAATTCATAAAAGTGCTTTTTTTTTGTTGTCATTTTTTGAAAGCCCATAAAGGTTAATTTTTCATTGGGTGTTTTTAGAAAGTGCTTAATTTTCCTTTTTAGGGAATAAGATTTTTTTCTTTACCATGTCGATTTTCTGCATATTACGCAGAAGCCTGGTTTTCACATTGCTCTATTCAACATTTTCACAATTCATTCAGCCGCAATCCATTTTGCCGTGCCCCTGGGTCCGAAACGTGTAATAGCACCAATCCTGATACATGATTCATTAAATAATTGTTGAGTCCACAGGTGTGTCTACTGAGCTGTGATTGGTGAGATTCTTGCATTGTCATGTGCAAGTCAGCTGCATTTTGCAAGATATTCTCAATTTCAGGCCTCTGAAATTGAACCGGAAAATCTCTCGATCTTTTTGTGGTGGCTAATCAAGAAAATTATTCTGTGTCTAAAACTAGTTTTTTTTTTATCATGTAAAGTGTTTGAAAATTAGTTTGCATTTTGTTAATGTATATAGTGCTTAAAAATATTTTTTAAGTGCTTAAAAAGTACTTTAAAGGTGCTTATNTTTTTTTTTTTTTTTTTTTTTTTTTTTTTTTTTTTTTTGTTCAGAGATTTGGCTACACACCCTGATTTGAAATTCTCTAAGCAGTAGAGGAAGTTTGAAAAATACAGTTAGCACAAAAATTAAATTGCTAAAAATGCGAATTTTTCATATTTTTATTTATTTTTTACATTATTTATCTATTTTTTCTTATTTTTTGCATAGCCAGGGAAATTATTATTAAAAGCAAATAATAGTAGTTCAATTGAGTAAATCCTTAAACTTACTGGACACTTTTCATTTTTGGCATTTCTCTTAAGATTTTTTGAAAAATATGAATTAAACTGTTCTGTAACTTAAGGAATATTAAGATTCTGATATCTTAATAAAATTTAAGTCATGAGTAAAGGACCAGTAACAGATTAAGAACCACACAAAATAATTTGGAACTTTCTATGGCATAAATTGAAATTAGTCTTTGACTTTTATATATATATATTTATATGCATTATGTTTATTTGGTTTCATAAATCTAACTATTCATATTTTCCAGGTGACATTTCTTTTAAAAATTTTAGTTTTACTCTGTGTATTGAACACAGACAAGGCCAACTAATCTGCTTTGAGTTGAGTTTCTCAGTTTTAAAATTTTTACTCTGTGCAATCTATGGGATATTTAAGGATGCTATTTCAGCTATACTTAACTATTTCATTTTCTTATAGCATTAAGTATGTTCAGCTGTTTCTTTCTTTTCTCTTAAGATTTTCCATCAATTAAAACTAATATGGTTAGCCAAATATAGCTCACACAAGAGCATAATAATTGTTGTTTTTCTTCTTAATGTATTGTGTGTAATATATATGTACAGGGACAGCATAGAAATTTTTTTTTCCAGATTTGAGTGCAAACTGTATTGGGTAATGTATTTAATTGTTTAGTAGACATTCAATTATATTCTTGGTTCTTAATTTTGTTTCTTACAGAATCAAAGTGAATCTTCAGTCAGATTTGGGGACATTGTTAAATTATGTTAAGTCAGTGAAAAGTTTGTCCTTGATTAGAGAGGCATTGTTTGAAAATTTGTGTGAGGTAAAGATTTTATTTTTACTCATTAAGGACTTGTTTCTTAACTCTTCAAGTTACAAGTTCCTTATATTCCTAGATCTCAGTTTCTTTTTTCAATTCCTACTATTAGTTCACACTCTCCCTATATATTGTTCAATTTTTCAATTGTTAATAAAATACTTTTTATTCATGCACTCAAGTTCAAATACACTTTTTTTTAAACTTGTAGTGGATGATACTTGATGTTAATACAGTTTTTTCAAATACTAATTCATTCATTAAATTTAATTAATTTTAGTTTTATAAGAGAAAAATTATAATAATTTAATGAAAAGTAACTAAAATAAAATTTTTCCTTGTTGACCTAAGTAGGAATTGAAATAATTTTTTTTTTTTATATTACTTGTTTTTAAGTATGTGGAATGTTTTATGTACTTGTATAAATATGTACACATGTTTAAAGAAGTTCACTTACTTAACTGAATTAAGTCGAAACCTGTTTTAGCGAATTCCTAGGGACCGAAGCAATAACGAAAATTTGGTATACCGATGCTGAGAATTTCAATGGGAACCAAAATGATTTCTTTACCAAGTAATTTTCTTGTATAAAAAAGTAATAAATATTGCATTTAATTACAGATTTAATCTAATTGTACTCTACGTGTAGAAAAAATCAAATCAATATTTTAAAAGCTCACAAAAACAATTAAATTAAACGGAACAATTAATTTATTATCACTTACCTATCTGAAATTGCGTAATACGTAATTTTTTTCTGTACAAATGATTTAGAACTATCAGAAATTACAAACTCCTCCAAATTATGCGCGTTTTCAAACAGCTGAACTGGAAAATAACTCGATTGGAGAGCCACTATTCACTCTATTTTGACTCACTCACTCTGTTTTGAAGATGAAAAAATATTTAAATTTTGAAATCATTGTGTACTTTTGAACAGTGGAAAAGTGTTTTGATCATGGAAAAGAAATGAAAATCATTGCTAATTTCCACCTTCGTTAAAACAGATTACGAATTTCAAAAGATCGGTATTTTTAATCCATTGTTTCTATGGAGTTTTCATTTGGGAAAATATTCGTTACATTGAAATTTTNTATAAATATGTACACATGTTTAAAGAAGTTCACTTAATTAACTGAATTAAGTCGAAACCTGTTTTAGAGAATTCCTATGGACCAAAACAATAACGAAAATTTGGTATACCGATGCTACGAATTTCAATAGGAACCAAAATTATTTCTTTACAATGTAATTTTCTTATGTGAAAAAGTAATAAATATTGCATTTAATTACAGATTTAATCTATTTGTACTCTATGTGTACAAAAAATCAAATTAATATTTTAAAAGCTCACAAAAACAATTAAATTAAAAGGAACAATTAATTTATTATCACTTACCTATCTGAAATAACGTAATACGTAATTTTTTTCTGTACAAATGATTTAAAACTAGTAGAAATTACAAACTCCTCCAAATTAATCAAACAACTGAACTGGAAAATCACTCTATTGGAAAGCCACGTGTATTTTTATTTCTTCAAACATGAATATGTTGGAGTTTCAGGGTGGTTCGCTCCAAGTGATTCGTCTTTTCTGACATGTCCCTTTCGTATCTTATATTTTGAAGATGAAAAAATATTTAAATTCTGAAATCATTATGTACTTTTGAACAGTGGAAAAGTGTTTTGATCGTGGAAAAGAAATGAAAATTGTTGCTTATTTTCACCTTCGTTAAAGCAGATTACGAATTTCAAAAGATCGGTATTTTTAATCCATTGTTTCTATGGAGTTTTCATTTGGGAAAATATTCGTTACATTGAAATTTTTGCTATTTCGGATTTTGCTAAAACTGGATTTGACTGTCTTATGATTACTCTCAATTATTGAAAACTGTTTTGAAATACTGTAAAGCTAAAATGTAATGCAATGTGTAAACAAAATTAAAAACTGATTTTGTTTCTTCTTTAAATGATCACTTTTTTTTTTTAAATTTTGAGTTTGGTTCTCTAAACTCACATCCAGCCATTAACCCTTACAGCAATTTTAGCGTGGCCCCAGTTGGGTTCAAAATTGGCTCAAAATATGTCCAATAAGAACATGCACCGAGGGACCAATATTGGGAGGTCTAGATTTTTTAATATTGGTCCTAGAATGGCCTATATAGGGCCTACTTTATCCAATATAGAACCTACATTTTCTAAATAATGGTTACAAAATATTGGGTGAAGCTGACAATTCTATATAAGACCAATATTGGTTGTGAAGTGGTTGTAAGATATCGCGTGAATCAAAAAATTCCTTATAGGGCCAATATCGGAAAAATAAAGGCCTTTTGAATCCTTACTCAGCCAAGATTCATGAATAATATTAGCTCAATGAGGGGCCAAACTATTTTGTTGCCAGAGAAACTATCAGTCAATGATAGGATGAACATTAAAATAAAAAAATTTCAGTCTCGTCTTATTCGACGAATGGCTATTAAAAAAGTTAACATACTTCAATATATGTTTAATTTTTTTATCATATTTTTAGATCGAGGAGTGGGACATGATATGCAGTGCTCTACTGAACAAGTCATTCTCAATTTGGGATTTTTTTCTGAAAGACTGTTTCTTGAAAAGTATTGAGGTAATGCAACCATTGTTGCAAACTACTTACATTTTTTATTAATAAAAATAGAAATATTGTTTGAAAGAAATATACAGACAGGGTTGCCACTCCACAAGGAGAATTGGGAAAACCTGGAAAATATAGGGAAATCACCTAAAAGAACAGGAAATTTTGATTTTTTCTATATGAACTGGGTTGCAGGGAATTTTGTTTCTTATTTTCGTCTTTTAAAAAGGGTAACCACTCAAGGCGCAATCTATGGGATCTTTATTATAGGATGATATTTCAGCTATACTAAACTATTTCATTCACTATAGCATTATTTAAGTATGTTCAGCTGTGTTTCCAGCAATTAAAACTAATAAATGTAGTTAGCCCAGTATAGCTCACACAAGTGCTCAGGAATTGTTGTGTTTCCTCTAAATATATTGTGCATAATATGTACGAGGACAACATGGGGATTTTTCCCCCCTGATTTGAGTGACAACCCTGTCAGATGAATTATGAGGTGAAGATTTTATGCAGGAGTGTCTGATCGCACGAACAAGGCACACAAAAAAATTCAGATAACCATGGGGAAATTTTTGGTCTAATTAAAAAAAGATGCTACAAAATTTTTTATTGTAAAAAAAAAAAAATTTGCTCTTAAAATTTTTCTCAGTTAATAAGAATGAAATGGGAAATTTTCTCTGCCGAAAAAATCTTACGAGAAAGAAAGGCAAAGATTGCTTTGACAGAGTAGACAAAAGTGAAATAATATGATTGCATTAAAAGAGAAATACTAGTTTCTATTATGTTAAAAGAAAAGGTGCATTTTTCATTATGTTAAATATCATACAAATAAATTTATATGCCAATGCATTTGCTTAAAAGTTTGAATTTCTGAAGTTTATAAGTGGTATCTTAAATTTATTCTTATAAATTATCACTATTTCAGTATATTTTGATATAATATTTCAGTATTCAGTATATAATTATCTAAAATCAAATGAATTTTTTTTCTTTTTTAGAGAAAAAATTATTATCGAAAGATTTTATAACTGTACAAACTTTCTAAAATAGTTATTGTAACTCAAAAAAAAAAAATAATAATTAAATAAATAAATAAAAAAATGTAATTTTCGGCATCCTTGGTTTTATGTATACAAAGACAGGCTAATCCGATTGATTCACGATTTTATTTTCCTATAATTTAAAAAACTGCAAGACAATATACTACAAAACATGTTTATTAAGGGATTAATTAGCTCTTTCAATTTTTGCAGTCCTTATTTCGTCTTTTTTCCCTCTCATTGTTTAATAGTTCTTTTGGGTTTTTTTTAACAGTTATTATTTTTTGCTAGTTATTAATTGCTAATGTTTTTTTTTATTTATTTTTTTTACACATTTTATTTTTTGTGATTCCTTTTTAACTTGTATTTTGTAAATTATTGATTGTTAGCTTGTTTTTTCATTGTTTTTTTTGTTAGTTATCCTTTGTTGATTTATTTTTATAACTATTAATTGCATAGCTTATTTTAATTGTTAGCTATTTCCTTTTGTATGTTAATATTTAGTTTGATTTCTTTTGTTAATTAAAAATTTTAATAGTCATTAAATTTCCTGCTTATTTTAACATTTTAAGATTGTCAGAGACAAGTCTGTCACTGACAAAACCCTTTAAGCATAAAAAAATTATAAAAAGTATATATATATAATATTATATATGTACTTTTCTTTAATTTAAACTTTACTCATAATTAAAAAAGAGCATTATAATTTTTACTATGTCATTTTTAAAATTTGGCAGTACTTTTTAAGAATTTGGCGGCACAAAAAAGTGCAGTGGCTCAGTGATAGAGAATCACTGATTTAGGGTTTAACCAATTCTTGAACTTCAGTTTAAGGATCCCTTTAAAAACGGGTTGTTTTTAATTTTAAAAGTTAAATAGTCTGAATTAAACTAGTCATACTTTAAAAAAAATTCAAAATTTTAGTAAAACCTCTTTAAGTTTTGAAATTATTTTTCCTTACTGCAATAAAACAATTTTGTATAGCATATACTAATAGTATTTTTTCGAAAATAGGTATAAACAGTGAATTATGTTCTTCGTAATAATAAAGCATAAACATAGAAACTGAAATATCTTTTGTTCATTAAAGTAATTAATAATAAATCAGACTAATAATGTTTCTCAAAACACTGAAGGTTGCATTAATAATACTGCTAAATAATAATAACAGATATTTAGTGCCCTTTCAGACACTGTGCCAAGGGCCCCCTCCCTGTACATAACATTAAATGCCAATACAAAATTTAACTTAATACATTTAATTTTTTGTGATTTTTGTTTAATTTTTTGAGTCCTAGTGAATTATAGGTATAATCCCAGTGAATTATGGGTAAATAAACAACTTTTAAGCTTATTTATTTCTTTGTTTGCCATCAAATTTCAAAATTCTCAAAAGTGTGCCACAGCAAGTAAAAAAAAAAAAAAGTTGAGAATCACTGGTTTAATAGATTGTTTTATGGTAGCCCTGTTTCTAAATTAAAAAGTCAGAATATTACAATGAAAGATTATTGAAGTCTTATTTATATTGTTATCATTTGAAGGATATCATTAGTGAAAGTGTTCTGAATGCGGGTGAGAACTCTCAAAGAAATATCGAGAAAACCTTAACTGAAATCGGCTGTGAAACTACCAGGTAATGACATCCTTTTCAACGTATTGTTTTCTTTTTTTGCTTTTACTGGAAAATTAAAATTTTAATTTGTTGTTAGGAATTTCTCAGAAAGTTATTGTTTTTTATCTACATATCATAGGTGCCAACTCTCCTACTTTTTTTGTTGAAGGAGGCTCTGTCAATACAGGGTTGCCACTCCACAGGAAGAATAGAGAAAACGTGGAAAATGCAGAGAATTTAAAAATTACATAGGAAAATGCAGGGAATTTTTAGTTTTTCTTTACAAACTAAGAAAATACAGGGGTTTTTTTTTATTTTCGTCTTTTAAAATATGGTGAACTCTTAGAGCACAATCTATAGGATATTTAAGGAAGATATTTCTGCTATACTGAACTATTCCATTTACTATAGCATTATTTAAGTATGTTCAGAGCTGTTCCTTTTTTTTCTCTAAGTTTTTCCACGATTAAAATTAGCATAGTTAGCCCATTATTATAGCTCATACAGGAGCAAAGTAATTCTTACCCCTTAATATATTGTGTATAATACGTTTAGGGTAAATACAAATTTGAGTGACAACACTGTATGATTTTATATCATAGGTGCCAACTCTCCCTTGTTTTGTTTTTTTAGAAGAAGGATCCTTAAATACCATTCCTTGAACTCTCTTAAATTATGCTACAGTGTGCAAAATAAAAAAATGGAGGAAAAAAAACACCATAATAACTTATTTCTAGCGATCAGATTTTTGTTACAGAATTAAAATTTTATTGTTTTAAAAATCTGATCTTAAATAGGCTAATTTATAAGTGCTGATGATATTTTAAATTATGAAATGCTGCTTTCTTTGATCCACACTTGTACCCAAAATATTTGGGAATAGTTCAATTCACAGATCTGAAAACACTATTACATTAAATTTGTTATTTATTCATTATCAAATAAAAACCTTTTTTCCATACTAATTAACAAAAAAGACTATTTTAATGTGAATTTTTTTGTTTTAATATTCTTACTTTAATGTAGAGTTTAATATAGATCAGATATTTGTTAGAGAATTTCCGATAAACCACATTAGATTGTGTTAATCAGTCAAAAAAATAAGTTCAGTCTTAAAATTTCTTTAGAGTGGCACCCATGCTGGTTCAAAATATCTAAGTTAAGGAATCAAATAAGTGTAATTTGTTTCTCAAGATAATGTTGACTGTTCTATTAATTCCACAAAGTAATGCCACAAGTGAACCAACATTGTGTGACAAAATTTACAAGATTCAGTTCATCAAGGAAAATTGAAACTTTAAATGCTTTGTTAGTTGAAAAAATTCAATTTGTTAAACAGTAATGATTAATACTACCAAAAGTTGTTTTCAAAAAATTAAATGCTAAATAAGCTACTGTAGTTTTTTTTTTTTAAAAAAACAGCTACATGCCCTAAAACATAAGTGCAAAAGGTATAGTTTTTAATTGGAGTAATTGTTTTTCTTTTGTATTTAAATGTATGTGTTTGTGTATAATTTTAGTTGCAATAGTAAAATTTTATTTCTTTTTTCTAAATTCATTTATCTATAAAATCAATTTGTGGAATGAAATTTTGGTGTTTTAATGCAGTAGAAAACCAATTAACTGGGATGCTCGGAACCATCGCTATCCCAGATGTCTGAATTTCCTGGTTTTCTGGATCGCCAAAAAGGGCCGTTAATCGATGTTTTATCAAACCCAAACTACAAGGAAAAAGTGAAACACGTTTCAAAATAAGAAAATTAAAAGATCTCCTAAATCAAAAAAATAAATAAATAAATAAAAATTTAGCAAAATAACATTTAATAGGATAAAAACATTTTCAAGTTTAGACAAGAAAAACAAGTTTAAAAAATACAAAATTCGCATATTTATTTTTTGATAATAATTAAAGTCCCCAAATTAACTAATATAAAACAAAATCAATAATTGAAAAACGCAATATATTTCATACCTAATTATACGGGGGATGAAATGAAAACTTATTAATCTAAATAAAAGCAACACTTGAAAATTATTGAACCGAAACAATATTTAAAAAAGGCACTAGCATAAATATTAAAAACTGGAACAAGGCAGGATATTATAATATCGGGGGGGGGGGACCAACTTAATGATAAAATTTATGAATTAAAATAATAAATCAGAGTATGAAATTTATCTTAAAAAGAAAAAAAAAACTCAAATGCAGTAGAATCAGAAGAACAGAATCAAAATTAAAAAAAGAAAACTATTATCTGCTTCATAAAATAATCATCTGCTTTTAGTAACAAATAATTATATGCTCAAATTAATAAACAATCTTCTCCTTTTATTTTATTTTTTATAAAAGGACTATTTTTAACGGAAGCAGATTTGATTCCACATTAAGAAAAACGTGCTGATGATACAGCATTTCTAAAAAATCAGAGTTTATTCTCAAAAAAAAATATTGTTTTGTTAATCGATGTCAAATAGATGAATATAACTGGTGATTAAAAAACGTTTCGTTCAAATAAATGATGCATTATCGGAAATAATAAAACAATTCATCATAATAAATCAAGGATAACAAAAACTGAGTAACTAAAGTGGATTTAAAGTACATCTCAAATGTCAATACTCTTCCCCAGAAGTTTCAAGTTACTTAACTTGGACATTCATTGATATACTTGTGCAGTGCATTTTCCCCACCCCCTCATAAATCAAAGAGAAAACGAAATCAGCATGCCACTCCTTTAAGTTTGATTGATGGCAGCTTATCAGAAAAGCAACTGACATGCAGGAGAAAATAAAACATTTGTCCCTTCCTTGCCCCCTCTCGATCTAATGATCTTCAAGGTCAGGGGAAGAATTTAAATTTCTCTGGGCAAACACGAAGAATTCCCCCCTTTCTCTCTACTCAACTTCAAGGATGAGTCAAATTTCTGCTTTTTTTTTATAATCGTTATACTTCAAAATAGTGGCAACACCAAGCAAAATTCTTCCCGGTTTTAATGGTTTTCTACTGTATTTAAATTTGTGTGAGACAGAGAACAAATTTTTAAGACTAAAAATGTTTCTTCTCTAAGCATATTTAGAGAAATTAGTTGAGTACCTAAAAATAACATTTTAATATAGAAAAATAGATTTCGGTTGACTTTTTAAGTTTTCCTGGTAATAATCTTTTCAAATTAATGGTGTTTGCATGATAATCGATCACTATTTGTAGAGGGAAAAAATGCACACTTTTCACATGGAAATATATTTATTTTGAAAAATATATAATGCAGTGCTTTTACTGTTAATTTTTTTTTTTTTTAATACAATTTATCTAAAGTAAGATGCCTTAAGGGCCCCCCCCCCAGGCATTGCTAGGGGACCCTTGTTCAATGCATTGTATATTTTGATTTTGAATATTCTTCGATACTGGTTGTATGACACTTTATTTTATAAGTGATAAAGTCATTATTTATTTCAGTTCCAAATCAAACATTTCCCTCTATGTGTGGTCGGAGTCACCCCAAGACATCATTGCAAACATAGCATGGCATTCCAGACACCACAGAAATTACTGGGACAGTGGTCAACTCAGCATGAAATCTATGGGTTTCACACCAAAAGTTCAAAGGTAGGAATTTTTTTCTTTCTTTGAATGAACTCACACAATAAAACAGGTCTTGTTTTCAAGCAATTGTTACTTTCCATAAATGTTATTTTTTTGTAATATCTGGGTTGCTAGGAAAGGGCATTTAAAAATCACCTAAAATAACATCATACCTGCCAAGTCTCCTGGCAGGTATGACCTGGATTTTACGGTTATCTCCTGTTTACCCGTATTTTCTGAAATGTCTCTGTATTTATTGAAGAAATGTTTTTTAAAAATAATAATCTGGTGATAAAATAGCCACTGATAACAAAAATACTTCTCTTATTCCTCAACAGGTTGTACTATTGCCAGTACTGCAGTATGTTGAGTGTTAATTGTTTATGTCGAGCCGTGATGGCTCAGGGGTGAAAGCATTCGTCTTCCAGTGAGGTGAACCTAGGTTCGAATCCCAGCAATGACTGGTCGATACGAATTACGCATTCGACTTGCGCCGACCACTGACATGAAATGTCCTCAGTAGTAAACGGATCATGGGTTACATTCCCCTTGTCAGGCTAACCTTCGTAGGTTTCGTGTTTTTTCTCTCCAGTGAGGTGAACCCAGGTTCAAATCCCAGCAATGATTGGTCGATACGAATTCCGCATCCGGCTTGCGCCGACCACTGACATGAAATGTCCTCAGTAGTAAGGGGTTACATTCCCCTTGTCAGGCTAACCTTGGTAGGTTTCGTGTTTTTCCTCTCCAGTGAGGTGAACCCAGGTTCAAATTCCAGCAATGACTGGTTGATACGAATTCTGCATCCGGCTAGCATCTACCACAGGGCTGACATAAAATATCCTCAGTGGTAGACGAATCATGGGTTAGAGTCCTCTTGCCGTCAGGCTAACCTTTTGAGGTTTTCATAGCTTTCCGCTTCATGCAACGCAAATGCGAGTTAGTTCCATAAAAAAAGTCCTCCTTGAAGCAAATTTCTCTTAATCTAGGAGTTCCCTTGTCTTCTCAATTGGGTTCAAAATTACAAGGTTACGGAGTGAACATCATTAGTCGTAAACCAGAAATTGGGTCAGTTAGTAAAATCGCCATTATTTTATCTCTCCAATATTGGCAGGTATGTAACAGGGAATTTTTTTTCTTAACAAACTAGTAGAAAACAGGGAAATTTCCTCCTTATTTTCGTCTTTTAAGAAATGATGACCACTCCAAGCACAATCTGTGGGATATTTAAGGATGACATTTCATCGATACTAAACTATTTCATTTCTTCAACTATGCATTATACGTTTTAAGTATGTTTTGCCGTTCCCTAAAGTTTTTCCAGCAATTTTAAAACTAGCATAGTTAGCCTAATATAGCTAACTGAAAAGCACAATAATTATGTGTTTTCTCTTAATATATTGTGTATAATTGTGTTATGAAAGCACTGGGAATTTTTTTTCCTTCCAAATTTAAGTGACGTCCCTGATATTCTATAGCTAACTGAACATTACATATCCTAGTCTAAATAATATTTACAAGTTAAGAGTATAGTGTTAAATTTAAGCTTCTAAGACTTCTTACTATAGTATGATAATTATTGTGTGATTTTTCTTTTCCTCATACCCTTAAAATAAGGTTATTTATTTCATGTTTCATGTCATTAACTAAAAATCCTTTTCAATTTGTTTAAATTATTATTATTTAGCATTTGTAAGGATTTGGACAATCAAATCAAGATGTCAATAGAGGATATCTCTTGTTTCTCATCTTTAAAAGTGGATTCTTCCAATCAAGAAAAGTTTATGACAGAAATTCATGAAGAAAGCAATGTCATCAACAGATGCATTGCTCAAACAGTAGAAAATGGATTTCATAAGTATGTATCTTTCCACACATTTTTCTATTGCAGTTTTTTTTTTAATAAAAAATACTACAACCAATGTTACTCAACCAATGTAAAGATTTTAATTTTTACTTATTACTATACCTTATATGATCTGAGTCATTCTCACTGAAAAGGTATAAAAAGACTAAAAAATTTTCTAAAATTAAAGTAATTGAAAAAGTGATAAAAATTACTTAAATGCCTTTATTTATTTTTGTTATATGTCCTTATAATAATGGTCAAGTTTTCTATTTTATTTTTTACAAGATTTAAAATATTTTAAATTGTCTACGGAGGAGATGTAATAGTCAACGGAGGAGACATTTTATGTTATAAAATATAAAATGTCAATGAAGACTAATTTTTTAATTATTGGGTACAACTGATATGAGTTTAACATTAATAAGTAAATAATAAAATATTTCATTATTAGAGATAGAGCTACTTCCGATTAATCATGCTGCTATGAAAGGAAACAACCATTTTTAACCTAAGCGTACAATTTTTTAAGTAACTCTTACTGAATATTAATAAATTAAAATTTAAAGACTATTGAAATAAAAATTCAGACTCCACATGAAAGTTGAGTGCTAAGGGTACTCTTTTATGAACATTTTATGCAAGTTAAGCATACTGTCATCCAAATGATGTTTTTGTTTTTTCTCTTTTCTTCTTGTTATTGTTTGTTTTTTCCCTGGGCACAAACGGCTTGCTCTATCAATTTCTAGAAATTTAAGTACATTTAATCACGATTTTTCTGTTAAATCTTTTTCTGATACAGATTTTAAAGTTTCTTGCTCTTTCTTTCTTTTTTACTTTCTTCAAAAAAAACATAGGGTTTTCTTTTAATTTCTGACTAACTTGTCACATACTAAGTTTTTTCTCTTCCCTTCTCTTTTGCATTTGAACATTTGATTGCCTTCTTTTTTTATAATTTGGTTTTGCCTTTTTTTCCCCAAAATTTGAAGAGAAAAAAAATGTTAAACATCACAGAAATTATTTAGAAAAATTGCCAATATTTACTTCTCCGATAAGAAAATGTTAAACTTAATGGATTTTCTTTAAAAATACAAACAAATTAACACATTTGCTCAATTTTAAACAATATCAATTAAAAGAAAATAGTTTTTTAATTATAAAAATTGTATTATGGTTATCTAACACGTTGTCTCTTCCATTGACTGTGTCTTCTCATTCGTGGACTTGTTATGTCCACGGAGGGGACGTCCACGGAGGAGACAAAAACTAGTTCTTGAATTTTACTGATTTTTGATTTTAAAGTTACAAATATGGCGCAGTTCTTTTTATTAAATATACTATTTTTGCAATCTAAAATTCATCTATCAAAAATAAAATAATTTTCTTCTTTATGATGTCCACGGAGTATAGGGTGAGAACTTTACCAAACCCCAGTTGAACACAACAATCCAAAACTGACACCAAAGAGAACAAAAACAACTGATAGTTAACAATAGAAAATGGAATGGTTACCTTTCCCAGCAACTGTCTTATAGGGATTTCGCATATGCTGCCCTTGATTGCATATTTACCGAACTATATTAATTGTCCATGGAGGGAGATTTCATTTTTGATGGACAAAGTTTACTAGTCATTTATTTTATAAAAATAATTTTTTTTCAAAAAATATTAAATAAAAAGTTACTATAAACATTTAACTAGGTAAAACTACAAAAATCATTAAAATAACATTTAAATTGTTTAACAGCCATTAAAAATTATTTTGTGTCCCAGACGTAGGGACGTCCATGAAAGGGATTTTGAAGTTATGTTTATTAAAAAATAAGAATGAAATATTAAATACATTTAGCAGAAATGCATATGATTTGTTAGTTAGAACTTCACGAAAAATGACGCAGAAAAATATTAAGAAATCTGCTGTATTTCCTAATATTTATTACTAAGGGACTTAAAAAATCACCTTTTTGTGAGAATGACCCATCTGTTGTTTTTAGAGGAAACATTGCACTTTAAAACTTTTAAAAAAAAATCTTTATTGTTAAACTAAAAGAAATGGGTCCACACATTCGTTATACTGATATTTCGAATTTCAACATTGACCAAAATTATTTTGTGGCAATGGAGTTTATCGCATTAAAAAATAATAAATTCTTTTGGAAAGCCGCATGTATTTTTACTTCTTCAGACATGAATGGGTTGGGATTTCAGGGCGGTCCCTTCCAAGTAATTCATCAGGAGATACCCCCTCCCCCACACATGAGATGCTTCCGCGGTCATTGCTAGCAGAGAATTCGCGGTCATTGCCTGCGGAGAATTCGCGGTCATTGCTTGAGAGAAAAATTCCATTGAGCAATTTGGTTACTGTCTTGTGGAAATGGAGGATATATAGATAGAGGTTTTCTTCATTTAGAGGATTTATCTCAATACTGTTTCTTTTTTACTTTCCCTTGATGATGAATAAATAATTTTTGGTGATATCAGATTGAATTTTTTCCAGTTTAATATGTTTTATTGAAGCCCATCTTGCATGCTTGGAATCTGAAACAACTGAGAGCAACAGGTACGAGGACTTATTAATGAGTTTGTTTTTTTTTTATCTCTTTGTCATGTATGAGATTGTTAATATTTGCGTTGTTGTTTCAGAATTGTATTCTTGGGCCACATGTGCAATGGTTTGGCTAACCTATGTCCCCATATCAATCTTGCCTTGTTACGCAATGAAAATATGGAGAAAAGACCCTCCTATACACAAGCTGCAATAAAGGTACATACTTTAATTTTCTTTTAATTTTAGAAAAAAAAATTATCGCCCCAGAATTTCCTTGATGTAAACTCTGTGTCATTTATACTATAGGGTAATTCAGAATAAATATAGTGATTACAAGCGATTATAATTATTTAATGAAAAAGAATTTATCGGTATAATTTATGCATAATGTAGAAGGAACTTCTAAATTTTTTATACATGCGGCACAGATTTTCTATGTGACGCCCCTTGGTCGCAATGACAACATCTAGGTAGTAGTCCATTTCATTCTGAAGCATTTGGGCAGTCAGCGGCGCAAGCACATTACAAATGTCATCTGTTCTTCAGAAACAGTTTCATACAACACATAGTATACTTTGAAGAAAGGTGCATTGATTAAAAAAAGAAATTGTTCCTTTTATTCGCCTTCGTTAAATAGGATAATCTTCTTCGTAATATCGATATTTTAAATTGATTGTTTCTATGGAAACTCATTTGATAGTTCTGAAAACATTTGTATCGGTTTAATTTTTTCTATTTCGGATTTCGCTAAAATGGGATTTGACTGTATATTGCTTTTTGTACAGTGTCTGATATATGTATAAATTGATTAAATATATAATTTTATTATTTTTGGACAATTTTCATTGAGTTTATCCTATTATTTTAAAGGAAAGTGAAAATTGGAAGATTTTGAAGAGTAAATTATTAGAAACAAGTGCATCAGCTTTTAGGTGTGGAAGTAAATTTTAAATACATTTCTTTATTTTGAGTATTAAAATTCATTATTAATTAAGTTATTTATTTTCTAGATTGTGGAGTGTTAGCCAAATAAATCATTTGAAAGCCACAGCGGAATCTGAGCTTATGACTTATTCTATGGAAGGACTTTTAAAAATTCTTCTGGTATGTTATTAAAAAAATTAATATTTAAAAAAACTGTAAGAATTATATTTTGGATGAGGCTTTTTTTTTTCTGAGTCTAAGCATGGTGTTTTCTACATAGCTGTGCAAGTTTTTGACTGCCTATACTTCCAAGTTACTGTTTTTGGTGAGTTTCGAAACCATTTGGCTTACAACATGAGAGTCTCTGGAATAGTATTTTGTGTATTTGTTACCCGATTTGTTATTTGTGTTTGAAAGAATATTCGTTATAAGACTTGTCATTTGAAGACCTGTCATATCAAAACATAAGAATTGTCATTTGAAAAAGGAATCATTATAAAACCCTTCTTACCTTGTTAACAATTTACCAACTTTAAAATTTAAACCTAAATGATAATTTGTAAAATGAACTTAATCTCGCTGCTCGAACAATATGCTAACTCTTTCAAATGATGGTACATGGCTTGAACCAAGAGCAAACTGAAATAAACAAATAAAAAAAGGCCAAATCAGAACTGCCAAAAAAGCGAGTTCTTTCAAAATCTAGCAAACATGTCACCTTTTTTAACATTATAACTAAGTAACTAAAGCAAATTTTCACTTCAAATTTACCAGAATTACTTAATATCATTAATAGCTTATAAAATATAACATATTTGAACTCAGAAATCATATAATTTATATCATATATTAATCAAAATTATCTGTTTGAAAGTATTGCCTTGCAGAATAAGCTGTAGCTGTATACTTTCTAGCCATAAGTAAAGCAGTTCAAGAGTTTGAGATTGTTGTTGTTTACATTTATATTGAAAACATCATCCGTAATACTTATCTATCAAATTCTGAAAGAGTGCAACAATATAAAAAAGGATGAAATGTTATAAAACTTTTAAGAATATTGGATTAATAATATGTATAAAACAATTAAGATGTGTATAGTTTTGTTTGCTTTTATGTAATCAAGTGCACCCTTGTATTATTTTATTTATAAAAAAATATGTTTTCTTATTAATAAGTAATCTAATTTTGTTAATTTTGACTATAAAACAAGTTACATTTAGAAAACAGATTTCGACTTACATTTTCATTAATGAAGGTTTGAAGACATCCGGAAAAACACATTTTGTGCTGCATCTTATGAATGAGTGTTTTTATCAATTTTGTAGTAAAAACTCATAACTTGTTTCAATTCAACTCAAATTATTTGTATGAATTTTATAAAATGTAATATTGAATTCTTTTTATAGGTTTGAATGTAGAATTAAAAATTATTCACAGGCTATAAAAACAATTTCATTTTTATCTTCCTTTTCAGCAATGGGATAAAATTGAAATACAAGAAGAATCTGACCAGGGAAATGCCATTCATTCTGTTTTAAGAATACCACAAAATGTAAGTTTTTACCACGTTTATATCAACTTGCCTTCGTGTATGTCTGTTCGGGTGGAATTTTGTAATTGATTTTAAACTAACCCAACTGGCTTCAGACTTCAAATTTGGCACATAGTTCAGAATTGGATGACAATGCATGAAAATGAAGAGAAAAAGACATACGAAGTGAAGAAAAATTGATATTTTCGCAATTGTCTTTTGTTGTCGATTCGATTATGTCAAATTAGTGTCACATGTCAGTTGAAAAGTTTTGGGTACAGTGAGTGAAAAAATTGATTTTGGAAGTGAGTACAAAAAAAATAAAAGTAATATTTTTAAAAACCACGTTTTTGTAGTGGAGAATAATAATTAAAAAACAAAAATTCGAAAAACGTGGGGAGCATGAAATACATAACAGTACATATATGCACATTTTCTTACTCATTGACATACACATGCATATACACAAACATATTCCACATTCAGATACAATTACAGATATACATACACAGATTCTCATGAGCACACATACGGTTACTGTTATGTATTTCATGTGTCCCACGTTTTTCATTTTTCAAATTTTTGTTTTTTAGTTATTCTCCACTACAAAAACGTAATTTTTAAAAATAATATTTTTTTTCTTTTTTAAGAAAATGTTTTTGGACAAACTGAGCTTTAAAAAATATCTGCAGAAATGTTTTCCTCAAAGAAGTAATTCTTAAAAAGCTAAGAATACACTGCTATAAACCAAAGTCAGTTCTGAATATTCGGCAAAGAATTGAAGAAATCAAAGATTTGTTAATGAGTTGCTTTGTTTTTGCTAAAGATCAGGGGTGATTGTAATCTGCTGGTTCACCGGTATTTATGAATGATGAAAAGAGTAACAATGTATGAATTTTTAAATGCCAAAAGACGACTCGCGATATGTTATTTTTAAATCACATGAATGCAAATCGCAATGAGCGATTTTTAAATCTCGTTAATGTTAATACAAAATGCGATTTGTGAGTTTTCGACCATGTGAATACGAATTACGATATATGACTTTAAAATTGTGGGAAGAATCAAAACCTATAATTTTTAATAGGCATAAATACAAATCACGATATATGATTCTTAAATCATGTGACTACAAAAAAAATAGGTTGGGTTTGTGTCCTTATGCTTGCGCATGTTCATCAGACTAAAGAAATATGCAGGTGTATTGAATTATTTTTTTGTAAAAGGGATTGTATTTAATATAAATTTACATATCTTGTTTTTTTATTCTCTCTGGAATGGTGTCGATTTTGCTAGGATAAGTAACAACTTAAGTTACAAAAAAATTTTATATTAAATTTCTAAATTTTCACGTGAATTTAAACACAAATCATAATAATGAAGCCTCCTAGAATAAGCCTGTTCGCACATCACCTCATAAGCGTAGGGATACACAGGAAGTTTTCTAAATTTCTTTAAGTTTTAGGAAACTTGTTCTTGTTTACATTCAGTCAACCATCAATACATGGGATTAGATCACTAAGTAAGAGTGCCATTGTTCTAGTTAGAAATGAGTTTTTCATTTTTTTTTCATTTTCTCTTAGATATCTACACCTGTGGCTGATTCTCTATTCCAATTCTGTTGTCATTTGAATGCTATTGGCGGATTTTCAATCAATAGGTAAAAAATTTATCCACAAACATCATTTAAGTGACTCTACATTAAATACCTGGTGACCATATTATATGAAACTGTAGATGCAGCTGTAAATTCTTTTAACTATAATTTTATTTTTAAAAAAATTTTAATAATTATTTTCTCATTATATTATTTAAATATAAAATATTTTAAATTAACACATATGTTTTATAATATTTTTTATTACAGCTGGATATAACTCAAATCTTTTTTAAACAATGTTCTATTTGATTTTTCAAGTGTAATTTAATTTGAATTTTTTTTAATAAGTCACTTTTGAGCAATTGTTTTACTTTATTACATTTGTATGGTATATATTAGTGCATACAGTTGTATTATGGGTGACCATATTGTATACAGCAATCATTAATTATTTAGCGTGATGTAAGCATTAATTTGCTGTTTACTTCTTTGATGATGATACGGGGTAAATAATTTCATGAATTAAAAAATAATGATATCAATAATAAACTGATTTTGATCTTTTAAATTTTTTAAACTTTATTTTGAATACTTGCTCTTTTGACAATGGGCGAAAATTATGAACGATTTCAAAAACTGCTTATGCTCATGCAAATACTTTTAAAAAGTAGCCACAGGAAGTCAGACTTAATTTATGAGGACATTGGTGTGGGAGGTACAGAGCTTCTTTGGCCTTTAGCTGTTCTGCAATGTTAAACAGAGGTTTTTTATCCATTGTAAAATTTGTTACACGCATTTAAGTTCTTGCAGTACCCAATCTTGATAAATGTAATTTTTTGAACACTTCTTTTTCCGATGGTTAATCCTATGGATTTATGCATGGTTTTGAGAATCCTAATATTTTTAATACAACATCATTATGATACACGAATTTCGCATTTTAATTATTACTTTTGCCACTCTTTGTGAACGCCGATTTCTTTGTGTTTTGACGATCTTTGTGTACAACAGGAAACTATTGCTGTATTTCTCTTTTGATGATTCACTTTTGATTAAAAAAATCCCTAAAATTTCCTATGTGTAATACTCAAACCCCGCTATAGTGAAGGGACCGAAATTTCGGTTCACCGGGAGTTCACTATATCCGTTCCGCAAACAATTTTAACTAATAGTTCCGAACTCCTCCCTTTTATTATACATTATTTAATTAAATGGCCAATAAAATTAAATACAAAAATGACTGGAAAATAATACGTAGTAACAAATAATGTAATGATTAGTTATATTAATCAGCTATAATACTTAGTTGTTAATTATTATGCAACAATTTTCATGAAATTTATATTTCGTAAAATCTACTGTATTTTTTTTTCCTTATCTATGTTGGCAGCTATGTATAATTCATTTTGTATTTTAATGTAAAACTGACGCACATCTTTTCTGCACACAGTGAAGTAAGGTCATGGATGAGCAGGCAGCTGTTGAGTGCCCTACTGGATGTTTACAAACAGAAAGTATTTTCAACACAATCGATTCCGCCCAGGTTACTGCAGGTTCAATCCCTGCAGCTGTTATTTGATGTGCAGTTCTTGATGAGCCTGATGGTGCACAATGCATCCGATGATGTCATCTCTCAAGAAATCATAAACAGAGCAGTATCTCAGATAGATCCATTTGACATGGACGTTTTCTCTCTTCCTTTGCAGCAGAATATTAAGAAAGCTCTGCACAAATCTCTGGTAATTTCTCTTACTCATTTGAACCTTTTTTTAACGGAATCAACCTNTGTTTTTAAAAAAATCAGTCGAAGATGGAAAAAGTTCATAATATCCAACTTCCTCTCTAAATAGCATTATACATGTATGACAAGGCACGGGACCGAACATTTCGTTCACTATATCCGTGAATTCACTATAAACCGTGTTCACTATAGCGAGGTTTGACTGTATTTAGTTGATTAGTTATATTAATCAGCTATAATACTTAGTTATTAATTATTATGCAACAATTTTCATGAAATTTATATTTCGTAAAATCTACTGTTTTTTTTTTTCTTATCTATGTTGACTGCTATGTATAATTCATTTCGTATTTTAATGTAAAACTGACGCACATCTTTTCTGCACACAGTGAAGTGAGGGCATGGATGAGCAGGCAGCTGTTGAGTGCCCTACTGGATGTTTACAAACAGAAAGTATTTTCAACACAATCGATTCCACCCAGGTTACTGCAGGTTCAGTCCCTACAGCTGTTATTTGATGTGCAGTTCTTGATGAGCCTGATGGTGCACAATGCATCCGATGATGTCATCTCTCAAGAAATCATAAACAGAGCAGTATCTCAGATAGATCCATTTGACATGGACGTTTTCTCTCTTCCTTTGCAGCAGAATATTAAGAAAGCTCTGCACAAATCTCTGGTAATTTCTCTTACTCATTTGAACCTTTTTTTAACGGAATCAACCTTGATTAGTATCACTTCTAATGTTTTACTTACGGTTCATCACTTTTAACCATCATCGTCTTACCTTTTTTAGTAGCACTATTTTATGTATGAAGGATTTGTTAGGAGTAATGCATCTTCCTAACATTTTCACATTTCTGCGAGCTATCTGTATTTTGTATTGTATATAACTGTTTTATTTGATTTTATTCACTCTTATTTCTTACCCATGTACCGTTTTATCTTTTCTGTGTATTTTATAGAATGGCACCTTTTATTGATTTTTATGAACTTTTAAAAATAAGTGTCTTGTGGTTAACAATTTTATTAGTTTCATTTATTTAATGGCAATGAAATTGTAGCACAAAATTTACCATTAGATCTAACTCAACAAATTGTTTGGCGCAGCATATTCTCCTTTGGATCTTGTGCCATAAAACTCTACATGAGGTAGAAATAAAAAGGAAAAAAAATTTTTATGTAAGAAAGAAATGTTTTAAAATAATTTTAAAAATTGAAAATGCCAGATTTTTTTTTGCTATACACGCGCTACCCTATAGTAATTAAGGAGAAATTTTTTTTTTTAATTTCTCAATACCTTTATGGAGAGAGGGACATCAAAAATATTTTTTCTTACATTTGATAATCTGCTTAGAGATGTTTAGGGCATACATTTCCTTACACTTATCTATAAAGTTTAAGGCTTTCAGAGGTTTGAGGGACCGACAATAAATTATGAACAAAAAAAAGGGTTTTTGAATACCCGAAAAATTGAAAGCATTATTAATAAATTAATATTAATAATAACGCTACCTCCATAAAAGTATGTTTCTTTCACATGTTTTCTTCCCTAATACCATCACAAAACGATTATTGTCAATTCTTATTAAATTTTGTCTTATGATACAAAATGAGTTTTGTGGGTAGCCCCCTTATCCGAAACTCCTGAAATAGTTTGAAAATTATGAAATTTTTAAGATATTAAAAGCGATCTATTTTTTATTAGTTACCAAATACTATTCGCTATGAAATTATGAAGAAATAATTTTTTTAAATGTTTTCTGCTCGAGTGCAACATGGAAGAACCACTTTAAATACTCGTATCTTGTGCACTTTTTACTGAGTTTTTATTTTTGTTATTTTTTCAAATTTTTCATTATAATTTTGTTATTCATTAAATATTGCTTTAGAAATTTTGTTTAAGTTTATTGAATATTTTTGAAGTCATAACAAAAAGAACAGAAGACAAAAAATTTGCTTGTTTTTTTTATAAAAAATATCTACATCTCCATAAGTATATAAGCTTGATTTATAAAGTTTTATGCAGTTATTACCTATAATAAAGTTAACAATATAAGTTACCATTTTATTGGCATATTATCTAACATAGGGTGTTCAAAAACACCTTTTCCTTTTTTCGTTGGTAATTTATTGCCCTGACAGCTTTAACAGGGTTGCCACTCCAAATTTGGAGAACAGGGAATGCCTTGAAAATACAGGAAATTAAAAAAAATCACATGAAATAACAGGGAAAATGCAAGGAATTTTCAGTTTTCCTTTACAAACTGGGAAAATACAAGGAATTTTTTTTATTTATTTTAGTCTTTTTTAAAAAATGGTGATTACTCAAAGTGCGATCTATGGGATATTTAAAGATATTTAAGCTACATTGAACTATTTTATTTACTGTAGCATTATTAAAGTATGTTCCTTATTTCTTTAAGTATTTCCATCGATTAAAAATAGTATAGTTAGCCAAATACAGCAAATAAAACAAAACACTAATTGCTGTGTTTCCTCTTAATGTATTGTGTATAATATACACAGGGAAAACACACAGAGTTATTTTTTTCCAGATTTGAGTGGCAATCCTGTTTAAACTGGGTTAATTGTTTAATTTGTTTAAACATTTAAGTAAACTTAGTTATGCAATAAACTAAACACCTTTAGAGCTCTAAAATAATCCTAAGAATTTCTTGAGAAGTTTTAAAAAAATATCTACAACTGTTAAAAAACACTTGTTGAGTGATAAAAACAAGCAAAAGGAAACAATAAAAAAGGAAATTCACAATCATAGAACAAGAAATTTGTTTTTCACACTACAAAAGTCCCTTTCCAGTTTTCAGAGAATTACTGATGATTTGTTTAGTTTTGTTATTTTAACAAATTTTTAAAAATGGACAATCAATTGGTAAATTGCCAATGTTTTATGAATTTTTGAAAATATGAGTGTTTGAAACTGTGCACGAAAACATGTTGGTTAATTTATCTAGACGAGTGGATCTCAAAAGGTGTATGACAGAACCCTAGGGTTCCATTAATGATATTTTAAACCTTTAATTATATTTATACCCAATGAATTATACTTATTACTAGTAATTTAAAGTAATTTGGATGAAATGCCCATGAAAAAATAAATACCAGAATTAGAAGGAAAAATTCAAACAATGTATTCAATTAATTATGAAAGGGATATTCATAAAAATTGAAATTTCCCATTGAAATTTTCAATTGAAAATAAAGCAACCAAATTCAAAGGTGTCTCTCTGATAGCAGTTATACTGCAGCAGTTCTTTCCTGTTTTTATTTCAACTTTATTTTATTCATTTTCAACTTAAACATATAATTCAGATCCAGAGTAAATGCCACTTAAGATTTGTGAATTCCACTGTCCATCATAAAAATAATTTAATATTATGATACAAAAAAGTTGAACAATTTATAAAATTTTGGAACTTACAAACTTTTGTAGATCTCTAGATATCAACTTACATAATAAAGAAATGAAAATGAACTCTCTTTCAGTCTCTGTATGGCCTAATAACATCGCCAGATCAAGTGAGCTACCTCACTAGCTGTAAAATACTCTCTGTGAGTGGTCATATGGACCACAATGTGATGTTGATGTCTCCAACGGGTGCAAGGTTTCCTCATTTGCCTCTGCCAGCCAAGACATCCTCTTCTCGGGAACAATTAGAGGTGAGTTTCATTTCTTTATGCTGATAACTGAATGAGCACTCATAAGTAAACTAACCTACTAAAATTTAATATTCAAGATTCCACTTTTGGTAGGCTAAATTACTAAACAAGGTAACTAATTAATTTAAACCAATTGATATTTTGAAAATAAATCATTAATTTGGAAATATTTTCGTGCAATATTATTTATGAGTATATTTTTTAGGTTGATAATGTATGTAAAATTATTTTACTTCAAACTAGAAGAAAAATTTAAAAATTACTAAAAATTTTCAGTAGTTTAAATTATAACTTTCAAATTTTAATTTACTATATGTAAAGTAATTTGATGGTAATAAGCATATTTAAAGAAATACAAATGCTTTCACAAACTTATTAAATATGTAGTTACTGTATATCAATAACTTGTTCTGGCCATAGAAACTCCAAAGTTTAGATTGATTTAACTAATCTAACAAATTGCCTTTGAAATTATTTTGTTAATAAATTAAGTGCCTAACAATTTTAAATATTTTTAGTTAGAATTATTAAGTATTTTTGATATAGGATAATATTATGCATATGATTATATGTATTATTAATACATGGGATGGTTTGACTGGTAAATGTAATAAAAAAAATTTGATTTAAATAAATAAATGAAAAATCCAATTCATTTATACTATTTTTTTTAATAAAAAGAAATTCATCATTTTTGACTAGCTTGCTTTAAAGTAAAATATATTTCTCCTTTTGGCTGATATACTCAAAGCATGTGAGAGACAATTGCTTCAGTAGTCGAGTCAGGAGTTTGAATCCTCTATGTTATTTTTCTTTGTATTTTATTAACAAACATATATTAACCTTTATGTTTTATAGTTTGTCAATTAACTGATTAACTTACATTTTCTGTCATATTTGATGTAACTAACACTGCTCTGCAAAACAAAATAATAATAATAATAATAAAAATGTTTTAAAATTCATCACCTCTCAATCATCAGTGAAATATCCAAACTTTCCTGGCAGAGTTTCAAGGCCTCTTCCATAGTTTATGGCTATATATTTTTATTTGTGTCTTTTTGTTCGGGGAAAAAAAGAAGCTGTAATATTTTGAAAATGGGGGAAAAACTTGAACATGATTGAACTGGGGAATAAATTTTTTTTCTCCATTTATAAAAGTACTTCACCTTACCTAATTCGGGTGTAGGAACTTCAAATCCAAAATTTATTTTGTTTTGAAAACTAAATTTTTTTTATTTTCAAAAATAATATTTTTAACTTAGTGTATTTTTTTTGTCTGAATGTACATTTTTTATACAGAAAGTATCAATTCATATACATATGGGGGAGCAGATAAAGAAGCACTTCTTTGAAAATAACACGTAAGTCGAAGAACATATAAAATATCACTTAAGAGAATAAACCTTAACTTGCTGCACCATAAACTGAAATGTTTTATTGCCTTCTTCCTACCACGTCAATTTCAAGTTACTCAAGTGAATTTTAAAAATCTTTTTTCAGATTATATTTATTAAATTGCATTAAAAACTGTAGCTTGTTGAGAAAAATAGATTTGAAATCCGTGCTTCATCTAAAATCTGTTTAAAAAATCCCATGCAATAGAAGAAGAAAATTGTTTCCCAGTGTTATATTTCCTTGCTTCAAATATTCTTGCAGAGCCGTGGTGGCTATGGTGATAGAACACTCGCCTCCTAATGAGGTGACCCGGGTTCAATCCCAGCGATAGCTGGTCAATTCGAATTCTGCACCCGGCTTGCTGACGTAAAATGTCCTCAATGGTACACGGATCATGGGTTAGAGTCCCCTTGCCCTCAGGCTAACCCTGGGAGGTTCCCCGGGTCTTCCTCTCCGTGTAAAGCAAATGTGGGTTAGTTTCATTAAAAATTCCTCCACAAAGGCAAATTTCTTCCAAATTTAAAAGGAGTTCCCTTGTTTTCTGGATTGGGTTCAAAATTACAAGGCTACGGAGTTGAACATTGGTAGTTGTAAACCCTAAATTGGGTCGGCTGTTCAACGAAGGTTATAAAATAAAATGTACTTGCAGCCTCTCAGAATAAACTTAAATCTTAAAATAATCCAAATCAAACTCAGGACTATAAAAAATAAGAAAGCATCTCAGGAGATTATCAAGAATGGTTTGTGTGTGTAACATGAGGCATGTGTTGCATGAATGTTTGCTAACTGTTATGCTGCTTATTTCAACAGGAACCAGAAGTAAAGAACACTCGTAGTTCTAGTCCTAACTTAGTTGCTATTGAAACTCCAACCACCCTGAAAACAACAGCATCCTTTTATGAAAAAGTAACTGCAATGAGTAGCAGTTGGTTTGGGAACTGAATTTGGGTAAGATGTTGACTTTTATCCAAGCAGTAAATATTTGTTTTCATTTACCTTTTTTTAAACACGTTTATTTGTGAAAAAGTTTCAAAAATGTCAACTGTTTCTTGTTTGATTTTTGAAGGGTTTTTTTTCTCTGTCTCTTAAATTTGGACAATAATTTCCGTACCCTTCTAGCTACAGTTGAACTTCAATTTAAAGAATTGATTGGGACTGGCAAATCCGTTCATTAAATCGAATATCAATTTTTGTATAGAGTATGGTATAAAAGTATCGATGCAAAATACCCTTAGATATACAGATAATGAAAAAAAGGAATTATTGTTTACTACAAGCTTAAAACTTATAAGTTATATGTTAGGAAATTAACTTTAAAATTATCTCAATTTTTTAAAGCCACTTGCTTTTAAAACTTAATACGTAATACAGTCGGACTTCTATTTAACGAACTTCCATTTTACGAATTTCTCTATTTTGCGAATTTTTTCATGGAACCAAGAACATTTTGGAAATTTCTTCGTTAAATAACTTCTAAATAGCGAAGTGAATTTTCTATTTAACGAATTTTTTTTTTTAGATCTACTTTCCCCATTTCCCAAAATATTTGAGAAAAGTATTAACTAGTTAACGCATTTTATGAGGGAAATAACTTTGAACTGATTTTCGCATCCCCTTAACTTTTAGAGAAAGCAGTAAAATTCCTTTCCCTTTTTGTTTGCATTTCATACAGGAAATGCAATCCCACTAGAAAAGGGGGGAAAGGATCAAATTCCTTGAATAGAAAATGAGCAGAGAAGATAAAAGGAATGGGTCATCAAAGTGTGTGGTCCCTGGTCCCTTATTGACATGTCATATTATCTCCACCCCCACTGTTCACTTCCTTTCTAGAAAAACTTTCTCGTTGTTCACTCGGTAGAGCTCCTGTTTTAAGATTGCTGATCAGAGTGCTGCTTGTTGCTTTTCTTACGGCTGCAAAATGTCGAAGCGAAAGTGCCTGACTATTAAAGAAAAAAATTACAAGATAAAGGTGCATCAATTGCAATTTTAATTATTTCTAGTATCCATGAATTTAAAACCTATTCTACGTTGTGTAAGTATTTCAAAAGATGATTTTCTATTTAACGAATTTTCCATATAACGAACTTTTTTTGGAATTTAGCGACTTCGTTAAATAGAGGTCCAACTGTACATACAGATAATTATACACTTCAATTAGGATGTGAAATATTCAAAATTTTAAATGCGAAAAATTTTTAGATATATTAGCTCATTTTTTTCCAGCGATTGTTTGTTAAATCATAACTAGCAATTTGTTAAATGAGAGCATTTTAGCACTCCTTTTGTAGGAACAAAAAAATATTCGTTAAATCAAAGTGCGTTAAATCGAGGTTCGATTGTATCTTTTAGTAATTATAACAGACTCTCAGACTTCTGTGTTCAATCTCAGACCACCTAAGTATTTTTTTTCCTTGCAGAGTGCATGAATCATCAGACATTTTTCACTTAGCCCTGTAGGAGTCATAAACAATGAGGCTAACATAAGCAATAATAAAAATTAGTATGATTTCGATGAAAAAGAAAAAAAGAGGCAACACTTCTTGAACTTTTTGTATGAAGTAGTAAAGAAATTGATATAAAACATATTTTTTGTTAAGAGAGTTGAACTACTCATTACGAGATGAGAAAGTTAAGACATTTTGAGTAACATAATTAACCAAAACGTTTCCCTTATTTCTTATGTCTTTTTACGGAAAATCACTTACCCCTTAATTCACTGCTTTTTTACCCATATTCCAATTAAAAAAAACAAATAAATAACTTACTCTTTAAATTATTATTACAAACTTATAAAATTATCTGTGTTGATAAGTTTAATTCTGATTACCATTTCACTAAGACTTCGTTAGGATTATTTTCAGCTAATTTAATTTTTATAAGTTTTTCTATTAGTGAATTTTTTTAAGTGATTTTCAATTCTTAATTTTTTTTTAAATAAATACCTTTTTTTTAAAAAAAAATGAACTTTTCATAACTATGAATTGTTTTCCTGTTTTGATGTGTGTACTTTTTGAAATGTATAAAGTAATTTAAAAATTGTTGAGGATCAAATTCAGTTATTGCATAATGTTGTGCAATTCGATAATGTACCCTGCATGTATGTACAATATATTTATATCCTATGCATATATTTTCAATGCATGAATGACCCATGCATGTACAATGTATGTATGTTGTATGTTCCACACCTGCATGTATAATGTATGAATGCCCCATGCATACATGTACAATTTATTTATGAACAATATGTGTTTGTATATATGTGCAATATGTTTATGTATATATGTACATTTTATGCATGTTCAGTATTGTACATGTGTACCAATGCATTCGACATGCATATTTTGTATCTTTGTATACACACATACATTCGTAGCATATATATTATATACATGTAAAGTTTACAATGTGCAAAGAAAAAAGACATTACCTTGGATAACTTTTGTTCTAATGATCGTATTTTCATCTAGTAACTGTAAATCTTAATGTTTCCTGGGGGTGATTTCAAATATGCAAATTATTTAATGCTAACTATTAATTAAGTTACGAAATCGAGCTTGTACAATTTATTTTTGAACAATATGTGTTTGTATATATGTGCAATATGTTTATGTATATATGTACATTTTATGCATGTCCAGTATTGTACGTGTGTACCAATGCATTCGACATGCATATTTTGTATCTTTGTATACACACATACATTCGTAGCATATATATTATATAGATGTAAAGTTTACAGTGTGCAAAGAAAAAAGATATTACCTTGGATAACTTTTGTTCTAATAATCGTATTTTCATCTTGTAACTGTAAATCTTAATGTTTTCTGGGGGTGATTTTCAAATATGCAAATTATTTAATGCTAACTATTAATTAAGTTACGAAATCGAGCAAAAAAACGTACTTTCTCTGAATAAACATATATTTGTTTTACACATTTAGATTCTTAATCTTCAAGATGTGAGGGGTAGCCGCAATCTGGAAAATGTTCTCCCCATAGTTTGGTCAGGACAGCGATCCAAAATTCGGACTCCTTAATGCTAATTTCGCTTTTTGCATTTTTAGTCATATTTTTAAAACTAATTAAGCAATTTAAAAAAATTCACCCACTTATAAAACCCTTTTACCCAAAGATAATTTAATGCAAAAAATTATTTTTGACTATTATTATTTTCAACTATTTAATTTAGTTATGGATAAAAATTTATATCATATTAATCTACTTATTTTTCTATTGCAACACTGTTTTTATTTGGTAGAAACCAAGAAAAATTTTAATAAATGAAGATAAATTATTGATTTTTTTTTCTTATTTATTTGAATAATGAGAAGTAATTGCATAAGTGTGCACAGCAAAAAATACAACAGTTTGCTGTGTTTTTTAAATGACCAAAAGTTATAGACATCAATTCTATTTTGACGTTCAAACTTTTTCTCTTCTGCCAAATTTAAGAAAGTTGCCCTTTTAAAAAGGTTATTGTTTAAAAAAATGTGCTTAAAAAGTTGCTAATATTATTTCTCAATTTTAGCACAATTCAAGAAAATATTTCTATATCTAGAAAATGCATGATGTGCCTTATTTCGTCGAACAACTACTGAAATGGAAAATTGTAAAAAGATTCCAAAACCGTGCTTTTTTTTTCTTCTTTTAATCTGAACTTTCATTTAGAAAAATTAAGTTTTTATGTTTGTAATAACAAACATCTGTATTTTAATATTTCAACAGTACTTATGAGTCTTTAAAAAGAGAAAACTGTGGTAATTATAAAGTTATCATAAAATTTAAAATTAAACTTCTACATGCGATGTTTTGCTATCTTGTCATTCATTCAGTTTCTTTATGGTTGTTTACAATTGTTTAATCTTCTATCGCGAAGTAATTGGGAACTTTTTTTATATTTTCACCATCTATGCAAATCTTTATTGCAACCAAATTGTTTCAAAATTTTCTACCATATGTAAAAAGAAATATATGTTTAATCAGAAAAAGTACGTTTTTGTGTCTGATTTCGTAACTTAATTAATAGTTAGCACTAGTCATTGTCCATAGTTAAATTTCAACTTGAATTTAATAAAAACATGGATTTAACAGTACTAAAAGTTATTTTAATTATGAGTACATTTTCAATTGGGTCATACAGAAAAACGTTTCACTGAGAAAAAAATGTATCATAAAAAATAAAGGTCTGTTAGAATAAATATAGAATAATGTTTAAGGAAATGTTTGAATTTCGACTTCCTGTAAAGTTTATAGAGGGAGAGCCTCGTCGTTTCATTTTAAAAAAACTCAGCATAAAAAAAGGCTCGCTTTGATATGGCGTAGTTTACCGGTTAGGTTCACCATATTGCACTATATGATCAAACACGGGCAACCTTTTTTTGTAGAAGATAGCTTACAGAAAATCTCCTCTTTTCCATAGATTGCAAGGAGAACAGGGTTTGCTTTTTTATTTGTGAAACTACCATTTTTCTTAAAGTTGAATTTGTGAAGGTACTACTAGATGGTAGTAAATTTACCCTGGACAGATCCCTGGAAAAAGTTAAGATGCACCGTTTCTGTTGGGTATTACTCTCATATAATACTGTATACGTCAAAATGGGTGCCATTAACCCTGACGAGGAGAAAGTGTTGTATGATATTGCATGTGGAGACTGAGCTTTCGACTATGCCAACCTTCATCTATCAAAAGGTACCTCAAGGTTGATTCGAGTTTGCATGTCTTAGTGAATTGATGTTTCATAATCGTAGTGGTTGTTATGACACAATACTGCAACACCAGAATTTTATCAGGGATGGAATTCGATGAACGGATACCACTAGTTTCCGTGTGTGCAAAAGACCGGGAGAGCTGTGTTAAGTTCACCGGATATTGAGTACTTGTGACGCTGCATTAAGTTTGCGGTTGTGTGTGTGATTTCTTCTATGTTGCTATTAGCAGATGAGTGTGTGCAGGATCCTTTTGTGTGTGAATGAGACTGATAATCAACAGCGTGATGAGGACGATGACGCAGTCACAAATAGCAAGTCAACTTTTCAATTATTACCATTCGTCAAAGTGGATGTTAATTTCGTTGTAGACGAGTTCATATCACGTCTGCAGGTCACGAGTTTATGGAGGTACGGTTTTTGAGAGAAATAATTAGGCACACTGCTTTTAATAAAATTTATGTAATAAACAGTTTTGAATAATAATATAGAAAGTATAGTTGAACAAGCAGAGATGATAACAAAAACAGATCGTTAATATAGATATATATACAACATTAGAAGAATAATCAAAAAGAGAACATAAATTGTTTCGTGTTCCTCGTTGCTAGGGGATACCCGACTAGCAGCGTTTAGTTGTAGTAGACAGGTTACCAGATTGCAAAATTAAATTTTTTTAAAAAATGCTTGTTTGTTAAAAAATCTAAACTGCATTGTTGCACTTTATTACTAAAAAAATGAATTTTTTTCAGGTTTTATGGAAAAAGCACCAATTCCCATGCTTTGAGAGATTGTGAATACTTGTTAATTTTACTTTGAAATATTATAAATACAGTGTTAAACCTATTTCATCTATAATAAAATTATTTTATTATTTCTGTTACTTTATTGAATGTGAACACAAATACGAAAAAATTTATTCAAAAATATAATTGCGAAAACACGTGTGGTTAAAATGAATCTCTGGAAACTGCTGAATCATCAGACACAAGGAAATAAATGATGCTCTAAAATTTTGTGCAACTGCCCTAGCAGCGAAATAACTTGGGCCGATATCGATGAATCTAGGCTCAATGATTGCTCAAAGGGTCATTATTTTTTCGATATTGGCCCTATATAGAACTTCATGACTCACCGGATCATTGTTGTGATTCACAATATTGTTTCATTGAAAGTTAAATTGAAAGAATGCTTAATATTGTAACACTATGACTGTAATAATGTTGCATGGCGCTCTTTTCCTAGCTATCATGGTACAGGGCCATAGTGGAAACGGGATACAATTAATCCTTTTACATTACTGTTCAGAGCGCCATCTGTAGGGTTTTAGAATTTATTATTAACAGACCATATTCATGCGGTTGGTTACGAATTTGTGGAGCCTTAATTTCCATGACTTCCCCCAACAACGGGCTATTGCGGAAATACATTTATATGTATAAAAAAATTTACATTTTAAATTAAAAAATGTCTTTCATTATTGTACTAAGATTCACAATATGGACGCGAATAGATAGAAATCATGCAACATAAAGGAACGCAAAAAATTCCTAGAACATAAATTGTGAGAAAATTTTTAAATATATAAAAAATAAATTTTGAAGATTAAATTTCATAAATAAAATTATCAGAATAAAAAGTTTTTAAAACAGAACGAATACTGATAATTAAGTTAACATTTTATTTTTTCTTTAGCACTACCTTAGAAAAAAAACAAGGTTTTATGTTCGTAACTTGTTTTCCGTAGAATAAGGTTGTTGTTTTTTTTGCGAAATATTATTATTTATTAACATTTTGGGAGAAAAGGTAAATGCGAACAAAAAAATAAAAACAAGGTTTACATTTTTTTATTTTAAACCTAAGCAACAATATTTTACGTATACATAAAAAAGCTTTATAAATCATTTATTAATTATGATGAAAGGTTTGAAATTGCAAATACTTTTGCTTCATTGCAAAAAAAAAAAAGGGATTTTACCGCAAATCTTTTCATGAAAATAAAAAGAAAATTCAGACACATGGTTGCTGTAAGGTTTCTGGGTTTCGTATTTAAATGAAAGTTTTAATTTTCAAAACATTTTAATCCAACAAAAAAATTTTTGTTTATAACAAGAAAAGAAGGATGAAATATCTAAGATTAAACTTTTTAGGCTGTTTACGAACGAGAGCTCAACATGCATGGATCCCAAAACTATCAGTTAGGTGTGATGACGTCATGAAAGGAGATCCATTGGGAGTGACGCTTATAATCTGATTACAACGCTTCTCTTAAAAGTCTTCACTTTTTGAGATTCAGAATAAATCCTTTGTTGATCGATTATTTTATTGCAGTGTTTGATTTTCATTAATATGTTTATATTATGAGATAAATATCGTTTAATAAATTGACAATGGTATTTAAATATATTTAACGATATCTTCATGTTACTCATTTTCGTTTTTTAGAAGCCCTTAAAAACTTAAAAGTGCTTTTTTTATTGGTTTATAAAAAGTGCTTAATTTTCCTTTTTCGATAATGAAATTTTTCTTTTGTTACCCTGTCTATTTTCGCCACGTATTATGCAAAAGCGTGCTTTTCACATTGTTCTATTCAACGTTTTAACAATTAATTCGACAACAAACCATTTTGGCTTACATTCGGTTCGTAACGGTGCGTTTAAAAGCGCCAATCATTTTACATGTTTGATAAAATACTTGGGATTCCGCATGTGCGTCTACTGAGCTGGGTTCGGTGAGATTATTGCTCTCTCATGTGTAATTCTGCTGCATTTTGCCAGATATTCTCCATTTAAGGCTTCATATTTCACCCTCTGATATCGCGGTCCCTACGCAGACTGATTCAAGTGGTCACCAGCCACACGCTGACCGCAGCCAGTGATGCTTGACTTCGGTGATTAAATGGGAACCGGTGTGTCTTACCGATCAGTCCCCTGAGAGTCTGCATTTTGTTAATGTAAAAAGTGCTTATTTTTTGTTGAACGATTTGGCTACGCACACTGGTTAAAAAATTACGTTTCTAAACTTTTTCATACTCGCTTCTAAACTACAATTATACGTATGCTGAATAAAGCAAATGAAATCAAATAATAAGTTGTAAGAATCGATTACTATGAAAATTCGGTCAGTAAATTTCAACTCGTGCACTGAAAATGGGGAAAAAAATTTATTAATTATAGACTAAGAGTTCTCTATTATAGCACGGCATGCGCAGCAAGAGAACAAACACTATAAAAGTACATTTAAAAAAAATATCTAAACAACCAAACACCATCGAAAAACATTTTGGTCATGTGAAAATCATAAAATAAACAGAATTACTCCCTTATGATGTATAGTTTGCTTAAGCTAAGAACTCCCGCCACAAAGTCTGAGGCCGTTTGCTGCTATGGAAACAAAAATAGCGCATTTTAGGAAGGGTGGCTTCTTTTCACTCTAAAGGCTAACACAATAGACCGAAGAAAGCGATCCCCTTTCTCTCGCCTACCCGAAACCACTCCAAAACAGTGACCCCGCACCCCTTCTTGAAATAGTCATACGTCGTTACCATAGTCACCGCCACAGGTCCAGACGAATGTCTGGGGGAGTTCCTATTTTAGACAAACTATAATCGCACAATCATACTTGGCCGTCAATTCCCTGCGGTTCTTACAAATCAGCCCACACGATTATATTCGCAATATCAGAAAGTACTCTTTTTTGCGGATATAATCGTGTCGGCTGATGAAAGGATTATATCTTTTATTTTCCGGTTTTTAAAAATTAAAAAAAATTCATCCTTTTTTTTTTTAAATCAGTTTTTTTTTTCAGCCGGGCGAACTGGCATAACGTAAAAGTATATTTAACCATAATTGTCAAAAGTGACGCAAAATCTTTATGTTCCGACATAAAAATTAGGGAAAATCCTGGTGTGAACTTTCGTGCCAAAGAGGAATTTCTTGTGACTATCGTTCAAAAAAATAGGATTTCTTCAGTACTCTTAAGCTTAGAATGTACAATTTCAATTCTAAAAATAAATTAATGAATGTGAATAGTAAAATGTGAGAACGCTTTTAATTTTGTAATTAAGAAGGAGAATTTAGATTAAGAAATTACCTAAAAATATTCGTTTTTTCATTTTATTTTACAGACTCGCACACATAAACACACACAGAAAAACTCTTTATTTCATAATTATAGATAACAAAAAGGGAAGAAAAGAGTTCGCCATTGTACTTCTAAAACTATAAAAATATTATCTTTCTTCTTTTTTTTTTTTTTTTTTTTACGTTAAACAGATCACGAATCAAGTAAGATGAAATGATAAAGCATTTGTTATCGCACTATTGATACGGGACGTACATACGCATGTTTTTGTTTTCATATCGAATTCCTTGTTTATGAATTGAATGAAATCATCAAAATAATATTTTGATTTTACAACTAAATTTTTGCCCGATGGCTGCGTTTTTGGAATGACAACTCTTCACGCAAATATATGTACAGCAAAAGCATAAAGATGTATGCAAATTAAAAATGAAAATCTCATTCGATAAGTAAGTTCGAGAGATATTAACTGCTCAACTTATGGGCTATAACAGATTGTTGGTGGCATCTTATATTTTCACAAGTTTAGTAGTTAATAATTCTCGAATTTTAATTTTTTTTCATTTAGTTTTGTTATTTTATTATACTTTGCGTACATTTTTCAACACACTATCAACTTTCATAATTTATGGCGTTAATTCGTTGTAACGTTTCGTTTTTATAACGTTAGGTTGAATTTACCTTATTCTCAACCGTGTTTCATGTTTGTCAAATTTTCTGGAGTTTATTCTTATTAAATTAAAAATAACAAAAATGAAAACTATTTCTGATTGCAAGATGATTTGCAAATAGCATCCTTATGTTTCGATACATTCTGAAACTCATTTTCGCAAATTCACCACAAAATGTTGCACAACATGTTCTTCAATTACGATAAGCTACATTTATCATCAAATACCGCTACTATGATTTCTTTTTTTTCCTTATATATATCTAATACAATACTCTCCTTTTAAACAGAGTTCGTAAGGTCATTAAGATACTGAAATAAGCACAAAAACTTAAAAGATAAAATATTCAATTTCTATAACACAAAATATCTGGCTTCAAAATTTTAAAGTTAAAGATATCTTCATAGTTATTTTAAAGTTAAAGACAACTTCATAGTTCTGCGTATTTTATTTCTTTATCAAATGAAAATTGTGTATTTTAATTATTTATTTATTTGTCAAATTATATCATGATTCTAAAATTTTTGCATGGCTTCGGAATCTTTTTACGAATATCAATTTTCAGTATTTGCTGTTTAACAAAATAAGGCATTTCCCTAATAACAAAATATGCTGTAATAAATATCTTGAGAGGTGGTGGCTCAGTAGATAGAGCGAAAGGCCCAATGGGGTGACCCGCGTTCAATCCCAGCGATAGCTGGTCTATTTGAATTCCGCTCCCGGGTCGCACCGACCACAGTGCTGATGTAAAATATCTTCAGTGGATCATGGGTTAGAGTCCGTGGAAGTTTTTCGTAGTCTTCCTCTCCATGCAACGCAAATGCGGGTTAGATCCATCAAAAAGTCCTCCATGAAGGCAAATTTCTTCCAATACTTGATCCTGGAGTTCCCTTGTCTTCTTGATCGGGTTCAAAATTATAAGGCTACGGAGTTGAACATTAGTAGCCGTAAACCCTAAATTGGTTCGGCTACCCAACGACGGTTATAAAATAAAATATAATAATATTTTGGGAATTGTGCTAATGATGAGAAATAGTTTTACAAAAGTAAATTTTTTCAATATCTTTTTTTAAAAGAACTTTCTTAAAGTTAACGGTGAAATATATAAGTCAAAATAAAATAGCGGTTTGAATTTGTTCATTTAAAAAACAAAGCAAAATGTGTAATGAAATAATTAGTTGAATATTTCTTTGAATCACGAGTGGTAATTAAAAATTTAATTTCAAAATTAAGATATTAGGACGACACAAAATGCTGAGATATTTTAAGACGCTTAAAAATTTTGGCTACATATTCGACAGCTTTTTGTTATCTTTATACTCTTTGTAGTGACTTAACATTGACACAGTTTTAGATAATTTTTTTTGAAGTCACAAGAAACAATAAAAAAGGCAATCAATAATTTATCTTCATTTTTAGAAAAAATCTTTTGCTCAGTAAATAGTCAGCTGTTTTGCATCGAATAATTTTAAACAGCAGAATGTTTTTAATTTATTAACAAGATTTAATTATTAGCTAGCGGGCAATAATTCTAAGTTTTCTTTCAATATTGAAATTTTTTTTTATCAACTATTGTAAAAACAAACTGAAAAATATATTATAATCATATTAAATATAATCACAATCTGATGTATAATCACATTCTATAAAAAACATGCTTTTATATAACTCGACATTCGTTGAATAAAATGCTTTTTATTCAATAAAATGTTTTATTCAAAAATCTTTGCTAAATTACGAATAAATTTTTAGACGACTAAAAAAGAAAAAAACGTATTTCATAACTAAAAATTAAAAAAAAAAGGATTGGCAAAGGATTGTTATTAGCGAAAAAAATATGAAAGAAATTTTACGCTGCACGCGTTTAGGTCAAGTTCCTCGTAAGTTAACCACATTTAAATTTTAATTCTTCATTGTTGTCAACTTATTTTTTGCAAAATAATTAATTTTAATTTTTCTCTGCTTCTACTAAATAAAAACAGTTGAAACTTTAGATTTTTTAATAAAAAAAAATATATGTTAAAATTTATACCTCATAATTCAACATTTTTTCATCCTCAAATAAATTAAATTATACGAAATAATAAATAATTAATAAATATTTTTATTTTTGCAGGAAATTATCTTAGGGTAAACGGGTTTTAAAAGTGAGTGCAATTTTTCTTCCTTTTTTTTCAATTGCTAGATTAGTTTTAAAAATATAACTAAAATCGCAAAGAGTGAAATTAACATTGAGGGGTACGAACTTTGGATCGCTCTCCTGATCATATTATGGGAACCATATTTTCCAGATTGCGGCTACGCCCTACATTTTGAAGGTTAAGAATCCAAATATGTCAATTTATACATCTATACATATATATACGTTTATTCAGGAAAAGTACGTGTTTTGGTGTCCGATTTCGCATTTGAATTAATAGTTAGCACTAAATAATTAGCATATTTGAGGTCACCCCCTGAAACCATTCGAACGAAAGTTATTCAGAGTGATTATTATTATTTTATTTATTTGTTCACTGTATCTTATTTTTTTTACTCCAATTATACTAATTAATCATCAAAAATAATTAAGCATCATTGGCGTCAATAGTATTGCAATGATTTTTTACGGTTTCCCCAACCCTAAACGAATGGATATATTTTTTCTCCATTCACTTCGCTTTTCAGTACATAGCATGCTTTTTTTTTATTTTAAAATACCGTTGATTTAAAATTAAGTAATTTTATGTAAACATCGTTTTAAATTTTAACAAATTAAGCACTTGGAATTTAATTTTATGTAAACATCGTTTTAAATTTTAACAAATTAAACACTTAGTTTCAGAAGCTAATTCAGTGACGTTGTTCTATGCTGCCACCTTCACTTAATCATTTAATTTATCTGACGATTATTATAACGAATAAAAATTAGTTTGTTAATAAAGAATGTGCAATAAACTCTTCTTTTTTTTCTTTTTTTTTTTAAATCGAGCAAGGAAACATCGATCATATAATCTTTAAAATATATGGAAAAAAATCGTTTGCAGTTTAATTTTTATCAATAGCAAGTTTTAGACCTAAGAAAAAATTCCATGGATGAAACATCTCTCCTGATCAATCTAATAGAACTTTTTGAGCAATTTTTAGGATTTTTTTGAACAAATAAAAATTACCCTTTTCACTACTGTCAGGGCGCTAGTATAAACGGTTCTGCAGTTGTAAATGGCGGAATAAACACTTTATTTTATATGCAGTTAAATATTTCAGAAACATTATTTCTTTTTAATTTTATTAAATTAGAATAAAACTAAACTGCCTAAATGAAATTTTTTTCTTTATGTTTTCTTTTTTTTTCAGGATAGTAAATATTAAAAATAAACTTGCCCTGAAAAACAAATATATTGAAAAAAATATGCCTGGAATATTAAATAAATCACTTTTTTAATTACGCTGTATTAAACAACACATATTTCACTACTATTTTAAAATATATAGCTTTTTTTTTTCAAATTTTGATCTCAATTGAGTTCTAAAAAAATTGTCTACAAGAGCTTCTAAAAATACAAATAATTAAAATTTTTATGATAAATAAATTATGCAAAAGGATTTTGACAAAATTCAAACTATTTTAGGATTAACTTGAAGTTCCGTATTCTTATTTGTAACCAAAAACACAAAATGAATTTATTACTAAGATAAATTTGCCAGAAACAATTTTTATAACACACAAAAATTATAATTGAAAACCATCAAATACTATCTCTAGAAAAAAATTTTTAAAAAATCATTTTTAAGTAATAAATAATATATTATCATCAATGTACAATGTAAAAACAGAAATTATATTTTTCAATTGAATTAATTATTTTAATCAATAATTTTGCTTAAGTTAAATTAGAGTTGTAAATCATTTTTATATATTCATGTAAACAAGTTATTTTCACTATGATTCAATTTTGATATTTAAGAAACATTCGATTGAAAAATAATTTGTAAAAAAATACTATTCGTTGTAAATCTGATATGAAACGTTTTGTATTTCATTGCTTTGTAAATAGTCCCGATGAAAAATTACATTCCAAATAAACTACATTTATTAAAAATAATGTAACTTTCCTTTAAATTCTTTTTGCAAATTCTAAATAATCATATGAAACAATGAATAAGCTTGTGATTAATTGGTAATAAATATATGATATGAAACTATAATTCTTTGTTTATTTCAATATAACATACGTGAATACTTTACAACATATAAAAGGCACAACATATGTAGATTTCACAGTAGAAAATCATAATTTTTTTTTAACAAATATATTTACATTATGTACATAGAAATACTGTTTAAACCATTGAATGAAACAAACTATTCTCATATTTAACAGTGGATGAAATTTGGTGGGAATATGATAACAGATCATAAACATGAATTTAAATAACAACAAAATTACCGTTCAGTTTCTAAACCACATCGAAAAACAGCATTTTATAATATCCTGTTTTAGGTATTTAAAATATATATATATATGTATGATTGCACATATACAAACTAAAAAATATTATTTCAAGAAAGAATTTAAATATGAAATGGTATTTGAATAAATTGCAATTGGAAATAAAATATTATTAAATAAACATTTAAGTATTTTAAAAACAAATTGCTGTTTTTTTCTAGTCAAGGGTTGCAACATAAAAAAGATTTGTCATGAAATGATTATAAAATTAATTATCGTTTTCGGTTTTTTTTTTTTTTTTTTTTTTTTTTTTTTTTTTTTTTTTTTTTTTTTTTTTTTTTTTNTATGATAACAGATCATAAACATGAATTTAAATAACAACAAAATTACCGTTCAGTTTCTAAACCACATCGAAAAACAGCATTTTATAATATCCTGTTTTAGGTATTTAAAATATATATATATATATATATATATATGTATGATTGCACATATACAAACTAAAAAATATTATTTCAAGAAAAAATTTAAATATGAAATGGTATTTGAATAAATTGGAAATAAAATAATATTAAATAAACATTTAAGTATTTTAAAAACAAATTGCTGTTTTTTTCTAATCAAGGGTTGCAACATAAAAAAGATTTGTCATGAAATGATTATAAAATTAATTATCGTTTTCGGTTTTTTTTTTTTTTTTNTTTTTTTTTTTTTTTTTTTTTTTTTTTTTTTTTTAAATACATGAAAAACTATTCTTCTAATAGTTGTTTTAATAAAGTAACAATACCAAACGATAATAAAATGAATGCATTAATACTTTTTAAAAAAATGATATTTTAGTATGATTTGGGTTTAAAAAAATGTTCAAAATTGCTAATACTTATGTTAAATGTTCAACAATTAAATGCATTTTACTCAGCCGTGGATGGAAGCCTGGATCGGAACTTTGGACAAAATCCGTTTGTGCCATCGGGCCCTTTTGGCATACGGATCGTTTTGACTGGAACACCTTGCAATAGTTGGCACGCCGATGACACCGAAGAGAGCAAATTTGAGTCAGATTGTTCTCGGCGCCGGCGCCAGGGACTCATGATATCACTCCGTAGAAGGCGGTCCCTTGATCCACCGTGCCTATTAGACAATGAAGCAAATGAAGAGTTTGGGTCATTATAGATGTGGTAACTGTGCCGCCTCGGATATCGATTATCGAATGGATTGGTGTTGTATGGCGAGGATGAAAGGTAACCGGAGCTAACAGATCCACTGGAACTTCGTCTATTGTCATTTAGAGTCGTCGATGAATCAGCATTCGATGATTTCCTGTTCTTTTTCTTCTTTTTTTCCTTGGCTGGAGATGATTTTGGATCAGTGTTCTCTGATTTTTCTTTGAGAACAATCGATGTGACTTTGATGTCACCGGGTAGATCAGATTCTAGCGCTCTTTTAGCGGCCGAGTGCTCTTCGAATTCCACCAGGGCGCTGACTTTGGACTGAATGTCGCTATTCTTCGCGAGGAAGTGCTTGACATCGGAAGGAATGGAACCGCCGGGTCTCAGAATCCTGACCAGGGCGATGTCGCCGCAGTGACTGAACATCTCGCTGATGCTGTCGACGGAAGGCTTGTCCGTACTGAATCCGTGAACGATGATGGATCTGGACACCGGAGACTCGTCGTGGTCAGGTAGGGGAGTGAGGCGTTTCACTTTGGTGCCTTCGCTGTTCAGGGCGAGCTGGGTCGACTTCTGCAAGCTGTAAGCCACCGCTTTCCAATTGCGACTGAGGCTTCTCACTTTTCGGAATGAGGCGAGTAATTTCAGGCTGACGTAGCCTTCCTTGTTGCGACGGACATGCTTCAGGAGGAAGGGGTCCCTCAGAATGTTCGCATCAGAGAGGTAGTACTCTACTGTCTTCATGATCGCAGAAGCGATCTCCTCACCCGGCATATCCTCCGGATCAGCACAGTCAATGCCGGAGTCTTTAGGGTCGGTGTCTGAAAAATTGAGACCACCCTCTTCGCTGTGATTGCCGCAGGAGGAATCATCATCCATATCGTTCGATATCGTCACTGGAACTATCTCGATGCTCATCTTAAAAACGAGAAACCCTATTCCAAAGGAAGAGAAGAGAAGCTCTACAAAATATCTTCTCTTTCTAACCTTCCTGTAAAGATCCAAACGAAAGAATAGACAACAATCTAATTAAAGAAATTGAGCGTAGGGTGATCTTTTTATTCCAATCGAAAAACCGCCCGCTCTGTGATTGGTCGGCGATCGGTAACGAATGATTGCCGCCACGTAGCTTGAGATGACAAATAGAGAGGATTACTCATCGTAAGTTTTTCGTTACGTCATTTTCAGTGATTAGTTTGGAAGCCCTTCTTTTCTCCTGTTTCTTCTTTTCCTCCTGCGTCATTTAATAAGGCTTCTCAAAATCACGTTGCAGACGATATCGAATATTTTTTCTTCTGTTATCTTAGTGAGAAACGCGCAGGTGTATTTTGTATACATCTGCCCTCATTAATAAATCATATGACATCGATTAAATAAATGAATGCGTACTACTTTATTTTGAAAATGATAGCATGTGAATTGACTATGACTGGCACAATCGGAACTTTCTATTCATCAACATTGTGCTTTGACGATAAATTCACCACCTTTTATTATTTTTAAAAGTAAATAAATAGAAGGTGTGAATTGTATTTTTTTTTTTTTTTTTTTTTTTTTTTTTTTTTTTTTTTTTTAATTTCTGCCTTGGAGATTTCGAGGGGAGGGGGGAGAAGTATTATCATTAATAATTTTCAAAAATTTCGTTTTCTTTTAATTCGATAGATGGAAACTTAAAAATGACTCTCTATTCCACAAGATAATGGTCACCATGTTCCATAATTAAAATCATCTTGGACATTAGAAAAATAAAATATATTAAAACATTTTTAGATGGTTATTACAGAAAATCTTTTCAATGGCACAATTTTCCAACTTTATTGGTCCTGAGAAATTGATCAACGGTTTGAATTAAAAAAAAGCAAAAATTTAACCGGAACTATGGAAAATAAATTTTTACTGTAAATCGTGATTTTTGAAAATACAAATATCAAAACATTTTTAATTGATTATTTAGAAGACTCTTAACATGCTATGTTATTCACAGAATCAATGTCAGACACAGTTTCTGGCCAAATTATTAGATGCACCCTAAAATTCTATGTAAAATCTTAATTATCAGGTGACAATACACAGCTTTATTGTTTTTACGCGACTGAAACCGGTTTGCACTGTTTACGTTCGTGTATCTATGGGTTAAATTAGACGATATATAATATAAATTAGATATATTATACAAATATAGAATATTTATTATATCAGGTATTATAGTAAGATATTGTAATAATTGAACCAAATTACTAGACACCCTGCAGTGTTTTAATAATGACGTGTTTTGCACCAGTTTATATGCAGTACTTCTATATTTAAACATAAATGTAATGGGTTTTTATTCAGGAGAGTTTTTATTTACTTCCTATTTGTATTTATTTTTAACGTATTGCTTTGCAATGTTAACCAATTGATACACGAACATTAACGAGTGCAAACTGGTTTCAGCCGTTTAAGAACGATAAAGCTGTATAGTATCACCTGATAATTAAGATTTTACATAGAATCTTATAGGGCGTCTAACAATTTGGCCAGGGACTGCACGTCATTGATAAAAATTGAACTAACATTTAGTAATGGAATCCATAAGCAAATTATTAACGAATGAAAGGTTATGATTTATGAGAAAACTTACAATTTTGATGTTTGAAATTAACATACGGTCGATGAAAATTAATCAATTTTAAAATGATATTTTGTTATTAATTTAAAATTTGCGTTTATTGTACATTTTTACAGTTGTAGTAAGAAAACGAAAAGCGAGAAAAAAATAGTTTGTTTTTTCTTTTTATTATAAAAATGTCTTTATTCCTATGAATATTTAAGTTAAGTTTATGAAATTTTGTACAATAATTGATACAAGATACAAGCTTATTGCTGTTTTTTTTAATTATTATTTTTAATCACCAAAAACACTTTTAATTGTTCTTAATGTATTACCGGACCCTCAAATCTCTGAAAGCTTTAAACTGAATCGATATGCATGAGAATATGCATGTCCTAAACACTTCTAAAGTTATAAAATAATACTCTCCATATACTCTTAAGATAGGCGTGTTCACATTTGCCTTCGTGCAGGACTTTTTTTTTATGGAACTAACCCGCATTTGCGTTACATGCAGAGGAAAACCACGGAAACCTTCCACGGAAAACCTTCTTCCTGACGGCAAGAGGACTCTAACCCATGATCCGTCTACCACTGAGGATATTTTCCGGTTGGCACTGTGGTCCGTGCAAGGCGGAGGAGCAATTCGTATCGACCAGGCATCGCTGGGATTCGAACCCGGTTCACCTCATTGGAAGGAGAACGCTTTATCCCCTGAGTCATTGCGGTTCACTAGAAACTTTTTACATTTTCAAAGATGTTCTAATCGTTACCAAATACGATTCTAATCAAAATTATGAAAGAAAGAAAATATTCTAAATGTTTTCCACGCAATATGAAAGGGTTACTTCAAATATTCATATGTCTCTCAATTTTTAACGAATTTTGTTCAAATTTTAAAATAATCTTTTTGTTATGTATTAAAAATTACTTTAAAAATTTTGATTAATTTTATTGAATATTTAGCAGTTATAGTCTGAAAACCTAAGTTTAAAAAAAAATTTAAAAAAAATAATAATAATAATAATAAAAATTATTAAAATGCCTACATTTTCATGAATATTTATGCTAGGTTTACGAAATTTTGTGCCTATAATAACCAACCTATATATTGCCTATAATAACCAACTTAACAGTCATAAATGAGTGCATTATTGTTTGGCATAGAGTGTTCAAAAACATTCTTTTTCGTTGGTCACTCTAAAAGCTTTATTGATCAGCTGCGCCCTCTATGCAGGCAACGTGTAATAATGACCTCGATAGTGCAGTGAAACCAACCTGCTTACTGTATTTTAAATAGAAATTACATGATCTATGGATGAGCATTTTATAAAAAATAAAGTGAAAATTAGGGTCAAAATCGAAACCATTGCGCGACACAGCGATCTGAGGAGGTACGTAATTTTCCTATTTAGTTGCATATCAAATTATAAATATGTCTTTAACTAAATTAAAGAAAGACGAGTAGTCGCTGAAGGGTTAAATGTAACAGCGATTTGAATCCAAGACGGTGAGGTTTATAAAACGGAGTTAGGCTTTAGAGGAAAAGTCCGAAGCTATAAAGAGCGAATTAAATTAGCGCGATAAGATTTAGGATTTAGAGGAAAGGTCCGGAGCTAAAGAGCGAATTCAATTTGCGTGCTAATATTTCGGATTTAGTGTAAAAATCCAAAGCTAAAGAGCGATTTAAATTAGCTCGCTAATCTTAAGGATTTAGAGGAAAGGTCCGGAGCTAAAGAGCGAATTCAATTTGCGCGCTAATATTTCGGATTTCGACAAAAAAAAAAGCCGAAAATAAAAAGCGAATTAAATTAGCTCGCTAATATTAAGGATTTAGTGGAAAAGTCCTCTGCTAAAGAGCGAATTAAATTTGTGCTCTAATATTTAGGATTTAGATGAAAAAGCCGAAGCTAAAAAGCGAATTAAATTAGCTCGCTAATCTTTAGAATTTAGATGAAAAAGCCGAAGCTAAAAAGCGAATTAAATTAGCTCGCTAATATTAAGGATTTAGTGGAAAAGTCCTCAGCTAAAGCGCGAATTAAATTAGTGCTCTAATATTTAGGATTTAGATGAAACAGTCGAAGCTAAAGAGCGAGTTAAATTAGCTCGCTAATATTTAGGATTTAAATGAAAAAGCCGAAGCTAAAAAGCGAATTAAATTAGCTAGCTAATATTTAGGATTTAGTGGAAAAGTCCGAATCTAAAGTGCAAATTAAATTAGAGCGCTAATATTCCAAGAGCGCTTACAAAAGAGAGTGCTTCCAAATAATATCGGAGCTTTATTAAAGTCGGGGAGAATTTATTTTTCCAGTCGCATCAAAACAAAACAAAAGATCAGTTCTTTTAAAAATGGGTTACATTTTAATGGTTCCGAAAACGAGAACTGAAAGAACTTTCCCCACAACAATGCTTTAATAAACAGCGCCAAAAATAAATACAATCTACCTCAAGGTTAAGTGCGGCATTTGAATATTATTGCTGTAATGTCTGCGAGTATCGGTTTTAAAAAAAAATCTCGATAAGAAATTGATGACTCATATTAGTTTAAAAGTGGGGGGGGGGCGTATTTTAAACAGCATTAATTAGGGCAGGAGTGCGATTAAAAAAAAAATGATAACTGCGTATTATGTAAAAAATAATGAATCTCATGCGTTACAATTTGGCCCACAATTTAAAAGATTTTCTGATAGAGTAGAGTTTGTTAAAAATAATCTGTTTTAAGTGCTTCCCGACGTGAAGTTAATATATGCAGAATGTAAAACTGCGAGAAGAGCTCATCATAAATTGTAAACCAAGTTTAACGTAATCAACTCTTATTAAGTATACAGCGTTAATGGCGGTGAATACTAACTTAAGAGCGTTTAAATGTTTAAGAGACGATTCGCGTAATAAAAATAAATCGATCAGAAGAGATATGCTCATGGTTAAAACAGATGCTGTTTTAAATAATGCTGTTTTAAATGTTTGATTTTTCGAATTTCGTGGAATTGGACGATGATACTTTCCGGGGAAAATATATTTATAGTTAATAAATTATTAAAACCGGAAAGAATTGAAACAAAAAATTGATTTTTTTCTCACTAGTGCATGTAGAGCCGCGATGTCTCAGCGGATAGAGCGTTAGGCTTCCAATGAGGCAAACCGGATTCGAATCCCAGTTTATACGAATTCCGCATCCGAATTGCACCGACCACAGCGCTGACGTGAAATATCCTCAGTGGTTGACGGATCATGAGCTAGAGTGCTCTTGCCATCAGACTAACCGTGGGAGGTTCTCGTGGTCTTCCTCTCCGTGTAAAGCAACTGTGAGTTCGCTCCATCAAAAAGTTCTCCTCGAAGGCAAATTCCTCCCATTACTCGATAGCTTGTTTTTTTATGATTATTAATTGTTTTTTTAGCCTTAATTGTTAATTTTTTTATTAATGATTCTTTATTATTTCGTTTTTTTTTATAAATTTTAATTTAATTGTTACATATGCTTCATAGTGTAATAACATTTTTGTAATAACAATTCATAGTGCAATAACAATTGTGATCGGTGGCGTGCCCAAAATATTGTGCAGCGTGCCATAAATGGCACGAGTGCCATTTGTTCGCCATCCCTGTACTAGGGAATTGG